ACGCCGTGCTCGCCGCGCTCGCCGCCCATCCCGCCGTCCACCTCGCCTGCTCCGCCGACGCGCCCGACTTTCCCCTGCTCTGGGACGTCGGCGCCCGCTCCGCGTTCAACTTTGTCCTGCACGACGCCACGACGTTTGCGCCGCTGGCCGGCGGCGCCGAGCTCGATCCCGTCGGCGAGGTCCACGAGCTGCTCGGGCGCACGGCCCGCCGCGTGCACGGCCGCGAGGGCGTCGCGTTTGTCCTCCGCAGTCTCCCGGAGAATGCGAGGAACCTGTTTCGCCTGCTGGTTGGCGAGGTGCTGGTTGCCATGGATGAGGACGCGACTGGTGGTGCTGGCGCGGAAGGGGCTGCGGGTGTCGAGTACAGGATGGTGTACAATAAAGCCGTGGAGGAGTTTGTGTGCAGTTCGGAGATGGCGTTTCGTACGCTGTTGAAAGAGTATGTTCTTACCTGAATGTTTAGGGCCGCGTGTGTATGCTAATGGCGGTGCTGCAGGTTTCACGATCATCAAATCATCACCAGTCGCAAAGACGCGCTGGGGACGGAGCTGCTTAGTCTTCCGTTTGGACGGGAGGAGCTCGAGGCCATTCTGGAAGACCTCATGGCATAGGACTGTGACATTACTTTACATGTATTGGCGTTTTTGGCCAGAATGCTTTATCTGGCGGGATGCATCTAAAAGGTACTGGGACATTGTCTGTTATTAATCTATAAAAACTCTGCGGCGATGCCCCCTGAAGTAAATACATTTAACGCCATGACGATGCTGATGGTATGGTGTACGTTGATACGCTCATGCAAGAATCCAAGGTAGCCACGACAATTTCGTGGTACCATATCGTTTTGCTCATATGACATTTACACCCCCAAACTCTTGACACACATCCACAGCACAACAGGCACAATGACATTGTCATTACCGCCCGTCAGGACCGCCTCTGTGACACTCGCCAGCGAGCCGCACACGCCTGCGTTTCTCGCCGCCGCCAGCACACCGAGCGGCTCATCCGCCGTCGGCCACCCACCCACCCTCAACCACGCGCTCGCAAGCGCCAGCCCCACGCACACGGCCGCCGCCATCGCCACGCTGCCCTCAATGCTCTTGCCGCCACCCCAGAGCCACTTGCGGTGCCCGTAGCGGCGGCCGATGAGGCTGGCGGCCGCGTCGCCGAGGCCGACGCAGATGACGCCGGCTAGCATACTCGCGTCGCGCGTGGGAGCCTCCCAGCCGGCGACGTAGCCCTGGCCCACGCGGCCGATGCTGGCGAGCGCCAGCCACAGGGGGATGGCGCAGCCGATGAGGAGGAAGATGTGGGAGATGACGACGGGACCGCGAAAGTCGCGGCCGTCGACGTAGGGCGCCAGGAAGCTGGCAATGGGCTTGGATAGCGGCGGCAGCTGGCTGGCGCGGAGCAGGTCGAGGATCAGGAATATGGCGAGGATCAGGCCGAGCGCGAGCGCGGCATAGGTCGGGTCCACGTAAAGCGCGGGCAGAAACATGCCGACCATCATAAAGTGAAAGACCTTGCGGCGGGTGTCGACCTCGTAGGTGTCTTTGAGATGCAAGACAACGAGAAGCCCGGCGAATAGTATGGCAAGCCAGTAGCCGCTGAGGAGGAGGCGTGTCGTGGCGGCACCAAAGTGCTGCAAGCGCAGCTTCTCGACCCAACCAAGGCCGGCAACAGCGGCGTCCGGTGTATTGACGTGGTTTGGGGGAAGGCATATCCATCGTTCCAGATTCGCCGTCACGACTTGCAGACGGAACCACGGGATGTCGCCGAATAGGTAGCCCAGGGCCCAGCCGATGGGCTCTTGGCTCGACAGCGCGTAGCGCGCGACGTAGGTGCGGATGCCAACCAAGATCAGCAGGACAATGCAAGCGTACACGTAGGCCGCGTAAGTCCATTTCCGGATTGTGGCTTGCTCGTACGTGAGTTTGAGAAATGGTCGGACAGACATTGAGGTTGCGCGTTTTCGCCGGCCCGAAGGTGTATGCGCGTTGGCCCGACGTGCCAACTGGTCTAGGATGGGCAGCGTGTGTCGTCGCGAGATGCCCTCTATGCCATCCTCGTCGTACTCGGTAGTACCCACCGCCGTGCTAGGTTCTGCGCCGAGGGACGTTGACATGGGACCCAAAGTTCGTACTCTGGTGGGCGGGCGAAACGGGGGTCCGTTCTCGGCCTCATCCTCGGACGAGTACGACGTCGAGTACGCCGGATCCTCAGGCTGCAGGCCGCGCAACTCGGCGCGGAGTCGTCGTAGAGAGAGTAGCCGTAGTAGGGACTTCCAGACGGGCGGCTTCTGGCTACTGGGTAGTCGGCGGAAGCGCCACTTGGGCACACGGGCGAGCGCGATTCCCCATCGGATCACCGCGCCGCAGAGGACGAGGACACCGACGCCGCCTCCCCAGAGCAGCGCCTTGAGAATTTGCATCTGCGGCGACTTGCCGAGGACGAGGATATCAATGAGAGCAATGGAGAGCAGCTGAAGCTCGGCTGTAAGTAGGCTGGTTGTGGTCAGGCAGTGCAGGAGCAAGCAGAGGGTTCTGTGCAAGGGATACAGCAGAACAATAGCTTCTACCGACATGGGCAGATTGGCAGAATCTTGGTGCAGATAGCTGCCATGGTCTTTCCCCCAGAGCAGAGGAAGACATGTCACTGCCCATTGCAGCGTGTCGTAGTACGCAGTGTGTTCGAGCTTCGGGAAGAGTTGCTGTGGGAGGGCGCTGATGCTAAGGATGAGATTGGGCAGCAACACGGTTACGTTGTCAACGGAAATGAGAAGTGACACCAGGATTGTGATAGCTGGTGGGTATAGTAGCGGCGCAGGGTCGAAGTTGGCGGGGATGGTAAGTGGTAGCCATCGCCGTGGGCTTCGTTTGCGATATGACCATAGTAGAACTCGAAGAGGGTAGACGGCTGTGAGCGTCGCGGCAAGGGCGAGAAATAGCTTAAAATCTACAACCATTTAGTACTGGCTGTGAACCGATAATTGAAATTGCGTACCCTTGTTCCATTTTTGGTATATAGGTGCCACGTGCGAGTTGCTGGTGACGAATGCGCCAAGGAGGGCCATGATACCCCCCTCGGTGAGGCGGCGCACGACATTGCGATAGCGCCGCAGCGGGCTGCACAGGACACTCCCCGAGGCGCTCACTTTCGCGGCCGCGTCCTTTCCGAGCAGCGGCTCCTGCTCCTCCTCTATGATGGACGGCGAGACAGGCGTCGCCGTGCCCGACAGCACCTCGTTGCGGCCGCGCAGCCCCTTGTGTAGCTTCACCCTAGGTGCGGGAAGGCCGCGCAGGAAGTGCTCATCGTCGGCTTCGGTGCCGCTGTCACTGACAGATGTGGAATCTTTGGGAAAGGTCGGCGAAGGTGGTACGTGGCGCGTGGTTGTGGGCGGCGGCGCTAGGCGGTCGTAGTCGTTGGAGAGTATCTCGTGGGAGCCGCGGTGATAGGGATGCGGCGAGCGGTTCAGGGCGCGCAGGTGGACGTGCTCGTCAAAGTCGACGACGCCGAGAAGCTCTTTGGAGTTGGGCTCACCCATGACGGATGGCGGCGCATTGATGGGGGAGGGTTGGTTTGGTCAAAGGGGGCCGGCGAAGCTTCCCTTGGCTTCAAGCTATGGCGTAGCGTAGGTAGGTAGCTGACAACGAGCCGCGGTTCCACCATATGAGGACAGGGCGTCAATTGCAGTCAAATTGCACGTTTTAAACAAGGGAATATTGACGATTGGTTCGGCCATGGATTCCGATTTTTTGTACAGCACGACGCGGACTGGAAAAGCTTGCAACATCACATGAAAGCGGCGCGGGTCTGGGTAAGGGCTATTTCCGTAAGGCATACTAAGGTACCTGTCACGACGAAGATGCTATGACGGCGCGCGGGTCCGTCGGCGCCACAGGCCACGAAGCTCTGACAGCGACTTGTGCGTGAGAATCACGTGATGATACATTCTACGTGAGCCGTTCCTGTATTACCGTTGAATAGCGTCATGAGTCTGTTTACATCTCCGGAGATGATTATTGTCAAAAGCGATGACGTGTTGACATGTGCAATGCTTGATGCAGCAAACGAGGTGCAACGGTGCTGTTAATTTATACACCTTTTTTTTCTTTATCAGACCGAACCGCAGCTTCGGTGGAGCGGTGGATCTCTAATACACCTACAAATTATATGTATGTAGCAAACGGCAGCGGCCCACCATCAGACGAGATAGCGGCGTTGGATGGTATAGCTGGCTTGCAGTGCGATTATCAGTCGGGATATTTTTCCGTGACAAGCAGCTCTCGTCGGAAGGGTTTCCAGTGGTTGTGTCGGACTGGTGGCTTCAGCTGAGGCGTGGTTGATGCGATAAGATAACGGCGACACGACAGAGGTCGAGACAGAGGTCGAGTTTGGCAGTTATCATGTCCAAAATTGCTATCGTTTGCGTATCGTTTCTGAGCCTAAAATTCTGCAGCGAATCGAATAATGATGTGCTCTGGTGGATGTCAGTCCCAGCTGAATACAGAGATACGCATTGCACAGCATCATGCAGCGACAGTTAGCCTCACTCATGCTATGGGCGTGGCTTTATCAGTTCACGATGCGGAGTTGTCGGATACCAAACGAAAACATGCGACGTGAAATGGGTCCTCCTTGTTATTTTATTATACGTATGACATTGTAGTATATTCAAATTGGCACAATGTGTGTGCCGTTTCGCTTGCAAGTTTATTGTCTCGTTCGACAACAACGGCCGCCAAGGCGACTTGAAGAAATACGGTTGTTTCGCCTGGCGAGCCCACGTTATGGACATTGGTCGACAGCAGCTGCAGACGCTGCAGACGGCGGCAGGTCTGTCAGAGAATGTCTCACCAGCCACCCGAATTTGCCAGCGCGCGAAAACGCAACGTGTTGGGCGTCAAGAGTGATGAGCCGTGATGAATGGACGAGAGACGGGAAAGCGGGAAAAAATAGAAAGGGCGCCAGTAGGGACGTGTAATACGAGATGGCGGACTCAATGTCTAAATTATAAAAGTTAAAACTGGCCATGACAGCGAGCCAGAGAGAGGCCTTGGGCAGCCCTCTACAGGCTGTGAGGGAGGCAGGCGCAGCAAGAGTTGCTATTGATAGAGTCGGCTGGCGCGCTGGGGTCAGGTCAGCTAATACTGGAAACAGGATACCTAGCTTCACCAGAGCCTCAAGCGCAGAGCCTAACTCTTGTACGGCGGAATTAGTGGAGTACTGGTTATCGGAAAAAGGCCAGGCTTGCCAGCCAGTTCAGCCAGTAAGCCAGTAAGCCAACCTTTTTATACGGACCTCGTCGGCTGATGGGACAAGACGCTGGGGGAGACAAAGTTTCGCGGCGCAGTCCATGTCCTCGCTGGCACCACCCAGTCCACCAATGTGTGGGCACGGGGATCCTGTCGAGCTGAACCAGGAGCTGGGGCTGGAGGAGCCGGAGGAGATGCCAGGAAGTAAATACTTTTTTGGATTCGGGGGGTGTTGCCTGGGGTTTCTGGTACTTGGCGAGGCGCCTAGGAGGAGAATTGGGCTCTGATGCCCAAACTCGAGATGCAAGGGAAGAGACAGGGAAGGGAGAAAGGACAAATGCCAAATGCTGAGGCTGGTACTCCGTACAGTGTAACTAGTGCTGTTGCTACCTGTGAACTAGCGTGAGCCAGAGTGTCGGATCGGGAATGTTAGTGCATCGGGCCATGGCCCTGGGACAGCGATTGTAACAAGGCTATTTATTGTTGGATAGTCCAACCTTGGGCGGTGTTGTTCTGCGTTTGCTTTTTCTGGGCAGGATCATCAAGCCGGACGTGGCCACCATCTAGGTAGGTAGTTAACTAGTACACCTGTCAAGCCAAATGCAAGTCATACTTTGTGGCGGGTCGTAGAATATTTTGAAAGATGTAAAAATATATGCATCGTCACTTGCTCGTAACCCGCCGCGCCGGGTAGTAATCGACGATGATGGTTACTGCTGCACACTAGCGGACACGGAGAGAGAGGTTGGAGGTTTGTCAACGTCTCGTATTCTTCCAAGGCAATAGGTGGCTTGGCTGACGCTGGGCTGTTCCACCAGTATGGACGCGCCACGCCTGAGCGAGCCTAGCTGCGCCAACCGGCTTAAGAAGAGCAAAAAAAAAGAAAGAAAAACAGCCAGAGTACTAAAAAAAGAGGCTCCTGGGGGCGGAGCTGGCAGTTGGGCAAGTTGAACAGCGCCCGGCTCAGTGGCTCCGAGCTGCTAGCCATCTTGATAATAGCGCTGTAAGGCGAAAGAAGGCGCTGTAGCGGCGGGGCTTCGCCAGTCGGTGGCGCTTCTTGGCTCAGATATGTGAACCACGTAGCAACACACATGTCATTGGGGGGGGGGAATATCAAAATAAAAAGAATATCAGGCTCGCCATCCAGCCATGTACGATGTTTTCCGGAAGTAGTCTTTTCCCCCCTACCTTTCCACGTTGTCGTTTGTCGTCCTCGTCTGCCTCTCTCTTGTCAAATGCAGCTGCACCGCCTCGCTCACCAACGTCACCCTCCACAAGCACTGGTTTTTGATTCCCCAATCCACAAACTTTCCACCATCTCCCTACCTACCTACCCAGGTAGCCCCCAAGCTAAGCAGCGGACCTCACCACCTCGTGTAAGAAAGGCTCCATCGACGCAACACGGCCCCTCCGCGCGCATCCCGGAAAGACGAAGGACGAGCAAGAAAAAAATAAGAGGCCGGCTACCCCATTGTCGAGAAGCAGAGTCGCCACACTGCAGCGAAAGCGGAGCATCTCAACCTGCCTGCCTGCCACGCAGCTGGCTCAGCCCAAGCACGTCTACCTTGACCACATTGACCACCTTGACCTCGCACGCAAACGCACCACCTTGACAAACGCACCACCCACCAGGCAGCTCTAAGCTTTCCCGCCTGCAATATCACGCTGCTCCTCTTCCCATCTCCGACCTCCTCTCCTAACAAACTAGTACCTCCTCCCTCATCAATACTCGGTCCATCTTGCTTTATCCTCCTTTTATTGCCTTTCTTTTCCTTTTGCCCATCCTCCAATCAGAGTTTCCCATCCAGCCAAGACGGTGCCGGACAACTCGTTCCTCCCCCCCCACAGAAGGCCGCTCTTCTACTAACCTCACCTCTCTCGCACATCAAACGCCTCTCACACGCCTCGTCATATTTGACTCTTCCTGGCGTCTTGCGCTATCCTCGCTTGCCCACCTTTTGCCGTCCGTCTCGTGTCTACCGAGTCCAAACACACAAAGAACTACCATAGTACTGCAGTCCACAACCCGACTTGCCGTCATTCATCGACAACTTACCGGGCCGACCTTCCCATCGTGCCACACAGCATCGCACCAGCGATACGCACACACCACACACCCAACTGCACATCACTCACGCAAACCTGCCTTGTCCTTGTCTGAGGCGAGCCAAAACCTCTGGGAACCGCTTTTTTCCACTCCGACCTTGCTTCTTTTGCACCCTCTTTTCCTTCAGCTTGCTTCCGCTTCTTCTTCTCCTCTCTTCCGCTCTGTATTACATATACCAAAATGTCCTCCGACATGAAACACCACTCCTCTCTCGAGGCCGGACTATTGAGAAAGCAGCAGGAAGAAGAAAAGTTGCAACGTTCTGTACGAGGTTTTGGAGACCGCACCCTTGGACAACCCGATACATGCCCCGGAGCCCAGGAGAAGCGCAAAATGTCAACCTTTCGTCGATTCCTCATCATCGCCTTCATTGGCCTGGTGGCTTTGATGGGCCTCGCCGCCGCTGGAGGACCCTGCCTCAGTGCTGTCCAGCACCACGCCGTGCAGCTGGAGAAGCGTCAAGTGTCTGGCAGCAACACCACTACTCCTCCTGCCAACTCCAATCAAGCCAATGACGGTACTAGTAAGTCATTACCCCGAATCACTCGCCAATTCCATTGCCATGACATCTATCTCCTACTACCCGGCCAATTGGACCGCCCTACATCAGTCATCAGTATATACTAACATGGTTCTAGATACCGGCACTACACATACTGTTGAAAACACCGTCACCTCAACAGTCGTGACCACACAGACAGTTCACCAGTCTGACAGCAGCACCCCTACTGCACCTTCTTCCACTGCATCCTCGGAGCCCGGATCTTCACCACCTTCTTCTGCGCCTCCTAGCTCGTCGCAGCCCTCGCAACCCTCACAACCGGCTTCGTCTTCTACGCCGTCTGCACCAGTCACTTCCAGCAATCCACCGGCATCTACCCCAACTACTCAGCCAGCTCCCTCCAGCACCAAGTCTACATCCCAATCGAATCCTCCTCCAGTCTCCACCTCAAGTACGTCTCCTACAGCTTCTACCACCGAAGTTGCTTCTTCTTCTTCTAATCCTCCAACTACTTTCTCATCTGGTACGTCTGTACCAGAATCGTCTGTGCCTCCATCTCCACCTCCTCCCACACCTTCTTCTTCACGTCAGTCTTCTTCTTCTTTTCCGGAGCAGTCTGTGACCTCATCTCCTCCACCTTCATCTTCTTCTGCTCCACGTCAGTCTTCCCCTGTGACCCCTTCTCGAGATGACCCTTCCCCCATACCTCCGAACCAATCGTCTGCAGCACCCACGGAGAGTGCTTCTTCGTCGGATCAATCTTCTCTTTCTTTTACCCACGAAGCTACTTCGGGTTCACGTCAGTCTACTTTGTCTGCCTTGCTACCGCTGCCATGTGCTTTCTTTGCCCAAGTTCGCCCCCATTTCTGTGTCAAGTGTTTTTTGCCTTGTCCTATCCAAAGAGGAATCGGTGATTGTTTTTACGTTTCTTGATTTCCGCGGTGTACTCGCCTTCAGTTTTCACTGTGTTATTGTTCCTCATTGTGCATGCTAATATTTTCACAGCGGAGCCTACGTCTTCTTCTTCCGAGACTACTGCTCGCCGCACTATCACTACCGGTACCATCACTACCTCGAGCGCCGTGCAGGAAACCATTACTCGAACCGATGGGAATGGTCGCGTCGAAACGATTACCTCGACGTCTTGGGTTGAGATTCGCCCGTCATCAACGGGCTCGACCGACCCCAGCCTACAGAACGCAGCCAACGGCCGTGGCACCGCTGGGTTTGCCGCTGCTGCCGTCGCTGGTATTATCGCCGGTGCCATGATCTAAGTGGAGGAGAATATGATGCTCAACACACGTGAATTTGTCTGCCATGATATTTTCGAGTGGAGAAAATTGCACCGTTGCTAGTTATTCATGGCGTTAGCACATGCTGATTCCTTTTCCTTTTGTCTTTTTGCATGCCAGGGTTGGATTTAATGAGATTGTGAAAAGATAGATTTGAATCGGTGCCGAACACGGGCGGCTATACTGATTATTGATGATAATGTCCCTAGAACTAAATTGCACATGCACAAATTACGTACGACACGACTCTGATGTGTTGTATTGAAGTATACGTATTGAAATGTATGTAGTGAAATGGAAGATGGCCAACTCCAAGCGCCAAAATTGCAAACCCAAGTAAATAATGAGAATTCAAGCGGTAAAGTCTAACCAGGTCCAATCTTGGGCATATCGTGATGCTCGCTGAGCTTGGACAAGTAGGTGTTGAGCTCCTCGACGCGCTCCTTGTGCGTCTTGAGCAGCTCGGGCCGCGAGCCTGACCTTTCGGCCATTTTGAGTAGCTGCGACCAGTTAGTACAATTTTCTTATCAGAGCGTGAAAAAATAAAAGCGAATTCAGGAAATAAACAGGGGCATTCGGGGGTGCGCAAAACATACTCTCTTCTTCTTGGCCTCTTCGTGCTGTCTCTCCGACTCCGTCTTTTGCGCCGGCGTCGCATCATCCTCCTCACTTCTCCCATCGGCCTCTTCGCTTCCGCCGCGCCTTCCCTTGATGAGTTCCTTTGGGGGCGCTGCGTCGCCGGCGGACAGGTTCTTCTCTAGATCCGTCTTGCTGCGGGCGCGCTTCTGCTTCTTCTTCTTCTTGTCAATCTTGCCGCCTTTGAGCTTGAGCGCGCCGCCACCGCCTCTCGACAGGACATAGTCGTCGGAGGCCATCGTGGTGGTCAATTGCAAGAGAAGGGATAAGTTGGGTTGGTTGGTGGGTGTAAATGGATGGTTGTGAGGTAAATGGATGGTTGTGGGTGTAAATGGATGGCTGTGGGTGTGAATGGGAAGGATGGAAAGGATGGGAGATGGGAATGAGTTGACATGTCGTTGGTGAGAGAAATGGATGGACAAGGCTGCCCCACTGATTCGACAAGGTTTATTGAACGCGGGGACTGGCGGGAGATGGACCACTAGAGTTCGACTAACACGCCTGAATGCTGAAATGTAATGGAAAATGAATAAGAAGAACAACATGGGTTGGTTTGAGTTTTGTAGTTTTAGCTTTTCTGAAGGCAAGGCTTTCTTGTCATTGGACGCACAAGTACTCAGACGGACAGTTTGGAGACTAGTTGACAAGAAAAGTAAAATATCAAAAAAGAAATTTAAAAAAGAAATGCAGAAAAGGGAGGCAAGAAGCTAGAAAGCAGGAGAATCGAGCCGAAAAAGACCTACAGGGGGTACTGCCTGTCTTGAGTTTGAAAACATTATCGTACAATCCCTGTGGCGGCCCTTCCATGATGTGAACCTCCCCAACAAACTTACAACATACGCCACAATACATGTGCTTATTTACAGGTTCGCACTCTCCAGCACCTTAATCAAAGCACCTGTATTCGGAGGGTGACCCAGCATGTCCTCCAGAAGCTGCATCAAATCGGCGCGCCCACCGCCTGGCAGGAGCAGCGTGCGGCGGTACCGCGCCCAGGCGTCGACGCTCATCGGGTCCGCGGCGAAGACACTCTCGAAGAGGTCCTGCGCCAGCGACGAGCAGCTTTTTGTGCGCGGTTAGACTCAACCTCCCATCCCGTTTCCGCCAACAAGAGGGCTTACCAGAGATAGGAGTAGTACGCCATGTCGTAGCCGCCTACGAGATGGTTGAATGCGACCAGCTCAGACCCGGTTGCTTTGACGTCTGTAAAATCCAGCCCTTCCGTCTTTTGTCGAATGTCATACCACAGCTTCTGTACATTGAGATTCTTCGCCGCCTGCGCGCTTTTCGGGCTGTGTATCTCGAGGTCGAAGAGGGAGATGCTCCTGCACACTGGTTAACCTGGAAGGACGCCCAACCGCCCGCCTACAAGGAAACGCACAGCTGTCGTGAATAAAATAGCCCGGCATCTGCATATCGGTGCTTGGCTAGGGCATGGGCCAAGTTTGCTGGGAGTTGCTTCGACGGGTCCGGCGTGTCGGGGTTCTCGCGCTTCCATTTTTCGCGATACTCTGGTCGCAGATAACTGTAGTGCGTGCTCATCGACTGCAGCATGCTCGGCACCCAGCACCAATTCTCCAGCATGAGGCTCGGAATCTCCACAAAGTCTGGAGGGAGACTTGTACCGTGGAATCTCGAGTATGTCGTCCTGGATACCAGACTGTGCACGGCGTGCCCGAGCTCTTGATCGCTCCGTTAGCTTTTCTACGCGGATGACTACCGAAGTGCTGGTTTTGACACACCGTGAAAGAGGGTGAGGAGTTGGTGGTGCTTGAGCAGAACGCAACCGTCGTCTTTGGCTGCTGGAAATGCCGTCATCACTATCGTGGATGGATATTTCCTCTGACCATTTGACTGTTCAAATCCCTGACAACGTAGTTAGCATGGACTGTAGGATGCCAGAATGACGCATAGCGGTCTTCTTACAAATTCCATGGTCACATTATGACCGCCGCGAAACTTGTGTTCTCTCCAAAGAAGGTCAAAGTACAGATAGCCAACGAAGTTTTGATCGTCGCGGGGCTTATCCCAGACCCCAAACACAGTGACTGTTTCGTGCCACAGGTTGGAGTCGCTCATCTCACTCTTTGGGATTTCCACAAATTGAAGGCCCATCGCTGTCTCAAAGACGCGCAGCATGGCGGGAATGGCTGTCTCAAGTGGGAAATACTCAGATATCAGAAATTCGTCAATTTTGCGCTCCTTGCGGACGAGACGCTGATAGTACTTGAGATCCCATGGCGGGAAGCCAGCATTTTGCTTGTCGCCGGTATTACTATCGAGCTTTTGGAGGTCCGCCAGTCTCGTTTTCAGGAGCAAGTCCAGCTCCAGCCGCCCGCGCTTCATCAAGCCATCGGTGAGTTGCTCCAAGAGTTGGCGGACTTGCGCCGGACTTTTCAGTAGTCGAGTCTCCATGCGCCGCTCGCCATGGCTTCGATATCCAAGGCGCTCAGCCAGCTCATGCCTTCTCGCCACGATGTCCTGCATGAGAGGAATGTTACTCTGTAATTTGTTCTGGTCTGCAATGTACATTCTCTTGCGGATCCCAGGGTTGCTCGCGAATGTCAAGACCGCATCGGTTCCACCATTCGAAAAGGGCACGAATGTCGTTGCACTCTGTTGATGCTTTTGGAGGCGGTCGAGCTCATGGGCGGGCAGGTCTTGCAGGTCTTCGTTGGCAAACTCGACGCCCCCAGACTCTTGCGATATGTTGCGTTGCACCCTGACCAGGAGGGCGTCCAGGTCCAGTGAATCTTGGACAAACTTTTGCTTTTGTTCCTGCCCCGTGATACCGCAGCCGGCCAACTTGTACTGCAGCAAGGTTTTGTCGAGCAGCAGCTGAGACTCTTCGTCGAGAGGCTCGGCCTTGTTCCTCGCGGCGAGAAGAAGCGTGTACATGTTGTCGCTAGAGTTCCAGGACGCTTCTGCCTTGATAAAACGCTGCCGCGCTTGGGCAAAAACGTCCTGCGTGGCCCTGTCCGGCGCCCCGTACTGGAGCATCCAGAGGACGCCAATCTCGCCGATTGTTTCATTTTCAACATTGGCTACCGGACCCATAACAGTATCAAATGACGCATTTTCCACTGTCACGTTTTCGAGTATCGAATCTCGGGCTGCCTGGAACCGAGCAATAATCCTGTCGATGGCTGGGATAATCTCATCTGCAGGGGGAATCCGTGGCAAGGGCTGTGGGAATCCCATGGCCGAGTTCTTTGCTTCTATCGGCACCATCGTAGTCAATAACATGCGAATATGATGCGGAAAAGGTGACATGGGGAGATGGAGAGAACAGCACCCTCTCTACATGTACCATGTTGCCACTGTGCGACAGTTTGATCCAAAGAATCGACACAGTGTTGAGCGGCCATTCTGCATGCGATCCGTCCTTCTGCCTTATTAACCATATATTTGCAGACAGAGCAACGACATCTTCAGCAATTATATGCGCCCGCAGAGGTGAAGTTGTTCAACCTGATTGGTTCTGTGCGATGATGAAGCCCCTTCTGACTAATGATATTGGCAGCCAAAAATCCTTCTTGCTTGATTCGGGGTTTTGTGGATGCTGGATTCGGAGCTCTCTGTAAGGTTCTCTCCGCACGAAAGCACAGAGTGCAATATAATAGAGACAAGACTGTGAGGAGCCCATACCACATTCCACCTTCGCACCACGTCCTTGCTAAGTTGTGTATGTACAATGGCGCATGAATTTTTGTGGTACATGTGATGGTGTGCTTCTCATTCTTCTCTGTTGTATTTCCGAGGTTGTTGTTTTCTCTTTAATTTGGCCCGAGGATGGTGTCGACGCAGCTTTGGAGGCCGTGTTGATCCATCAATGGCCGTCAAACTTGCTCTCCAACAATTGGCGAGTCCGAGTAGTATAAGCTAAGCAAATTCATGCCAATTTTCATCCCAGATTTCACAGGCAAGCTTGTATCAAGTATATGGTTATCTCCTGTGCCATTCATATGCATGTTCTGCGTCAGCCCTCGAGGCTGCCCGGATGACTGCCGCGAGCAAGGATGTTACCTGGTTCCAAGGCGGGATGTAATTTAGACCCCGCGCCCTGGAAAATCGCCCACTGCGACCGCGAAGCCCGACGACGCGCAATATGCTTAGCGTCAAGGTGAAGCATCGCGAGACATTCCGTCTCTTCGCGCCCAGCGTTCTACCGGAGCCGGCCAGGCAGTGGTTCGGCCTCGGCAAGGCCTCTTCGAGCTACGACTTCATGCTCTATGCATGCCAGGCGAACGCTGCTCACCGACAATATATCAGCTGTCCTGCACGAAGACGGAACGGCGCGCGTGCAGCGGGTTCATCGCGAGCGGAACCCCGCGTTTTACGAGCTCACTTCGCAGTTCGCGGACTTGACTGGGGTATCTATGGTGCTCAGAACATCCTTCAACCGCAGTGAATTCATCGTGTGAATCCCAGCCGATGCCATTGCCACATTCCGAAAGACGGGCATCGGTGCCCTTTTCATAGGCAATAGATTCATGATTCACGAGAGTTGATTGCCGTGCAGAATTCCTCAATTTAGCACACTCTATTGCGTCAAATCTCAGCCACGAGAATCGTATTTCATCGGTGCACGTCATGGAGCTTGACTGACCTCCTGCCTGCTTGACAGGTACCTAAGTAGGTAGCATGGCAATTCCTGCAGCCAATGACTGCGGTGGGTGAGACGACATTAAGTAAAATTCTAAAGTCAATTAAAACTATGCGACTCTGAACGATAATCTTATGTTCCTTGGTGATTTGCCAGGCAAGAAGAACGAGTTGGCGTCGCCATTTCCCAACAATAGGAATAGTTGGTGCCAAAGGCACGTTCACCTTGCTTTTCGTTACCGGCGCAGCCAAGGAGTATAGATCAGGATAATTCACCTGCTCTCAACAAAACAGGCACTTTGGCCGAGTGGTTAAGGCGCCGTCTTCAGGTTCGATCAGATCCTGGCGGTCCGAAAGGGCGTGGGTTCGAATCCCACAGGTGTCATATCTTTTTGCCATCAATCCAGCTCAGTTAGATTTTTATTTAGCTGGAACAGCTTTAGTTATACTTGCAATTAGATAAAGAATCATTTTGCTTGCCGCCTAATTTGCAAAAACTATACCCAGTCAATTCGTAGCGGCTGAGACGAGTCCACGCCTCCTCCTCCCTATGCAACTGAGATTGGCACCATTATCCCGGTTCTAGGAGTATCTTAACAAAAAGCTGTGGAAACGGAAAGTACCACTTTCCTTCATACCCAGTCAATACGTACGAAGGTAGCCAGTCTGTGGAGCAGCACCTCTGACGAGACTACAAGCCCACTCTCAAATAAATAACGTGTGTGCCTGGGTGACGTCACCATTTCTCTGTAAATCAAAATATTAGTGACGACACCATGCAACGCATCGTGACTATTAAAATTAGCGACAACCCGCGGCCATCCGCCTCGTGCAGTCGCGTGACTAAGTCTCTTCGCTGAAAACGGCGCCAAATGCGAAAAAAAATGGCGACTAAAAGTCCGAACCCAACAGGCGACACGCAAAGCCTTCGCGAGTCAGCAGTGAAGCCAACAAAGACGTTGCGAGAACGCTTTCTACACCGTCTACCACACTATACAGGTCCTTACAGTGTGGGTTATATGGACATCGAAGTACCTGCACGAAACCCGCGACCAATATCTACCTTGAAAAGAAATGGAAAGCCGGTTCTACGCATGGACACTGTCCTCCTAGGCATCTACTACCCAGGGGACTTGCGAAAGGAGGCCAACAGCAAGGATGGTCTCAAGGGCATGCACCGCGTAGATTGGATGCCGCGACCTAGATTAGCTACCGCCAAAGGATACGCCAAGTTCCTGAACATACCCGAGATGCCCGTCACTGGCTACCTAGCTTGTACTACCCTCTTCACCAAGCTGCCAGCCTTTCGCAACGCCAAGCTGGCATCTTACTGGCCCGACACACTTCTCCAGGAGCCCGGGCCTGAGGGCGAACGAGCAAGACAAAATCAAGATGGCCACAAACGACCCAAATTCCCCGTCATCATATTCAGCCATGGCTTGGGCGGATCTCGTCTTTGCTACAGCGCCATCTGTGGAGAGCTTGCGAGCTTTGGGTTCATTGTGGTAGCCATGGAGCACAGAGACGGTAGTGGTGCGAGGACGCATGTCAGTCTGCCGGAAGACATTGACCCTGCGGAGATTGAGTCCTCGACGGCCAAGATCTACACAAATGACGATACGGGCAAGGACGCTGGCGGCAAAAAGGTGCGTGGTCGCGGCAAAAAGGGTGTGAACCCATACTATGTCGTCGACTACATCCTGCCCAAAGATAACGCGCAGGATACGTCGCCGCATAACCCGCAGGGCGTGGATCACGTCTTGAGATCTGCCCAAATTGAGCTACGGCAAGAAGAGATCAAGGAAGCGTACCATGTCATCAGCCTTATCAACAACGGCCAGGGAGGGGAGGTCGCCAAGATGAACCTTCGCAAAAGGGGCAATATTGGGTCCAGCTCCATGGGCCTCACCGGCATTGAGTGGGAAGATTGGACGGGAAGCATGTTCCTCAACACCGTCTCCGTGATGGGGCATTCTTTCGGCGGAGCCACGACAGTGCAGCTCTGTCGAGACGACTCGCTGACCTGGCTTGCCTCGGGACTAATATTGGATGCTTGGGGTCAGGCCACGCCTCCCGGCGGCGACAAGCCATCGAATAGTGTTGGCAAACCCATCATCGCAATTTCATCCGAGGCATTCATGCACTGGAAAGACAACTACGACCGTGTCGTCTCGTTTTGCAACGAGGCGCGCGGATCGGGTGCTCTGTGCTGGATGCTGACGATTGCTGGCTCAACACATCTGTGCATGACAGATTTTGCGGTCCTGTACCCGGTCTGGATGAGTCTCTTCATGAAGTCTCTCGTGAGCCCCAGCCGCGCCTTCTACCTCACCATTGTTGCGTCGCTCGAGTTCCTCGAGGCGACGCTGCCGCCCGAGCAGACCAAGTTTCGCACGTGGAGCAACGAGCGGCTCCTCTGCACGCGAGATCCCGTCAGCGACCCAGACGAGGCACTCAAGTCGGACCATGCGCCAGACGACAAGTGGGTGGCAGTGCGGCTCAAAATTCCCAACGAGTTTTCGACGAGGATGAAGAGCATCTGGCGCAAAATCCGGAGAGCCATATTGTACATTGTGCGAGATGACCTGTCCGATACGGAAAAGGGCGTCAGCGATTGTACTGCCAGCCAAGAAATTTGGATGCATTTCAGTCCTGCAGAGTCTGATGTTCAAGCGCACCGCGGGCGGCTCCTCAAAGCATAGATTGAGACTCCTCTCACAACAGCATTTCCAGTGGTTCAATGCGAACCATTGTCTGGGTTGCTGAGCTTTCTCATATGGGTCTGTATTTTTGTGCCTTCACTAGTTTTCATGGTTTTCTTTTGTCCTTTATGCCCTGTTTTAACAAACACGTGGATTTAGTAGCGCGGAGTCTTGCAACCATGCACGAAGAGCAATGGTGGTAAATGCAGCTAGTAGTAGCAAAGTGGCGGGCTAGAATGCTCGTCATTGATGCAGGCGTGGGGCTTGGAAATGCGAGTGGCTGTGCTGGTGCCCAAAGGACGGAAGTCCAGTAGTTATTTCCTACTGTCGATGTAAAAGATGAATAGAGTTAAATTTATTGATTCAAGTTGAATCTCTAATTAGAGTCTCGTTGGATCTCTCTTGTAAAGTTTGGAATTCTACGGACATTCCGTCGCCCACCAGCGGCAACGCCGGCAGAACTGTATTATTTGACTCCTTGAGCTGTTTTACGACGCGGTGGTTACAAAGTTACGAAAAAGTGCGGGGGTGTTGAGACTCCAAATTTTTATTCTTTCAGTGACTGCCTTTTGTATCCGTACATTGAAGTCTTAGCAACGCCTGCTATGCGGGCCGTGGGATGCCTTGCCTGAAACTGGCGTCTTGAACGACAAAGCCAGCCGGAAGGGCCAAAGACGGCTTGTGATATGTAGAGTATATGAATGGTACATAATAGAAATTCCGGTCTGAGAAAATCCTCCGGGTAAATATTGTCTTTTGTACGAGTTGAAAAAGGTACTGAGCCAATTTGGGCAAAGGGTAATGTCAAAATTACGAGCTGAGTGTGTGGATCAGCGATGCATCTTCGTATTTTGCGGCGATTTCTGGCTTTGTTTTATAACCGGTCCAGCCCTGTAACTAGGTAGGTAGTCAAGGATCGTCAGGCTCCGAGTTAGTCAACAAGCCACAGTCCGAGCCTGTGTCTCGGCCTCAGGTTACACGGAGGGAGCGGCTTGTTCTGCGTCACCATTTCCATTTCCAGTTCGTAACCAAGTGAGTATGTTCAAAGATTGCGCCGTTGCCGACATGAAGCTGGATAGGGTTGTCGATGGCTTCGGTTTGGCCGGTTAGCTGTATGAGTAGGTAGGTTGGTAACTACTGCCACCTAGGTACGAGTTAGAGCAACCCAGTAAAGCAACCCAGCAAAGAAAGCTTCTTCTCATGCTGAAAAATGGGGCCCAACTAACACGCCATACTCCCCCCGGTGCCTTAGCTTCATTGTGTGCCAGGTATTTTTACTGCGGATGGCGGGAGCCGCTGTCGTCAGAGATCGGGGTGGTCTCTGTCGGGTGGGGCCATCCGCATTCGCCTATTGGCCTGCTCTTCGTATTCCTTGACATCTTGGCTGCAGGGCTGCTGGGTGCTGCAAGTGCAATGAGCGCTGAAAGACACGAGGTGGACATCAAAGATCCCTGCGTAGTGGGCGTGAGTGTGCATGGACAGAAGCAAGTCGGCCGCCTTTGGTGAGAGTCATTGTGTCGGTTTGCACGTAGTTATCATTGTGTTGTATTACAGAGTAGTAGATAGTAGAGAGGGGGGAGGCGGCACGGCGCTTCGCTTCCAGGTGTTCTCGAGGAGCATTGGGCACAGTTGGCACGCTTCGCTTGCCAGCTGCCAAACGTTTTGCCAGCTGCGAGCTCTTTGGGGGATGCATGCCTCAGGTGCAAACAAATACCCCTTTGTGTTGTAAACGCTTGTCACCCATCCATTCTCCTTGGTACTCTTCTTCCTTTTCTTCAACGTCGTCATTTGCGCCGCATCAAAAGGAAAACTGACCTACCTACTTAGAACACATCGCGGGGCTGGCCAGCAAACGCCTGAGTCTATTTCAACAGCGGTGGGCCCGAGAGGAACGCCTATGCCGAACTGTCTCAGCAGCTCGCCCGCCAGCAGAAAACCCCCATCAGCCCAAGCTCCAGCTCCACAGCCAACCACACATTCAAGCCTCCTCGTATTTCATTCTAGGCCTGTAGCGTCTGACCACACCACGCCGTTGTCACGGAAAGTTTCGTACGGCCGCACATTTACCTAACGAGCTATACATATACTCCTCGACCCCTGCTCGGTTTTTTTTTTTTTTGCTCAACATATGTCGTGTCACTCGCTCGTTCCTTTCCAACTTTGATTCAGGGATCAATCCAGAGCTTCCCAGGTACCTCCTCACACACACACACGCCGTTTCACCACCAACCAGTGACATTACGGCCTAGCTGTACCCCCTCAACTCTTTCTCGCTGCAACTCATTTAATATTCACGTCTTCGCGACTTCACTCTGCAATCTCGCTTTCTCGCATACGAACTGCAGTGCGTCCCGTTGACCGTTCTTTGTTGTGTCAGAACCACTGCCGTGTACGACCTGGCTAGTCCACCGCACCTGCTCATTCACGTTGCACCACGCCCACCTCGAAGCGCGTATTTTTTTTTCCCTCCTTTTTCCATCTTTTATAATCAGTCACCTACATCATGGCTGAGACTTCATCTCGCCAGACTCGCTCAAACAGCTTGCAGCGCATGCTGGATCTCGAAAAGCAATACATGGTAAGCACCGCTCCAGCTTCCTAGCGCCATTCCAGGTCGCTCGCTAAAACCTTCATCCTCTCAGAACGAGAGACTGCGCAGCGAGTCGAACCAGTTCTGTAATCCTGGTGTCACGTTCAACAGCCCTCCATCATCATCAGGGCAGCGCCCTACAACACGAGGTCGCCAAATTGAACCTCAAACTGTACAGGAGCGTCGCAGGAGCGAGCAACACCAGAGAAGTTTTCCATTACAAACTCATACGCCAAAGCCACGGCTGGTAATAGATGTCAAAACCGCTTCCCCGAAGCCGTCTCCAATTGCTATCCACGAGCCCACTAGCAACATGAAGATTCGTCGAAGTGGCAAGAATATTGCTACCAGCCCACCCTCCATTCCATACAGCTCTACTGCTGAAGCTTCCCCGACCCCAGTGTCTAGCACTGACAGTTCTGTCTGCCAATCTCCTAGCTGGGAAGCTTATGACAAACGAAAGCAAGAGAAAAAGGAGGAGAGAAAGGCACGAGACGAAGCAAAAGCTGCACGAAAACCTCGTCGCCTCAGCAAACCCCCTCCAGCCTCGTTACCCCATGCATTGAAGCAAGTCAATGCCGACCAACCCGAGCCTGCGACAGTTGACAGGGGAAGACAATCTCGTCCCGCAAGTATGGTCATGTCCGATTGTCCTCCCAGAGAAACGTCATTCTATAAGCAGCCTCGCTCCCGCGCTGGCTCCTTCTCGTCCCTAATCAAATCGACTTTCGACTTTCGACGCTCCTCGATTGATCAGTCCCAAGAGCGTCCATTCATTGGCGGCATCAAACTTGAATACGAACAGCATCTCGCCAACGAAAGGGGCACGGATCAGGATAGTGTGATCGAGCCTACGGATGTCCATCCTGCCTTGCGTACAGGCAAGCCAGCTCTGAAGTCTCCACCTCCGCCGTCTCGTGCTACAGGTGCTAAGAATGCGAATTCGCGGGCTTATCCTCCCAATACCTTTCAGACTACGAAGTCAAAATCGATGTTTTTGGAATCCCCAAAGGTCCCGCCAGTACCAGACCTCAGCACCATCGAGAAATGGCGCGCACGGGTCGGCCTCAGGTCTTCGAGCAAGTCTTCCACATCGCCGAGCCCTACCACAACGGAGATCACTGCAGACTCTAAGGCTGATGAGGCCTCGGAAAGACCAAGCTTTAGCTCTCAGGGAGAAGTTGCACAGACACGTGAGAGCGTTACCGAGCAGGAAAAAGAAAAGACTGCTGCCAGTCAAGAACAAGTACGGAAAACACCAACTCCTCCGGAGCCTCCACGTCGAAGCTCCAAGCGCAGCTCTTTGCTAAATGGGAGCCCGTCAATGCCGCTCCTCACTCTACTTCATGTGCCTCTCGAGACAGCTACTTCTTCTCTGGATGATTTGCCCGCCACAGCCGCCAACGGCGATATCAAAAAAGCTAGTGCCAGCCCCTCTTGGGAGAATCTTCAATCGTCAGTTATGAACACGATTGAACATACTATCAAGCCAATGGCCGAGGTTGAGAAGGAAAAGGGCGAGAAGGAAGAGGGCGAAAGGGCTTTCTGGAACAGCCAAGAGTGGACTCTTCAGCGCTCTGACCATCCTCAGATCACATCCAGTTCCTCGGAAGACTCTGCCTCCGATTGCTTCAACACAGTTTCCATGCCAAGCACACCGAATACTTCGAGACCCCAGTCAGAGAAGGGTCTTCCACGTATCTCAGGCGAGTCAGACCGTCTTACACTGCGCAGATTTCAGTTGCACGACAACGCCTACCCAAGCGAGGCATGTTCCTTTGTCTCTGCCAGCTCATTTACAGGCGCTTACGACACGGATCGCGAAGTTGATCCGATCCAGGCAGCGGCAAGAAAGGTCATGGCTGCCTTACCTCCAATGCCGTCTACAAGACCCATCAATGAGCAGCCTTTGAAGCTTCGCTCAAAGTTTACCGATCTTTCCAACATTTCTGATATCTCATTGACTGAGGTTCACAGGCTCTCTCCGAAGAACCCAAAAGCGCAGCCCGCCAAGCGCGCCAATGGCGACACCGTTGCCAAGGTCTTCGTCGAATGCTGTGGATGCAAGTTTTATCATGATATGCCCAGCAAACTGTACGACGCAATGGTGAACCCCGACGGCGTTTTATGCCCCAAAGACCGGTCCGATTTTGGAGGTAGCATCTCAATGACAGTAAAGTGTCCATGGTGCAAACATGCCATGAGCACCAACTGCTGTGCTGGATTGGCCGCCATGGTCTACGTCAAAGAACGACTTCACTAATATTCTATCCGATATACAACCACAGCACAACGCACATATTACGACTTCAGACGAATTTCATTTGTCATTATTAAGAAATTTTCTTTTGTGTCTTTTTCCGCGCTCTGTAGCTAAGGCACAGTCATGAAAGCGCACAATAGTACCCCGTACGCGGCAGAGAATATTCCTGGAAGAAATGGCTCACATTGAAGGACACTTGCACTATTTTCTTCGCACAATGAACAATTAGAATAATCAAGGCCATGTTGCCTAAAAGCATCAATTATTTGTGAATTTATGAATTCAAACGTCATTTTTGTCGCATGCGCATGTGCCTTCACGGCAAGCCACAACTGCCCCTCCATCAGCCACTCACTTTCCCACCAGCTTAGCCACGCGGGGCATGACGACTGACTACCACCAGCGACGTACTAGGTTCTCGGTGCGCGTTCTTCGACCGCAGCTGATCCCTGGCCCAACGTGCTCGCTGAACAACTAGCAATATGGTATGTGGACAAGGTCATAGTCCGGCATATATTTCTAACAGAACCCTGTAAAGGCGTCCGAATCTAGACTATATTCATTCTCTGGCGAGACAAAAGAGCATCTTCGCAAGTTCCGCCTGTCAACCTCCCGCGCCAAGGACCCCCAGGCCGTCATTTGTATGTCTCCGAACGTGGCTCTTCAGTTGTGGTGGTATCTTCTCTAATGGCTTGCATCAATCAGACTTGGTCGACAAAAACACGCACGAAATCCGTCAGGACGACGACAAGACAGTATACAGCTCACTTGAGGATATTGGCGAGGATCTTCCCGATCACTCGCCTCGTTTTGTGCTGCTGAGCTATCCCCTAACACTCGTGGGTCTATTAGCCTACTCCTCTGATATACAACCAGAACTAACGCCTCTCTGCGAACAGAGCGATGGCCGAGCCTCGGTGCCCTACGTTCTGCTGTACTATCTTCCTGATACCTGCAATGCGGAAATGAGAATGATTTACGCTGGTGCCAAGGAGCTTATGCGGAGTACCAGCGAGGCAGGTCGCGTCATTGACCTGGAATCAATCGAAGAACTCGAAAATATACCCAAAAAACTAGCCTCTGACTGAGGATGTTGTGAGGCAGAAGAATAAACGTGAGGGTGCGTCAGCTGCCCAAGAGATCAATCTGACAGGTCCTTTTGAAGTGACGAAGGACCATGCACGTATCAAAGCATGTGGGTATTTCCAGTGTTTTCAATATCATTATATTCTTTTACTATTTCGTCAAACGTTCATTATTCCGGTAATATATCTTGGGTATCAAGTCCCAGTTGCTCCGCTAAATTGCGCACTACCCCTTGAAAGGCCTTGCATGCTGGACTGTCTGGAAACGAATCAAAGAAACTCTCTCCGTAGTCACAGGCCATTCTGATGCGAGGATCCAGCGGCACGGCGCCGAGAAACGGTATGTCCATCTCCTCGGCGAGGGCGCGGCCGCCACCAGTGCTGGCCTTGAATATCTGGCTCTCGTTCTTGCAGTTGGGACACACGAAGCCGCTCATATTCTCGGCCAGCCCGAGGATGCGGATTCCCGCCTTGCGGCAAAAGTCGAGCTCCTTGCGCACGTCGAGCAGCGCGACTTCTTGCGGCGTGGTGACGACGACAGCGCCGTCGATGCCGCTTGCCTTGAGGAACGAGTTGACGCTGAGGTGCTCGTCGCTTGTGCCCGGCGGCGTGTCGACGAGCAGAAAGTCGAGGTCGCCCCATTCGACGTCCTTGAGGAACTGCTTGATGAGGCCATTCTTCTTGGGCCCGCGCCAGATGACGGCCTCGTCGCGGCTCGGTAGCATAAACTGGATGCTCATGACGGCAAGGTTGTCCATGACCCAGACGGGCGTCCAGCCGGAGCCGCTCACGTGTATTGTCTCGTCCTCGACGCCCATCATCTTGGGGATGCTCGGCCCGCAAATATCCGTGTCCATGATGCCGACGTTGCTGCGCGGGTTGGTCGCAAACGCGTGCGCCAACAGCGACGTAAACGTGCTCTTGCCGACGCCGCCCTTGCCGCTGAGCACGAGGATCTTGTGCCGCACGTTTTCGAGGCGCGCCGCGATGACGGGGATGTCGGGATCGGGGCCCTTGGGCGCGGACGCGCAGATGGCCTGGTTCGGGCACCCCGCGCACGAGTCGGCCGCGCCGGCCTGCTCAGACTCGGGTCCGGGACAGTGCGCCGGCTCCGGGGCGACGAGCTGCGGCTTCTGCTTGAGCGGGTTGGCGAGCACGTCGGCTACCGACTCGGTCTGTTCGAGGGACGGCGCCATACTCGCGATTTGCGCGATTTCTTTTGTGTCGGTAAGACGGATGGCAAGTCGAGTTGAGAACGATGCGAAAGCTGTGTGCTTTCGTCGAAAGTGGCAACTGGGCATGTGGATAGCGCGAGCTTAATAATGCACATTCGTGATTGATCAATACGTAATCTGACAATGGCGAAACTAACAACCCGAGAAAAATAAGCCAAACGACACATATTCTATCACCGAGGATATACATGATGTTCCCAAGGTGCAAGCATCATTTAGTCGTGTAAAGAAGGCTGCAAATCTATGCCGTCGGACCAATGCAGGGTAGGATAGCATCAATGTGGTGCAGTTTGCGCGTAGGGCCGGTCGGCAGGAAAGAGGCCTAGGGGCCCCAGGTATCTTAGTATGTAGGTAGGTAGGGACTAGTAGACGGCAAAAAACACGGGTCACATCAAAAACGAATTTTTGTAAGGTATCAGACGTAGCATACGGAAGCTAAAAGCAAGAGTGTGAAAACGCAAAAAAGAAAGGTTCCAGGGGGAGTCGAACCCTCGCTGGCGGAATCAGAATCCGCAGTCATAACCGTTAGACCATGGAACCCTGAAATGGTTATCCATTTCACATGTGTCATGACAATTTTGTTCTTAGATTATGCTATAAAGTCAGTGCATTCCTCGGGCCAAGCTAGTGGCGGGGTCGGTGTTATCGGCGCACCACCCCACCTAAATTTTTCTTTAATCCAGATCCTTCAGGGTGTGGGCTTGTTGCGCTTCTTGCGAATCCTTGTTGTGCGAGTGCGAGGATACGATAAATCATGGCTACAGTCACTGTGGAAAAGCTCCGCGAGAGCCTGGTCTCAGAGGCAACCCCCCTGCCCGTCCGCTTCCGCGCCCTCTTCTCTCTGAAGCACCTTGCTGTCACGGACAAGAGCGCGGCAGGCCCCGCCATCGAGAGCATCGCGGCGGCGTTTGCATCGCCCTCTGCCCTGTTGAAGCACGAACTCGCCTACTGCCTGGGTCAGACTGCTAACGATGCTGCTGTTCAACCCCTACGCAGAGTTTTGTGCAACCTAGAGGAAGACTCCATGGTGCGCCACGAGGCCGCCGAGGCCCTCGGTGCCCTGGGCCATACTGAGAGCCTAGAGCTGCTGAAGCAGTTTCGTGATCGCGAGGGCGAGGATGTCTCTGTCGTGGAGACTTGTGAAATCGCGATTGATCGTATTGAATGGTCCAACTCCCAGGATAGACAACAGGAGACGCTCAAGCAAAGGTGAGTCTGATCTGAAAAAATCGTGCTGTTGGTCCCTAACTAACGATTACGCAGTGACTTTGCATCCATCGATCCTGCCCCTCCGGCCGACGAAACCGAACAAAATGTCGAGGAGCTTGGAAAACGGCTCATGGACGAAAAGTTACCGCTGTTCCTTCGTTACCGCGCCATGTTTTCGCTCCGAGATCTGGCATCGCCACCTGACCTGCCGACCGCCGTACCAGCCGTCCTTGCACTTGCCAAGGGTCTCGCCGATCCTTCTGCACTCTTCCGTCACGAGATCGCCTTCGTTTTTGGTCAGCTCTCACATCCTGCTTCGATCCCAGCCCTGACAGCAGCGCTCAGCAACGTTGACGAGGCAAGCATGGTACGCCACGAAGCCGCCGAGGCTCTTGGCAGTCTTGGAGAGGAGGAGGGTGTTGAGGATATTCTGCGGCCTTTCCTCCATGACAAGGAGAAGGTGGTGCGCGAAAGTATAATCGTTGCGCTCGATATGGTCGATTATGAGCAAAGCGGAGAGGCTGAATATGCGCTGATCCCAGAAGTCGTTGGCACTTCGGCTTAAGATAAGGATTATATATAGAATAAAAGTATCTTCGAGCAACGCCTCAATTGTCTTCCTGCCACCTGCAATCGTGCGTCAGTGTACCTGCTCTGCTGGTTGTATGGCCTTAGGTAGGAACTTACGAATGGCCACAGTCGCACATGTAGAAAATTGTAGAACCCTCGTCTGCACTGCGAAGCTGCAGGTTTGTGTATCGGACTTCTTTGCGGCCACACTTCTGGCAGGTCTCAGGCACAACGCTATCAGTCTGGATATTATGGCGCTCAACGGCCTGGACGCTGGATTGTAACTTCTGTCTAAGGAAAGACGGGAAATCGGAGGGTTTCGATTGAGTAAGAGTCGTCCTGGCACCAGTGTCTATAGCAAGTCAAATTGTGAGACTTGTTCCTTATTACCCAATGCTGGACGAAGACGAACCTTGATTTTCGGCACCACAGCACTCGCACTTTAGCACATTTCGATCTGTTCCTTTTGTGGAAGGCAGAAGGTTGCCACAATCGGTACAAAAGACAAGGGATCCGATAGCTGCCATTATGAGCAACCGTTTTCGTTTTTGGATGTGTTGACGATAGACTTGGTTTTTTCTGCTGCCTCAACAAGTTTGGTAAATTGAGGCAGGTGGTGCAGGTGGAAAAGTATTTATGGGTCCAACGACCCTTATTCTACCTTTGATTGGCTGGATCAGAAGCAGCCCAATGCGGACTGGCGGCAGAAGAAAATCACGCTGACTGGTCAACCAAGGCACCTACCAAACCGGATCGGGAGTTCTGCCTGGGGATTGCTTCACGGTTAGCGCATTTGCTTCCTCGATTGCCTGGCTGCTCATACAACCCAACAAAATCGACCACCGATGCGATCACATTGATAGCTCCCGTCGCATCAGCCGGTACTCTAAGACACCTAAGAAAGATCAGCAGGAGGGGTGGTGCCCAGTCCGACCTGGTCGCTTTCTGCAGGCTGCGACGCTCAACGAGCGGCGTTCGCTGTTCCCAAGATCGCCCCTGCGTTTGCACCTTCGATGCGCCATTGCCTGGCAGCTCATCCGGCCCGCAATGCCAGCTGGCAGACAGCCGTAACAAAGACGACCAACAGCAGTCTTTTACTCTGGCACAATGAATGGTCCTCAGAATGGCCTCAGCAGCCGACGGGAGGAAGCTAACATAGCTGCTACAATCTCTCGCCCGTTGACTCTGCAACAAGCTCTCCCATACTCGCCACAGACATCAACGGTCCCTTTTATTCCTTGTACGCGGCTGCGTTTGATTTTGTTGCATATCAGCTCGACTAACTTCATGGCAGACATTATCCCCGACCCCTCCATCGGCTCTGGTTCGCCCGCCGAACCCGTCTCTGGCTTGTTTCCTCGACAAGAGTTTGACAATCTGAACAACGAGGCGGCAACTGGGCAGGACCAACAATTGAAGAGTGTCAAGCAAGCTGTTGACTTCGTCCTTCACGACATGAAACCTGCACAACGCACACAATAGTATGTTTTGCAGTTGGTTCTGCGATCAAGCCCACTGGCCCCTAACGTCGTCCCACAGCAACTTCCGATCTGTCCCGCGTGGTCGGACGAGATCTACGTCGAAAAAGTCAGTCACAAATGGCCTCACTCCTGTAGCGCAGGCTGTACACGATCGAGTCGAGACGTACTTCAGAGCGAGCAAGAACAATGTCAAAACCGACAAAGCTGTCAACGGCTTCACCACATCGCACACTCACAAATTATCAGACAATGGTGACAAGACCCCGGAAAAGCCCCCCAAGATTACTACGGAGAAGAAGACGCCAAACGCGACAAGACAGGCAGTCATAAACAACGTCGAAGTAGCTGAGTCGAACCCTGTTAAAGTCGAGATCGCTATCACAGCTTCGAAGAATTTTGACCCGTCTGCGTATGAAGATGGCGACTCTTTCATGCGGTCTGCGGAAATAAGCTCTGTCCCCTTGAAGAAGGCAGCATCACCCCCTCCTCCACAAGTCGATGAAATCATAGTGGCCGAATCGGAGCCGGCTGGAGGCTTACGCATTGAATTTCCCAGCCTGAGTGGAAGAGATGAGTATGCTGACGTCACAATTGCCCCTGATGCGCCTAGCAACTTGTCAGCGCGTAAATATGGCAATACTCAAGGAGGACAAGACTTTGTCGGTTCTGGCCTTGACCAGCGCCAACGTGGGGAAGCTGCACTCGACGCTCTGGAGTCCCAGCTTCGCACCATATTCTCAGCTGTTGGATATGCGTTCGCAATGGAGCCAGGCTACGACCATATTGTGAGGCTGATGCCAGACCAAGAAGTTGCCATGACCGCTGGAACCCACCAAAAATTGCACGTCGCAATTCAAAAAGCTGTTGACTTGCGAATATTCGACAAAGTCCCTGTGGAAAATCTCCTACAAATCATCAAGCTCAGTGAAACTAGTCTCAAATATATGGATATCATCGATATTCACATTGACGAAAGCTGGGACGACGCGGCTGCAGATTCCTGGGTTACACAGCTTGCAGAAGTTGAGACAGCCATGAAGGCTGCGAGAACATGTCTTCGAATTTTGTCTGGTGGCCGCGAGGATAAGCAATTATACGCGGAAGCCATGATTCTCAGATGTGTTAATCTCTGCAAGTCTGTCACTGAGGACATCGTCATGCCGCTTGTGGAACTTGGAAGCACCGGCACCGGCGCAGCCCTCTTCAAGCTTTTGTTCAAGCATAAAAAGACTCTGTCAACAGTATTTGTTACGTGCCAAAAGCTGTTCGCGTTGATGGCAGAGCTGATCGCCAAGATTGAGCTTTCAGAGACGGCATCCAATACTCTAGAGTACACAGCCTCGAAACTTATCTTTGTCGAGAATGCGCACGTCGAACGTGAGTCAGTTGTTGGGGTTCAAAAATTCGACGGCATTCGATCAGTGGCCATGGATATTCTCTGCCAAATCTTCGTCAATAAGCCAGCACAGCGGCAGGGTATCATTGACGACATTCTCACATCACTGGAGAAGCTCCCTGTCGGCAAACAAAGCTCCAAACAGTTTAAATTAGCTGATGGAGGTAGCATCCAGCCTGTTTCTGCCCTCATTATGCGGCTAGTCCAGTCCAGCTCTGGAAAAGTCGATCAAAGTGGCGAGGGTCGCCGAGCGGCTCTGCTGAGAGATCTAGATGGAGATGTGGAGGGTGAGCCTGTCACCACTGAAGCAACTTCTAGGCAGGGACAGGCAGTATCTTCGTTGACCAGCGATGACCATGCTTCGCAGCAGCATGCAATTGCTATTCAAGAGCTGGACACGATATCGAGTCCCCTGTACGATACGGCCACCCGAAACGCCTCTTACGTGATCAACTTCATCGTGAAGCGGGCTATTGGGTCCACGAAATCGGGAGACACGCCTTATCGTAACCTCTTGGATCTCTTCGTCGAGGATTTCACCGTTTGCCTTGACTCCCCTGATTGGCCATGCGCTGAGCTGCTTCTGCGTCTCCTCATGCTGCGGATGGTACAGTTGTTTGAAGGTCAAAAGACGGCTGTCCCTGCCAAGAATATGGCACTTGAGTTACTAGGCTCTATGAGTGCGGCCATCTCGCGCCTGCGCTCCCACGTCAAACGCACCGCCACCAATTTTGAAGGTGCAGACGCGGATGAAATGTCACGCTATCTTGCTGATCTTGCCATCCATATTCTGGAGCAAAAGAGTCAAGCAGAACATCTGGTTGCTTGGGCAGGGCCATTTCGTGCCGTGCTCGAGTACTTGCAAAGTCGCAGCACAGAGGATCAGCATCTGGCTAGTGCTGTGGCCTTTGTCATCACAGACTGGGCGAATAGGACACACACTGCATATGATTCGATCAAAGATGAAGAAATTGAACGAGACAGTGAGCTTGGTCGCTTGGCTTACCGACTTCGGAAGATGGTTGCAGATCGCAAATGGCTTGCTAGCGAGTATACCTTCAAAGCAATTAGCGCCGCCCAAGCGAAGCTTGCATTTTCAATCATTCTATTACGGTCCACGCTCTGCGAGTCATTTGGCAAGATTCTCAACATTTTGCTGGGCTCCATGGCAAGCGACCAAGCGACTGTCCGAAGCAAGAGCCTCAAGAGCGTCAACCAAGTTCTGGAGACGGACCCCTCTATCCTCGACGGAGACTCTAGCGTCATTCAACTAATTTTGGAATGCTCCAGTGACTCTTCGACTCAAGTCAGAGACTCTGCCTTGGGATTGCTCGGTAGCTGTATCACGATGCGTCCAGCTCTTGAACCGTCCTTGACACCAAAAATTATTGACCGTTTCCAGGACGCTGGCGTTGGAGTACGAAAACGTGCGATGAAGCTGGCTCGAGATATTTACTTGCGCAACAAAAATAAGGGCATTCGTTGTGCTATCGCAAACGGCCTGCTCCGAAGGGTCCAGGATCCAGATGAGGGTGTGCGAGACCTGGCTCGACAAATGATCGAGGAGGTGTGGTTTGCTCCCTTCTACTCGAATGACGGAACAACCGCCTACCAAACCGCAATCACGGAGCATGTGGCCCTCATTATTCAAACTGTCAAAACAGGAACCGCCACTGAAGTCCTTGACAAAGTCTTCCAGACCATTCTTCGGCCCAATAATAAATCACTGGAAGGCCCATTTTCGGTATGCTCGAAGTTGGTCTGTGATATGTTTGATCTTCTCGACAATCCGGACTCTGAAGAATCCTCAGGACCGTCAGGCAGAGATGCGCTTCAGGTTCTCACCATATTTGCGAACGCAGATCCAAAACTTTTCAATTTTGAACAGATTCGACTTTTGAAGCCTCAACTAGCGAGCTTCTCTGGCCAAGAAGAGCTGGCTGCGTTCCGCGCAGTCACCGTCATTTACAAGAGGGTGCTTCCACAGATTTCTACTGTTCACTCGCAATTTCTGGGAGAAGTGCGCAAGCAGCTTCTCCAAGGTGTTGGAAAAATCTCATCTAGAGGCGCGCTTGATGACCTGATTGCGTGTGCCAAGGTTGTCTGCGATTTGCTGAATGACTTTAGCCCAATGGCCAACCTGGTTGCCTCCAGTCTGGTCGGCATTCAGAAAATTGCAGCGGCTCCTCTAGATCCAAAACGCCTCAATATTCTCTGCGCCTACGCGATTATTGTTGGCAACGTGGCGAAGCACTGCGACTTGGATCAACAAATCGAGATTTTCAAGGCAAGATTTCAAAAGTGGCAGGGCGATTCGGTGCCACGCTTGATTGTGGATATCGTATCCCCCTTCACCAATCCCCAACAACCGCTCGAGGCGAGGAAAGCAGCGCTGGAAGCCATTGGATTAGTTTGCCAGTCTTGGCCACGGAACTATGTACTAGCTAAAGTTTATACGGCGTTCCAGCAAGTTTTCCAGGACCAAATACCCATGTTGGAGACTATGATTCTCAGATCCTTCAAAGAGTTCCTTATGGGAGAAGAACGCCGATCGGAGGCTTCTACTCAAGCTGCCGCAGCTGGCGGGAAACGCGAACTTACAGTAATGGGTGGCACCACTTTCGATGATGTTGCTAGCGCTACAACGCATAGATTCCTAAAGGACTTCACCCGCATAGCGCTCTCCAGCCAGGATGAATATGCATTCCTGGCTATGGAGGTTTTGGGAAGTATCAATCGCCAAGGTCTCACGCATCCCAAGGAAACTGGTGTCACTCTGATAACGCTGGAGACATCAGCCAACAAAAAGATTGCGGAATTGGCCTTTATGGAGCACAGATCGCTGCACGAGAAACATGAGACAGTGCTAGAGCGAGAATACGTCAAGGCAGTACAATCAGCCTTCAACTACCAGCGCGATATTGTCAAGGAAGCCCATGGTGCCACGACAGATCCCTTTCAAGCAAAGCTACACTTGCTGATGGAGGTGTTAAAAATCAGCAAATTGAAGAACAAGCAAAGATTCCTGGAGAAGCTCTGCTACCAAGTTGACTTTGACCTGAACAAACTCAATGCGAAGAGCGGCGTCCCAGAGCATGTTGGCTTTGCCCGGTTTGTTGTGGACAACCTTGCTTTCTTCGACTACTCGACCATCGGTGAAGTGCACACGACGGTGAAGAGCCTTGAGAAGATTGTTACTACAACCGGCGCTACTGTTGCCCAAGCGATTGAGTCGGAGATTTTCAATGTACGCATGGACTTGGATGCACCGACTGCCACAGGAGAAACCTCAGGCGATGCCGAAGGTGAGCCAGCCGATATTGCAGAAGCTCCAGTTGTGGGTGCAGATGTAGATCCGGCCCGCTTCCGCCAACTCGCATCTGCATCCGTGATATTGCTCATGCTTTGGGAGGCTCGCACTTATTTACGAAAGCTGTACAATATGGGAACCAGCCGACATGACAGCAAAGCGAAGCTTCTGGCCAAGGATCTCAACAAAACGCCGACCAAGGTCCAGGGTGTACATGGGGATAAGATCTGGGAAGAGTTGGCCGCTCACGAAACAGGCTACGACACGCTGCAAGGCATGGGTGCCAAGTGTCAGACTCTGATTGAGCTGATGAATGTGGACAAAGAATTCAAGGTTGCAGAAGACGACGAACAGGCGGATATGGATGCAGCGGGTACTGCAAGTGAAGGGGAGGACGATGGCGAAGGCGGTGAGAGAGGACGGAAGAGGAAAGGGGGGCCTACGCCTGGCGGACGAAAGAAGCGTCCTCGATCGAACTCGCAGCCGCGGAAGAGAGGGCGGCCGCGCCTGTCAAGTATTGAGGCAGACGATGAGGAAGGCGACGCATCCTGGCTTTAGTTGTATGGGCTGGCGCATTTATGAGTGGTATATATGGGACCGGCGCCTTTTATTCTGTTTTATGTTGTGTTTTGGGGGTTTGAAAATCGGAAGAGGCGTTGCTGGCAAAGACTTTTGCTATATTTGGAGCTTGGTGAGGCGAGAAGCCTGGGAAAAACGGCGTTTACATTCGGATACATACCCATGTGTTACTATGGTAGAGACGCATTTTGCTGCAATCAAGCAAGATTTTTACGATGGCTATGAGTAATACAATTGCTACCTTTGTTTTATTTTGCAATTAAGCGTACTGGGCCAGCTACTTGGTCGATGTTGGGCAGCTACAGAAAAGGCGAGCACGGCAGCGATATGCTTGGTGCTCGGTACATAAAGAATGGCCTATGACGACACGATGTGAGGCGGCCCAGCTGAGAACAAGGACAAGACTGGAATAACGAAGTATCCGTACCCCGGTCTTCCTTTGTCTGGCTCTCTTGTTGGCTCTGAATAAGCGTATTATGGCTCTCGAATGCTATTGACCGGCCCTAGTCTTTGGAATGGTGTAACCTTTGAATTGTTTCTTGGTTGAGCAATTCCAGGCATCAATTCCAGGCTGCACTCCCTGCATCTGCCCTTGTTACCTAGTTACGCCACTGGTCACTTGTCAGGTTACAGAAGCACCGGTACCTCGCCTTCTGCCTTCTCAAGCCTGCCGCCTGGTATCATCCACTGAGATGGATTGGCGCATGACAGATTGCATACTGGCCAAGCCTCAACGAGCACGCACGACATGAGATTGTTTATTATTAACTAGTGGAACAAAGGGGACAAAGGGAGGCGACAATGTTGGAGGCCGCCTGCTGCCCTGATGCTGTGCCTGCCCAGGCTACACGTGGAGAGATGTAATTTGGCGGAAGCACCAGTCTCGAGTAGCCTCGGGCTTGGGCCGCCTTTCCTTAGGGTTGTTGGTGGTGACTGGCGGCAGTTGAAGCCTAAAACTAGATCACTAATTAACGTTACCGGCCGGTATTACAGAGTACAAAGGCTAGTACATAGCAGCCTAATGATCCGTGATTGAAGGACAGGGAGAAGCGAGGATTGCGAGGCCACTGCATTCAGCTTGTTTGCGCGTGTCTCTCAAATACCAGCTGTTTCCCATTTCCCATCTTTCTTGCCATCTCTTAGTTATTGCTCATCTTTCATTGTCGAATTCGGCTCAGTCAGTCCCCGCGACCTATCCCTTGATCCATCCAAACTTTCTTCCACGCGCTACTTTTCTGGGAAAGGCGCAGATTGGCGACAAGAAACCTAATAAGTAGCAGAACGTGCCCCCTTGGCCCCAAGAAGCGCAACGAGGCGTGACCGGTTCATCGTCGTCTTTTACACATACACTCTCACACAGCGTAATCTTGGGTTGTGCTGGGCTATACTGGTAAGCTGACGACAAGTCACAACGGCTTCTCAACAGTGTTTTCCTCAAAAGAGGAAGTCTTTCGCCAGGCCGCATACGCCATCTGTCACGCTTCTGAGCCGGGGGTAGAACCCGGTCGCGATTCCTACTTGGTGCGCTGCTGCGCCTCCGCGCTATCAAAACAGTGTCTACCCAAAGGGAGGAAGCGAAGCAGTGGCAGATGAGGCCGCCGGCGGGCTGCACCATATCTACAAATTACACGGGAGGGAATTTTCATCGCTAACGGGAGTTTGCGAAACAGATTTGTTCTTCTTTCTTTCCCGCTCTTTGTTGGATTTTTTTCAACGCCAAGCTGTCGGTCTCAGCTGCCGGTGATCGATCTCTTGGAACTTCTTGGCCTGCGGCTTTACCCCTTTCCCGGCACCCGCTCACTGAGACTGCCAAGCTCACTCACCAGACTTATTACTCATCCCCCACCACTGAAACCAAACAATGAGCTGTAAGTTGAACGTTTCATCCATGTCATCTATCCCCTCTCCCTTTCACGCACGCACAAACATGGGCACGAGCCTACCGAGGTTTCATGGATGCAAGACGGCCCGTGGCCTGCCTTGCGCGTCCTGGATCGATTCATTTGAATGAGCACACGGCAGTGCAATGAATGAATGACGGGCCCAGTGGCCCACCCACGGGCCACAATGATGAGAGCCGCTAAACACTATCCACCTCCCGGAACCTGCTTGGCTCCAAAACGCCTCCATGCCTCCATGCCAGCAATGCCACACAACTGCGGATAGCTAGGTCGCATCTCCATCCATCTATCCGTTGCCGTTGGAGGCACCTCTCCATTCTCCATCTCACCCACACTTCTTCGGAGCTGACACCACGCAACGCAACGGGGCTTGGCTGTCCAACTGACCAAGACCGCTTCGCCCTCGCTCGCCACTTGCTCCACGTCGTCCGTCATCCTCACCTCACTTCCCACCGTTGCATATCTTTCAGGTGCTACCGCCCTTTTTTTGCGATACCTCACCAACTCACCCATTGGCCCCCGTCCTACCTGCACAGTACCTCTCCAATGTCCTTATAGCAGAGACCGTTTTCCCTACACAAGCGCGGCCCCATGGTCCCATACACCATCCGCGCACATTGTTCTCGATACGCCAGACGCTGACCGTGCTCTTGCCAAATGTCAGTCAATACATACAACATCAGGCGCAAGGCGCACAACGTCAGTCGCTCCAGCACCGATCAGACCTGGAATCCGTTTCGCCGTGTCGCCTGGAAACAAAACCGCAGAGGCACATGGGCGCACGACAGCAACACCCGCGATCTCGAAGCCGACGCCGACGGACCCCGTCTCACCCACGCCCAAACCGCGCCTCAGCAAACGACACATTCGTCCACGGCCGACCCGACCCGGGATCCGGAGCTCACTCAAGTCACTGAGGAGCGATCAATCGGCAACGACCATGGCGCAACGAACGGCTTGGCCCCTGCCAGTGCTGCCGCCGTCAGAAACCGTAAACCCGGGGATGAAGCTTTGAAAGCCGTCAACAGTCACCAGGACGAAGACGAGGACGTCAAAGAGAGAAAGGCGGCTAAGCCGAACGCGCTGTATCGTCCCGTTCATCCCAAACAGCCGTTCACGCTTGGCAACCAGATAAAGCGCACAATCTTTGGCTCTTGGATCAACCTTTTGATCATTTGTGCTCCCGTTGGCATTGCTCTCAACTACGTCCCCAGTGTTAGTCGAACCGTCATCTTCGTCGTCAACTTCATCGCCATCATTCCGCTCGCTGCTATGCTGAGCTTTGCTACCGAAGAGATTGCCCTGCGTACTGGTGAGACGTTGGGAGGTCTCATCAATGCCACATTTGGCAACGCTGTTGAGCTCATTGTCGCCGTTATTGCTCTTATCAAGGGCGAAATTGTCGTCGTGCAGACGTCGCTCGTTGGATCTATTCTCTCCAATCTGTTGCTGGTCATGGGCTTTTGCTTCTTCTTTGGCGGTCTGCGCCGTACCGAGCAATATTTCAACACCACTGTCGCGCAAACCGCTGCATCTATGCTCGCCCTTGCCGTCGCCTCGGTCATTGTGCCGACCGTCTTTGAACTCAAGACCAAGGCAGATCAAAATGAAATTGCGAAGCTGTCGCGCGGTACCGCCGTCATTCTGCTTCTGGTGTACTTTGCCTATCTGTTCTTCCAACTCCATACCCATCTCGATGTCTTCAACGAACAAAGCCAAAAGGTTGCTGCAAGGCCGTGGACTCATGGGCATACTCTTAAAGAGGGCTTCTCTCACATGCCTGGTGCCAGTGCTTTCAGGCGCGGCCATGGTACTTCCAGCCAAGAAGAGCAGATCCTGGCTGCGGCGCCAGTCGAGAACCAGGAACTCTCCCAAGAGGAGGAAGATGAGGACGAGGAGGATCCTCAGCTGCACTTTTATGTTGCCATTGCCACACTCCTTATCTCTACTGTTATTATCGCGCTTTGTGCCGAATTCATGGTCGACTCGATTGACCATCTGACCAAAACTACAGCTCTGCGAAAAGAGTTTGTCGGCCTCATTCTGCTGCCTATTGTCGGTAACGCTGCCGAACACGCCACTGCAGTGACGGTTGCCATCAAGGATAAGATGGATCTTGCTATTGGTGTTGCCGTTGGATCTAGCATGCAGGTGGCTCTATTCCTCATCCCCCTCCTCGTTATCATCGGCTGGGGCCTCGGAAACGAGTACATGGACCTTAGCCTGGACGAGTTCCAAGTGGCCGTCATGTTTGTCGCTGTGCTCCTCACCAACTACCTGATTGGTGATGGCAAGAGTCACTGGCTGGAAGGTTTCTTGCTGATATGCCTTTACGCCATTATTGCCACCTGTTCATTCTGTATGTTTCTACCCCGATCTAAGCGAGAGTCAGGTTTCCTGAAACTAACACTTGCGCACAGTTTATCCCGACGACGCTAGCGATGGCCGCACTGGCTAAGACGTGCAAGGGCTGCTGCTATCAGCCCCGAAATTTCTCTTTTGCTTTCAGGTAACCACTAGGGATATGCTTGTTCTATATTCTCAAACTATTTCCGTTGCAGCTGCACACTTTTGGCTTGCGGTACGCCGAAAGCTCAAAATTTCATGTATCATACAACCAATACCTTGGCATATGTCTCTATCTAATCACAAAGATCTTTTAAAACTTTTGCTTCTCTCACGACGTATGGAAGCTGCGCCTTTAAGCAGATATGCCCGTCAGCTCGTTCTCGCATACCTGCATTAATAACACTATTTATGCTAGCCGTTAAAAGAATGACTTGTATCTTTTTCGGATTCAACTTTGAAACTGCCAATCTGCTTGTGCTGCCAAACTCAGCTTTGAACGTGAATAAGTCCTCGAAAATGAGGCCGTATGTGGACTGGGCAGTGTTTTATTAACTACCTAGTGCCCATTGCTAGAAGCTAATATTACCTAGGAGGTAGGTAGGTTCTGGTCAACGCTACGACGACAACAGCCACCCCGCATATAAACCTACCTAGGTAGGTCCATAGGTAGGTAGGTAGGTGGGTAGCTAGTTGACTCAAACTTCCTAATTACACTTAACCTTCCTCGGTCAAACTCACATCACACGATTCAAAATGTCGCTTTCGAAATTGCCGCCACGACCTGTTCGAAATCTTGTCGGAAAAGTCGCCATAGTCACCGGGGCCGGAGCAGCCGGCAGTGACCTAGGCAACGGCAGAGCCATTGCCTTGCTCCTTGCCGAGGACGGCGCTTCTGTAATATGTGTTGACCGTGACGAAACCCTGGCCCAGAGAACCGTAGAGATGATACAGGAGCAAGGCAGTGGCTCCGGGGTTGCTTTCCGGGCCGATGTTACCTCGGATGACGATTGCTCGCAGTGCGTCTCGCGAGCCATGGCAGAGTACGGCCGGCTTGACATTTTGGTGAACAATGTCGGGATTCTGGGACCCTCTGGAACCGCGGAAAACGTTGATATAGCAGCATGGGCAAAAGGTCTAGAAATCAATGTGACGAGCATGATGATTATGGCCAAGCATGCTATTCCTGCCATGCTGAAGAATGAAGCTGGCGAAGGTGGCATCAGAGGCAGCATCGTCAACATGGGCTCGGTTGCTGGTCTGCAAGGAGGGACACAGAGCTTGCTCTATCCCACCAGCAAGGGTGCCGTGGTAAATATGACGCGGGCAATGGCAGCAAATCATGGCCAAGACGGCATCAGAGTCAACTGCGTATGCCCAGGCAAGTCGCCCGACTCGCCGCCGCATTTTCCCCATCTCACATTGCTGCAGGAATGGTCTATACCCCGATGGTATACAATGCCGGCAGTGGCATGTCCCAAGAAATGCGAGAAGCCCGACGCGATCGCAGCATTCTGAGAACCGAGGGCAACGCGTGGGATGTTGCCAGCGCCGTTCGATTTCTGGCGGGAAATGAAGCGCGGTGGATTACTGGAACAATTCTCACGGTCGATGCTGGGGCAACCTGCGCAGGTTTTATCCCCTTGAACCACTAAATTGTGAACTCTCGAGTGTTGCGTCGTTGTCTTTGTAACTATTGGGCAGGATAACAACTCATGACTCGTCCGCTGCAGGGAACTGTCAAACAATTGGGTATGATGAACCTGTGCGCTCTTCAAGATAACTAGATACAAGCCCACAAAATGCACAAGTCAAGCAGACAGTCTTTCAAGTCATCGGGCGGGTTTGAAAACAAACTTGGTTCGGGGCCTGGGGGTGGCGCCACTAATAACTACTGTTGGCGTCTGGGCACCATTAGCTCTGACTTTTCATCAACATCTCATCACTCTGTGGCCATGTAGGACACAATCGTCACGCCCGCATTGGTCTATTGAGCTCCAAGTCTACCCGGCGGGCAAATCGGCCCCTTTCTTACTGGCGCGTATCAAGCATGGACCAGAAAGCTGGCCCAGCGCCGGTCAAGGGTACGATGCCCTCATTTTGCACTACACGAGCAGCCCCGCTAACGGCTTGTCGCAGGCTGTAGTACATGCACCAAGCGACGCATCCGGTGTGACGGCGGCCGGCCAACCTGCTTCAAGTGCGAAAAAAAGGGCCTCGAATGCCCAGGCTACGGCCCGCGGCTGCGATGGGCTGACGGCATGGCGATTCGAGGCAAGCTCAAAGGCCGGCTGCCGTTCGCGCAGCAAACGAAGAGCCAGTTGCAGGCCGGTCCAGCGGCTACCTCCCAGGAACTTATGCAGCGGATGATGCCTACCTCGTCGCCTGACATGCTCCAAACGACACTTAGTAATTCGCTGCCGCAGTTGATTGAATACTATGACAAGAACTTGGCCGGCCTGATGGTCTGGGTCGACTCGGCGGAAAACGCCTACAGGCGGACGGTCCTGCCGCGGGTGACCAATACACCTGGACTCAGACTTGCCGTGGCGGCATTCGCCTCGCACCACGGGTCTTCTCGCTTTCAGCATGCCATGGAGCTGTTCCCTGAAGCAGCCCGCGATGCGTGCCTCGGCATGATCCATACTCGCGTGCAGGATATGACGAGTAGGCTGACCAATGGAGTCGAGCTTGACAGCCAAACAGACATTGCAGATGCAGAATGGATGCTGGCCTGCATTCTCATGATTGCGTGCTATGAAATGTCCAACTCTCAGGCGTCTGCTGCCGAAGGACATAGGCTCGCAGCCAGAACCCTGGTCAACGTGTTTGGTAGTAAAAGGGGCTATAGCAACGGACTCTTTGCATTTCTTCGAAATCAGCTTGCCATCTACGACGTGCTGGTATCGACAACCTCGTTTAGTATAGAGGATATAAGAAACACGATTATGCCAACGCCGGGTTCCGAGAACGTCTTGTTCGCCGACTACCTAACCCATCTTCACCAAGTTACCCTCGCCTCAAGGTATCCATCGCCAATACCAGAAGAGGTAGATGCCTTGATTACCGGCGTGGACTTTGCGCCTGATTCGATTCGTGCAAGATTTACACAAGCCAGGGGCGCCACCCTAATTGCAGCGGGACGACTGGGTGTCGAGAAAGCGGTCATGCGGCAAGACTTTGTTCGCTTGGTGGATGTCTACCATTACGCTGCTGTCCTGTATTCCTACCGCTGCCTCGGCTATGCCACTACCGACAATATGGATTGGCAACCCACGGTGAACAAGCTATTTGCGCAGCTTCTTCGCTTTCAATACCCTGGCATATGCATGCAAAACCTGCCGTGGCCCATTTTTGTGGCTGGAACGGAATGTTGGGGGGATGCGCGGCGGCAACAAACAGTTCGCGAACTTCTCGGCAACATTCTTGCTGCCACTAATTTCCGTCATTACGAGGGGGTCTTGGGATTTTTAAACGCATTTTGGTCCGGAAACCAGCCGGACTGGAGACCACTGGCCAAGGACCTGCAAGTAAAAGGATTCCGGATCTTGGTGATTTGAAGGCCTGGAATAATCCACGCTATTCCCTTTTATTGAAAATAGTGTTCTATTTATTTACCGTTTCGGCATCGTTGACGCCGAAAATCACCTTCATCGGGTCCTGATACTTGTACAAGCCCAATGCTGGTGGCAGAATCCCATATCCAAGAAGCCTAAGCAGCTGCGGGGAAAAGTTACGCTCCTTTGCCACATCAGGAGGCAATTCCAAATATTGGTTTTCCTCCTGGCGAAGCGTTCCTTTACACATGAAGAGACCAATGGTCTCGCGGGCCTCGTCGGCGGTCACGTTTGCGCCGCCCGCGTGGTAGACGTTGCCCAGGAAGATGGCGGCATCGCCAATCTCCAACTCGGCAGGAAGGGCCTCTTCATCAAGAGGGCAGCGGTCCGGGCCCCAAAGATGGCTTTTCGGGATAATGATGGTTGCGCCATTCTCCTTGGTCGTCTTTGTCAACGCCTGGCCAACTTGTCAGCAAGATTCATCATCACTTGGGTGTGGCGGGAGGTACCGTCACACAGCCCATCATGACAGGCATGTCGCAGTTGCGGGTATGATAGTCGGCGTCGTCTCTGTGCATCGACTGCTGGGTGCCGCCAGGCTCGACGCGAAACCCAACCATGGTTGTGATTTGCGGCTTCCCAGTCACATGCAGCTGCTTCTGGCCTTCCCAGTACGTGTACCGGCTCGTGAGCATCTGGTTTACGACGCCAAGGAAGAGCGGATTGACAGCGAGCTCAGCGCAGGCGTCGGATTTGGCCAAGATGCTGTACGCACGCTTAGTTGTCGTGGGGAAGAAGCCGGACGGGTCCACGCGATCCGTGTCAAAGGACGACTTGAGGTCTGCTCGAATTTGCTGGCATAATTCCCTGGACACGAGGTTCTTCACAATCACCGCCCCGTCCCTTTCCAGAATGGTTTTCAGAGCTTCCGGGGTGATGCTGGGATCGGTTGCGTAGACTGTGGTGAGCTCCTTGCCAGCTTCAGTAGGAAAGGGCTTACCCGCCTGGTGCTCTGCGCAGCATGCCATATCGAGTCGATGAGGAGTCTTCAATGGATAGTTGAACAGTTCTACATCTCGCAAAAGGGAAGAAATGTACCGTTTTTATATAGTACAGATCATTGCGTAGTGTTCCATGAACCTTCAGCAACCCCCCTGACTTTGTCTGCCAAAAATGGACATACGAGTGAGAAAAGTGAACAAAAGCCACACAACTGGTCAGTTTTATGCCAAAACCGCCTTGGCAGAGTTGACAACCAAAGATGTTTCTCCATATGCGTGTGGGGAAAAGGTTGTTGGTGCTGTGGGCGCCGATTCTCGGCAACTAGTTTCTCAGTCCAAGTACCCAAAGTGGCAAAGTCTAGATGAGTTCTCGCCGGGACTACTAGTTCAAGAGCAATCGCGTTTCGGAAAATGACGAGGATTGGTGGGCCACTTCAAAGCGTGGCGAAACTACCATTGGAAAGCTTCCATTTCCAAGCATGTCGAACAGTCACCAGATCAGATAGACGTATAAGCTGGAGCGGTGAGAAGTCCCAACCCCTTGTCCCCCGAAACACTTTTGATTTGCGAGGTAAGCTGCTAAGCCTACCTAGCTGCCTGACCTGTGAAATTGAAGGTGAAATTGAATTGGGCCGCCACAGTCCCCGCCAAGATAGATGTACTTGTCGTCGCCGTTGTTGTCACTTTGGGAATGCTTTGCGATGCTTATTATTAGGTTTAGTTGCTGCGTGCTGTCAACAAGGACGTTTTGCGCTCGGTCGCCGTACGAAACGAGTTTCCTTCTTGTTGGGAGTGGAGATGGCCCGGTGTGTTGACCTTGATATTGGCACAAAGTGAAGAAGCATCACAGTGAAGAAGCATGGATTTCCAGCGCCGAGCATAGCAATGACAAGAGGCATGCGCAGATTAGAAAGCCGCGAGATGAGATCGAGCAGGTTTCCAGGCCGGGAAATCGATGCGGGGTCGTGTAATAACGACGTTGTGTGGCCAGTCAAGATACAATGACCAAGGCCAAGGCATACAGTCGGACGGCGGCTCGCTTGACGGTACAGATTCTCTTGTTCAGGGTACTTCGGTATGGAGCTCTCGTCGGTGCAACGTCACAGAGTAGTGACGATGAACAGATCGATAGTCCTACCGATGGTGACCTCTTTCTTGTCTTTGGATCTCTGTGAAGGACAATCAACAACAGTACAATCACTCTGTCTACTCTGCTGCTGGAGTGATGGGGTCCAAAGCCTGCAGCCTGAGTTTGTTGGGTCGGTAACAGGACCAATTTTTTGTGCACCAGCCCCTTACCTCTTTCCGACTGCGGCTTGATATGAGAGGGCAGGATTGATGTGCAGGGTGGAAATAGGTTTGCGATGGAGATAGATGCTGGGATGCTCTGGGAAGAGAGCGGCTATCCGCCAAATCGCCCCAGCGAACACGCAGACAGGGCAGCGGGGTGCTTCAGTGGACTGAGCGCCTCTTTCCGGGGCATTTAGTGGGCACGGCACCATCGATGCAGAATCCCAGCGCTGGGCCAGGCAAACTATCCCCGACCTCATTCATCCTTGACCACTTGAGACGATCCGGGAATGCGTCATTTGTACCGAGTACTCCGTACAGAAGAGAGATAAAAAGCACAGCCATTTCTAGCGCCTACCTCCTCGGGGACAATCACGTTACCGTGTTCCCGTAGCCTCGCCAGCCCAGGTGCACACAAGATGAAAACAAAGGCCAAGCCACCAAGGACCCTGCAGCCACGATCGCCGCGCCAACGATACTAAAACGATCTAGCCTGGACGTCATCGTCATCGCAGGTAGCAGCCCGCAGTTGGCAGCCCATCCATCGTCCCAACCCTTTCTCGTATTTGGCGGCTTTGTGCCGCTACAGGGCTGCCCATTTTCCTAGATGGTGCCAGGGTTGGAACAGCGCAAAGACCCTCGGGAAAGGAAGCACTGGGAAATTTACGTCACATCTCGAAAAAATAACAACAACAACAGCAATAATAACAACAACAGCCAGATAGATGGCAACACACAACCCGCAGTCTTCTCGCCAAATTTCCAAGACACGTGCGCGTTTGCTACGGGGCTTGCACGTCGCTCTTGCCTGTCCTAGGCAACCCAAACTTCATTTATAGACCGAGTATCGTCCTCTCAATTCTACCAATCCATCATCGCCACTCATACTTGTTCTTCTTTGCATTTTCAACGTCTCTCGCTCCCCATTTTACCAACACACCACAAACTCCCACCTGCAACTGACACTCAGAATGAAGACTGCTGCCCTCGCCAACTTCACCCTGGCCTCTGCCATGGCCGTTTCGGCCCAGAACTACCAGTCCAAGCCCTTCAACATTCAGATCATCTCCGAAGACGCCAATGTCAACAGCCAGTACATCGGCGCATGCCACTCTGGTGCCGCTATCGAGAGCCTCTGTCTCACGACCCGCCCTGTCACCATGCACCTCAACTCGACCAGCGAGCGGGACCCCGACGGCGGTCTTCTGACTTGGCTGCTGCCCTCCAGTATGTTGACAGAATACCCATCGATTACCCTACAGAACCAGATCTGACAAGCCCCCCTTCCAGACCCTCCTGTTGACTCGGCCATGCGACTGGTGCTTAACCCCTCGTCGAATGTCGCGCAGGCCGTCTTCTACCCTGGCCCCAGCGGCGGCGAATACGTCAAGTTTACCGACGACAAGTTGGTCCTCTTGTCTAACGTCGACGACACTAAAGTCCCCATCGAGGCCGGCAATACCAAGGCCTTTCAGAGATGGTTCATATGCGACTCTTACTACAGTTCCTACCGTTACAAGACCCTCAGCTGGGTCTACGGCAACGCCCCGCCCCAGAACCCAACCTGCGTCAAGGTCTCGGTCCAGCGCAACTACGAGGAAGCGTAAAGTGGTAGCGACAAGAATGCCTTCGTGACTGATGGTGGATTCCTTGGCCAGGCTGACGTGTAATGGCAGCTGTGTAAAAATTGTACCATAATGAGCGATGAATTCCTATTGAATCATTTTTATAAACATCTACCTCCTATCAGTCCTCGATGCTCCCGTATTTATGGAGAAATCTGTTCAACCTCAGTGACACTGTCAAAAAGTCCTCCAAATCATCTAGTTCAGTCCAGTGAAACACCAGTATTTACAAGCATCTCCTTCAGCTCGGTGTCGCTGTCAGATTACTTGCATGGAAGGAACCCTGATCTTGCCGCGCTCTACTCAATCATCTGCAGTAGTTCATCAAAACTCTTAACCTGCTGGAAAAGATTCTTCAACGGAGTAAAGAGTGGCGCCCCTTTGCCCTCGCAGCCCGCGACTTCGACCTTGCTTCCATCGCGGCCAGCGTACAACTTGGCTAAATCGCACCACCACCACCCCTCGCACTTGTCCGGCTCCTTGATCTAGAATAGAGTCAGCAAAAGTCTACAATGATCATAGGAAAGCCACACTGACCTCGGGAACTGCATCGCAATCCTTCATCTTGCAAAGAGGATACATGGTAATAAACTGGATTGCCTCGGCCTCAAAGATGTCATTCGTGTAAGTGATAACTTTGATGCCTTCGACTTCCAGGCCGGTTTCCTCGCAGGTTTCTCGCACAGCGCAATCGAGGATCTCCTCGCCGTAATCCATCTTTCCACCTGGGAACTGCAATGTGCCTGATGGAAAGTAATTTTTAGCTTTCCCGAATCTGTTCACTGCACCACAACATACTTACCAGCTCCGTGGCTGCCCTTGCGTACGCCGACTAGCGCCTTCCCCTCTTCATTGAGGATGATGCAGGAGACGCCAGCACGGGGAGTACTGTTTCGTGGGTATTTTTCGACCATGTTGCGTAAATTTCTTATATCGAAAGATTTAGCCGTGTGGATAGACGCTGAAGTAGTACTAGACGCTGAAGTAAAACCCAACTAGGATATGCTTGCTGTTCCGAGGTGAAGATGGTGGGGGATATGCCCGTCTTATATGAGTTTCCAAAAGTGGGGTGCAGGAGACGTTCACCTTGTCATGTCGCCTGCCTAGCAATGAGTTGTAGCACGAATAGTGTTTGTCATGGAAGACAAAATACGCGATACTTCTGCCTAATTCTGGAACGGATTTAATTGCTCAGATATTGTGGTACAGGGCAGGACCAGCGCCACGTGGTTGACAGCTACAACTGTTGCCTATCATACTCTTGGCTTACAATCACACGGCGCGAAATAGGATCCCAAAGAAATGCACTGCCACTATCTTGATCCATAAAATTCGATTTGATTCACCTCTGATGTCCATTCTTGAATATTGTGCGAGTGTGATGAACGAAATACGCCTAATGCACTGCCCGTTCTGCCCAGCCGCACTACGACGCTCGAGTGCCGGAACAAGGCAGCAGGCGTGAGGGCTCTGGTTGATGTTACACAAAACGCCCATTAGGCACCCCAATTTGAAAGAATGTGACACGCCAGAAAGTGGTGGTACGTCGACTTGCTCTCAATGACATACACGTCAGACGGGAGGTTGTGTATTGGCAACGGCGATGACTCGCTGGAGCGAGATCGGGGGCGCAAAGGCCACAGCGTGAAGCCTACAGAGAAGGTGGCTGGGCTTGGTCGCGCAGGGAATGCTGGCCGTTCTTTGTTTGACAGATCGTCTGGACATGGATGCCTGTTAAGAAAGCCTTGGCCGTTGGCAAAATTAACACTGCCGTGTTGACAATACGCAGGTCGCACCAGTACTCATCTAGCTGGCGCACTCAAAGAATTAGCTACTGTCTTTCCAGGGAGCATCAACACAGCCTCCGGTTAAGGATCAATCCTAGTGTATGTCAGTCTCCACGCCACTTCCATTCTTGTTGTGTCTTGTGTTCCCGCCTTCGAGAAAATCAACATGTACTTCTCTCACAGTCGCCAGAACATTGAAGCCCACAGTGCCGATCTTGATCCTTGAACCGACTTCAACAGCCCACTGGACGCCATCTTTCCTCTGAACCATCCAACAGCAGATCTGAGGAAGATGGAAAACATGTTTGAGAAGCCTGCTCGCGTGGTGCCAGAGTGAAGCCGGCTACCCCGTTAAGATTTGATGGTGATATAGAAGGCGGCCGTGGTGGCTCGCAGACGAATGGCGCCTCGGCCTTTGCAAAGCAACTCTCCAGCACTGCATCGTCCATTTTTTAAGATGGGAAAAAGAATTCATCCCTCGGTTGTCGTCCTAGTCGCTCGTCAAGTGAGTCCATGTTTTCGAGTATTGTATCTTGACACGTTGATAGAGTCTCGAAGCCTAGAATCATAGCGCCATAACCGGACGGTTGTCATCCTCCGTAAGTAATCGCATGAATATGTTATGTTTGTCTGGTCGTTGTGCAAGTTGGGGGAACTAAGAGCAAGGTGGATCTCCTACATGATGACTAAGCACAGAGATACGGCGGAGCTTTTTTTTTCCGGCAGGGCAGTGGCGGGACTCTGACTCACGTGAGTTTCGCCTCCGCCCACAACCATTTACCAAAATCCAAAAAACCCCATTGCGCCCAGCTCACCAACCGCAGCTATCGCCAAATAAATCAATCACCATGGGTAAAGTTCACGGATCGCTCGCTCGTGCCGGTACGTTACGGAAATTCTTGTCGCGCCAATTTTCTGCATATTCTGACTCGTTTTTTAGGCAAGGTCAAGTCTCAGACTCCCAAAGTACGATGCATCGCTCCGATCGAACCGCCACGACCGATTACTGACCAGGTTTCCATCACAGGTTGAGCCTCAAGAGAAGGCAAAGACCCCCAAGGGCCGTGCTCTCAAGCGCCTCAAGTACACCCGCCGTTTCGTCAACGTCACTCTGACTGGCGGCAAGCGCAAGGTTAGCACGACGAGACATCCGATTGAACCGACGAGGCAGCGAACGGCGAATACTGACTTGGAGACTAGATGAACCCCAACCCCGGCTCTACTTAAACATATTACGAATTGATGGGGAGTTGAGAAAATGAAAGTTGGCATGGCGGAACCGTCTTCTAAATGGCTGCGACGATAGCAACGAAGGCGATGGATTTTGTCGAGTCGATCGCGTGGCTGAGCACTCTGCATAATTATTAGAGATGCAACGAGGCGCGACGACTTCACTCGGCGTCCGGTGACCTTTTGTCAATACAACAAAATTACATCTACAATGTTTCGGAACAACTGTTTTGTGCCAACGAGAATACCGCGAGGGTGTGAAAATAGCCAATGCGACTGGCTTTCGAATATAACACAAGCGACTTGTGCAATCTAAACACTATAGCGACGCCTCCAAATTCAGCGAAGACCAACTGTGTGAACCATTGGCAGCAAGTGTTTCTTCAGCCCTATGGTCACCGAAATCCCGTAGTGCAGTGCCAACATTTGCGCTATTGGCAGCACACTCTGCCATACTACGTATCGATAATTAAACAGCTGCTAAATTGAGTGTAATCTTCCGCCCGTAAATATGCGCGACTCGTACTGGGCACTGCTTGCGGACCAAAGAAAGACGCGAAAGCTTGAAATCACGTGCGGTATTTGTACCGCTGAGCTAATATATGGAGCTCAACTGCAAGAACATCACGAGCAGCTATTTTTGTAGCTACAATCCAATAGCCAGCACAACAAAATGACCAGCACAGACATGGAAATCGATGCAGCTGGCTCTGCACCTACGCAGGACGAGTCGCTTATGCAAACACACGGAAAAGCGACTGCGGTGCGGTCAATCGAGGGCTGGATTATCATTGTCACCAACGTCCACGAGGAAGCAGATGAAGAGACAATCCAGGACACTTTTGGCGAGTTCGGCGAGGTGAAAAACTTGCATCTGAACTTGGATCGTCGAAGCGGCTACGTCAAGGCAAGTAGCGTGCTGCCTACACAGATTACCAGATGCGATGAGACAGCGTGCTAACTGGTGGCAGGGTTATGCTCTGATCGAGTACGCTACTTTGGAGGAGGCGAGAGCCGCCGTCGACGGCGCGCACGACACAAAAATGCTCGACCAGACAATACATGTGGACTTTGCCTTTGTGCGACCACCGCCCGGCAAGGGAGGACGTGGAGGAAGAGGTGCTGGCCGCCGACCAGGACGCAGCCGAAGCCGAAGCAGGAGCCCTGGCCACAACAAAGATGCGGATGGTGACGTGAATGTCGAGCAATGAGACCATCCACCACTTGATATTCAGCAATATTTATAACTGCCGATATGCAGGCACTTCGAGCCAAGTGCCAAGAGACATATCGGTGCGCATATCGCGATTTAATAGGTACAGTTACAGACGGACGAAACTTGACGAGGCTGATGCTAACTTGATTGAAATAGAAACCGAAGATGAATGAATCGCTTCGCTTAGCAACTGGCCATGGTCCATCACATTGATTTGGGACCAACAGATGCCTCAAAGTTGATGACTACAGCACGGCACCTACATACCATGAACACCAATGTGATACCCCTTGTAAACTTGGAATGAATCGCAGGATACTCCATCCGGGCGAATTGGATCTATGTACGCGCGCAGGGGAGGAGTTTAGCCCAATACATCATCTCTAGGTGCCTTAGGTAGCTGGCCTGCTTCCCAACTGGCCTATTATGACTATTTTAGGTTCAATTGTATTGGTACAGGCCAACGAAAAAAGGCACAAATGATTCACAAAAAGCAATCATATCCAGAAGTCGATCCATTCCTGTGACGGAATTTGACAGAAAAGTTTGAACAAGAAGACGTGAAAACAGTTTGCTGGCGCTGACTTGCTAATTAGTTCAGTGAATGGGTTAATGGTTACTTCATCTCCACAGCACCCGTCTGCAAGTTCCCCACCCCAACTTTCCAGGGTCGGGCATCATTCGCCACGTGCACGCATCTCGACACGACATCATCAATTCCAGTCTGACAATACAAAAATGGGCAATTGTCGCCACTAAATAGCCGTTGATGGCGCGCCAAGCTCTCGTCGGCTGCTATAGCAATGTATAATCGCGAGTCGCGGATTATGCGCAAGCTGCTGGGCAAGCCGGCGAGCGATGCTTCCGTTGGTGATGCGACTGCCACCAGCACCAATACCGCCACTCCTACGAGCTACCGGCCGATCAAGTCGCAAAATGCCGTGCATCCAGTAGCTGCGCCGATATCGTGCCTCGATGTTTCCGCCGACGGGCGGGCCGCCGTTCTGGGCGGACCGCACATACTCAAAACCTTGGTGCTCGACAGCATGGGTTGCCCCAGCTTCAGTTTTAGCGACGGGGTTGATATTAGGGCGTCAATTACATCGCAAAAGACAGCTGGTAGCAGAGCAAATGTGGTGGCTGACCAGCTCAACATCCGCGACGTCAAGTGGCACGAGAATGGCACAGTCTTCACAGCATGCGCCACCGGGCGCATATTCGGCTACGACCTGTCTCGAATTGATACCGGGGGCTCTGAACCACTCGAATATATACAAATGCAGGAGGATAGTCGTCAAATAAACACGTTGGACGTTAACCCACACTTGAAAAGCTGGCTGTTGGCCGGCAGTCAAGACGGTATCGCGCGCGTCTTTGATGTTTCTACCGCGGCTGCCACTCGATCGGGTATACTGACATTTCGACAACGATTTTCGCCCTTGAAAAACAACGAGTCAATTAGGAAGGTAATGTGGTCGCCCCGAGTCGGACATGAGATGGCCTGCTGCACAGAGGGAGGCGTCGTTCTGAAATGGGATGTGCGCCAACCGTCGCGACCAGTGCTGAGGATCAACGCTCACGAGAAAGCATGCACCACCATGGCATGGCACCCCGATGGAATCCATCTGATCAGTGCCGGATGGGACTCGAAGCTTCATGTGTGGGACTTGGGCGCTTCAGGCGACAAACGACAAAAACCGAAATGGACCATCACTACCCCAGCACCAGTATCATGTGTTTCTTGGCGACCCGGCCTGTGGTCTGCTACTGCACAAACTCGGCGTGTAGCACAAGTTGCTGTGAGCTATGATGAAAGTAGCAACAGACGATATGGTGCCTCGGTCGTCCATATTTGGGATCTGGCCCGTCCGACCATGCCCTACAAAGAAATTGAGCGCTTTGATTCGTCGCCATCTGCTATGCTTTGGAGAGACCAGGATATGCTCTGGACTGTTGGTCAAGATGGATTGTTCAACCAGTGCGATGTGGCGTATGCGCCAAAGTCTATTGACAGGTTGTCCACGTCGGCAGCGGCATTTTCACCCCAAGGCGACGTTGTCATGTTCTTGGATGAGCGTGCACAGCAAAGCCGCCTGCGCCCCATCATGCACCACAGCGAAACGCCGTCTCGCCCGACGTACAGCTCCAGCCCCAACGCTTACATGTTCAGCGGAAGCAAAAGCGATTCCGAAGAAGATGTGTTGGGAACTTTTATTGGCCCCAGACGCAGAATGGCTCATAGACGCCGACTCAGCGGCCGCTCTGGACAGATTGTGAGCACTACGCCTCCGTCCAGCTCCAGCTTTTCAGAGGATGGCAAAAATATCCTGGGCCTGGATCTCTCCATTGGCGTTACTGGCATGTTCAAGTCACCGCAAGTAATGGCTTCAGGCAAATTGCCAGCATCAACCAAGGTTCCGGTCTATCAGTATCTTACGGCAAGCTATCTTGAGATATTGGAGCGCGTCTTACCAAACCCAGACGACAAGGCGAGTCTTGCTCAACGAGTAGGAGTGGTTCTAGAAGAATTCTCGAGAACCTCCGAAAATGTACGCTTGTACAGATTGTCTCAGTCGTGGCGCGTAATTGCCTTTGCCATGGATCTCTTGCTCAAGAAGAGAGCAAACTATCACTTAGAGGTAAGGTCATCACGGTTTCAAAAGATACAGATTGACGGTGGAAAATCTGCAAGAGCCTTTAAACCACCTGAAATCTATGGAACTAGTTACAACGGGGAAGAGACACCACGCAGACCATCTGCACATGCAGGCAGTATAGATGGCAGGCTGCATGCTGTGCGTTCACTCCTGTCCGAGGAGATTGAGAGCACATCAAATGTGCCAACACCAATCGCGCGGCCAGCTGATGCAATGTCCCACCATGAATGGGAAAGCAGCCACTACCAGCATGGAAAGAAGTTGACACCCATTATCGAACCAGAGAGCTTCAAGCTTGGCCCTTCCATACACACTTACAAGGATGTGGCATATTCACAAAGTAGCTCACAGGCAATATCCGATAGCAGCCGAGAAAGTGAGCTTTCGGAAGTATCCATAACTGGGGGCTATGACTTCTACGATACAGAAGCCCTCGCAAGAGCTATTGATGTTCCGGAGCCGAAAACAAAGGACGCAGCCGATCGGCGCCAGCCGCGAATCAAGCCCGCTCGACATGATTCTGAAGATAGTATGGGCGAAATGGCCTCCGTCTCGTCCGGAGCAAAGAAAGCCAGTTTTCAGAGTTCATCCGTGGAAACTGCAAGTACCAACAATGACGCCGGCTACTCATCAAAGATCAGCAGTGGTAGCGCTGATACGCAATTCGAACCAAGGATTCATGGTGATATCCAGAGGCGCAAGTCAAAGGCGACCAGCTCACCAGAGGATGTTTTCATGATTTCACAAACAACTGCCTCGACAGACGACACATATCCATCTCAGCTCTCTTTTGCTTCGCAGTCTGATTCGGAACAAAATGCATCCTTGCAGAGGTCTACAGCTCCTGCCGAGACTGAGATCAGTCGCGTTGACAGTGCGAGCAACCCGGTTCAGTCATACTACAACGACCCCAGGCCTCATATCATCGAAGCCGACTATTTACCGTGGCCCAGTGACCCCGATTTTCTAAACATGAAAGGAGCAACCACCATACCACCTGCTCTTGACCCTTACCTCTTGCTCAAGAGAGCTTTCGATTTTGAATGTCGCTCCTCAGCAGTTAATGCCGCTGCCATGGTGCTGCTTCTCCGGCCACTCCTCCCCGACGACATCATCGACACGCATCTGGCACGAGGTATCCTGCGGCAGCATCACCAGCGACTGATGCGCATGAGCCTATTCGTAGAAGCTTCTTCCCTGCGCAAGCTGTGCATCCAAGGGTGGCCCGAAGGCATGCCCGAATGGGGTGAGAATTACACCGCCATCTTTGGTCCTGCACAGCAGGGCGTCAAAACCGGGCTGCTCTGCTCCGTATGTCGAAGGCCACGCGAAGTCGACCCCAGCGGCAGCCGTGATGCCGTCTGGACATGCGAGCGCTGCCGCGCCGTCATGGCGGCCTGCGCCGTCTGCAACCACCGCGACGCCGAACTCTCGGCGCACGTCCCCGGCTCCGAAGACCTCGACGCGGGGGACGCGAGCTCCGGCCAGTGGGTGTCCAACTGGTGGTGGTTCTGCCCCGGCTGCGCGCACGGCGGGCACGCCTCGTGCCTGCAGATCTGGCACGGCGCCATGGAGACTGACGACCCCCACGCGCCGCCGACCAAGTTTAGCGGCGGCTGCTGCCCCCTCGACGGCTGTGGCCACGCGTGCCTGCCGGGAAAGTACCGCGGGGAGGTGGTGACGGCCCGCGCCGATGAGCTCGGCCGCGCGACGCTGGATAGCACCCGCGCCCGAGAGGAGCTGCGCAGCGGCGTCGGCGGCGGTGCCGCGGGGAGTCGGCGATCCAGCCCTGCTGGGCGTGACCGCAGCGTGCGCAGCGACAGCTACGACATACCGCAGAGCAAGGCCGTCGGTATGGCGCGTGAGGCGCTCAACAAGGGCGGCTCGCCGAGTTCAGGCGGTATCCTGAGCTCGAGCCCAGGCCGGGTCCCAGGGACCGGCGAGCGCGAGCGGCGCAAAAGCGTCAAGTTTGTCAAGACGGACAGATGACAACGTGCTACATAATCTTCTCCTCCCCTCCCTCATACACGAAGCAGGCATACCTTGGCGTTTTGGTTTTATTCTGTTTATCTTTCACTTTTTTTTTTGGACTTGGAAAGTCGTTGTAAGATTAACGTATTACATATACATCTCCGCGCTGGAATAACTAGATGATGAAAGTCTTGCTCATCTATCAAGTCGCTTATGTCTCCTTGGACTTCTCCTTGGCTTGTGTTAGTGTAGTCTATATACCACTTATATATGTATTTCCCATCATGTCTCGCCGTGGCGTACTCAATTGGCGACGTTTTCCCGCAGGCCCTTTGTGCGGAGCGTGAACTTGGTCTCGGGGCTCCGGAAAGGCAGAGCAAAGTCCGCCGGATTCGCGCCACCTGTACCCGACACGCCCCCCCATCCCGTCGCCGCCGGTTGCAGCTTCTGCTGCGGCTGTACTTGGTCCGCCAGGGCGGCCGAGCGGAGGGCATCGCCGCGCTGCGCGTGGGCCGCGCTGTCCGCGCTCGCCGGACGACTATTCCCGTTGCTGCTCGCGTCGTCTCTAAGAAGCAGCAGCGGCGACGAGGGCACGCGGCCGGTGAGGCGGCCGGCCCAGAGCCCGCGCACGCCGCCCTTTTTGCGCTCGGGCATCTCGTCGCGGCCGGCGCTGCCGACGTACAAGAGGTACTTGAGGTTGGGCAGGGTGTGGCGAATGTCGACGACGCGCAGGGCCTGCGAGGCGCACAGGGCCTCAATGTCCTTGTTGAGCAGGAACCAGGCGTACTCGAAGCGCCACTGGCCGGTTGTGGAGCCGCCGCGTGGGAGAAACAGCGGGAACTCGCGACGAGCGGCAGCCGCCGCCGCCGCCGATGCCGTGCCCGTTTTACCCGTATTGCCGCTCGTCTCGGCGAGGTGTGAAATGTCGTCGCGGATATAGGCACGCGAGCCGACGAGCGGCGCCACCTCGTACGGCAGCGGGTGGGCGAGGTAAAACTGGAGGTGGCGCGCCAGCAGCGCGACGAGGCCGAGGGCGGCCGACAGGGCTTCCTCGCCGACGCTGCGCGCGACGGCGGCGTCGTAGACAGAGTTGGGCAGCGGCAGGCCGCAAATCTGAAACGACAGCGGCGGCGCGTGCGGGACGGGCGTGATGGGGAACACGGCGGCCAGCTCGGTGCATATACGCCGGCGCTGGCCGCGAATCTGCTGCTCCGTGTCCTCGAGCAGTCGCTGCGCCGCCAGTAGCCGTGTATGGCTGGCCGCCATGTCTTCCGCACGGCGGCGCTGCAACGCGCGGCCCTCAGTGATGGCTTCCCGCCGCGCACGCAGCGATGCCCGCAGCTCGTCCCGCCGCCTCTCCGACTGTCTGTTGAGGCGGCGCTGCGTGGCCAGATACTTATTCGCCAGCACGACACCTTCCTCCGCGGCGTCCGCAGCGCCGTTGGCGAGCCCGTCGTCTGTGGCCAGCAGCTCGTTCATCTGGCGCGCGACGGCGCGTTGTGTCTCCTCGGCGTCGCGCAGCGAGCCCTCCAGGTTCGCCAGCTTCATCAGCGCATTGTACGACGACGTCGTCGCGGGCGGGGGGTGCTGCCGGGGCTCGGAGATGCGGTCGGGGAAGTCGAGTGAGTATACGCCGTCCTCGAGGTGGAATATGAGCGCGTTGGGACGGTACTCGCGGTTGAGGGTGGTGGAGATGAAGTGCAGCCTACGAAGGTCGATGAGCTCCTCGAGCAGAAAGCTCCAGGTGGTGTGCTTGGGACGGCGCGTCCATATTCGAACCAGCAGCTTGCAGGATCGGGAAATATTAGTGTGCTGTGTTGATAGGTCAAAGAATCGAAAGTCAAAGTTCTACGAAACAAACAGTATTGTGTTAGTCAACCCCGAAACAAAAAGCTCACAGGCTCAATCAAGCATACCGCTGATCGCTCCCCTGTTTCGCTTATATATATTGGCTCCTCCGGGCTCGCCGGGTCGTGCAAGGAAAAGAAGACGTCGCCAACCGCCTCGTCGGCGAGGTCCTCGAGCTTCTTCTGTCGGCTGATCGGGCTCGCGTGCGCATTGCTCAGGCTCATGCGTCGCGGCATTGGCGGTGCCCCTAGGCGCTGGCCACCACCGCCACCGCTCAATTGCCTCGACGGCTGCAGCCGAGCCAGGTTCTCCGAGGAGCGCGACGATGCCAGCGACGCGCCGGCGGTGACGTCGCTGCTCGACTCCTGCAGCGCCGCGAGCTGCTGCTTCTTATGGTGCTGGGGGCCGGGAAGGTCGGCGTCGTCGAGGGAGCGCAGGATGCGCGCGGGCGGCGGCGCAAAGCACAGGTTGCGCAGGGACAGGCCGCGTAGGTGTCGCAGCTTGCGGTTCGGGGCGAGCAGCCGCGGCCGTCGGGGCGGCGGCGGTGGCAGCGATGTGGACGACGACATGGTAGTGGTGGTGCGCGAGCATGGGCGGCGTGCCGGGGCGGGGATGGCTGATTCATAGCACGGATGCGGCCATTGGAATTAGGAGCGCCGGGAAGTGCGAGGTTCGGCGTACGAGGGGATTGGGATGGTGATGGGCATTTGTTGTGGCCAAGTCGACCTTGTGGTTTTGGGGAAGATCACTACCTATGTAGGTACCTAGGTAGGCTGAGCTCCCGCCAGTGGGCCTGATTATGGATTACGTCGTCGGTGCGAGCTCCTGCCAGCACCACATGCACTCTACAGCGAAATGACTTTCACTATTGACATGATGGATCAAGGAATATCAAATAGAAATAATTCAACTGTATAGTGCCCATGATAAATACGTATGCTGGTAAAGTCTAGAAATGAGCTATGAGAATCCCAGAGTCAACCCGAAATAACGCCATGAATGCCATGCGAAACAGAAAAGGAAAAACCTAGGTACGAAGAAGGAAGAAAAAAACACAATGCTGCAGCAGTAGGGGCTCTTGCTTTTCAAAGATGCCCCGAGTCTATAGTCTGTATGCAAGCGCAAAGGCGTCGCTGGGAGAGGCCTCCATATCGAATGCAACGAGTCACGCGAGGCGCCGATTGGGCAGTGGAGCGCGGCAGGTAATGGTGGTCGTTGTGTTGTTGCTGTCATTAATGCTGATGTGGCCGTAGTCGGTAGTCATTGTCGCTTTCCTGTGCTCAGTTATTGTGCAGAACAGTGGAGGTAAGGGTGTGTAGTATTTGAGGCTGTCGAGAAGCCAGTGTCTCTCCGGGTAGTGTCGGCATCGTATGTTTCGGTACCATAGCAGTGCTGGCTGCCGCGAATTGGGGAACTGGTCGATGACTTGACCTTGGGGGACCCATTTTATCAACAGCAGAGCGAAGGACTCCCTCATGGCGGAGGCCGCAAAAGTGCCCCCAAGCAAACGCCGTTGAGATGCAGTCATCCGCACCATAGTTTACAAATCAGGGCGGTTTACGTTTGGTATGCGCAAGTTGTAGCGTCGCTCTCCGTTGTCAAGACCCATCCACGACCGCAATACTCTTATAACTTCGGCGGTGCCCACTTGAAAACTGCTTCTCGTTAGTATTGTCAAGGACATTCCAGATTCCGCTAGACATACAAGTAAACAGGGGCACGGAGCCAACCGGTAAATACGACACGGAGTGCCAGCTTCACGAGGGTCATTTCGTGGTCAAACTGGGACTTCCAGTCGTCGCCCCCAGACCCGCGGTTCTGTTTGCGAATAAGTTCCACCAGCTCGTCCGAGAGCTCCTCGTCCGGGTCGGCGGCCGTGAGCGGGTGGTCCAGCGGGTGGTGGATATCCTTGGCGGTCTCGGCGAGCAGCGCGGCGGCCTGGCGCTGGTCCTCGGCCTCGGCGGCCATTCTGCGGAACTGGCCCAGGGCCATGAGCGACTGGGTGAGGCGGCCGTAGGTGTTGAAGAGGGCGACGAGCTCGGTGCGCTTGAGCACGGGCGCGTGCTCACTACCCTTGTCAAACTCAAAGAGCACCTTGAGCGCGGTGCCGTAGCCGTTGGTCTGGACCTTTCCCCAGAGGCGGCATTTGTCGCAGCCGACGCAGTCCATGAGGCGGCTAATGTTGCGGAAGCGGTTGCGAAAGTCCTCCTTGAGCGACGGGCCTTCGCCATTGACAAACATGACGCTCTCGTCGAAAATGTCGGGGACCAGGGCGGCGCGTTGCGTCACCTCGAGGACCTTGCTGCGCGTCGAGGCGTCCTCACGGGCGTCATCAGTGCAAAAGGTGTAGGTCGGCTTCTGCAGGTAGGGCCCCAGCTTGGCGACGGCGCGGGTCACGAGCGCGTAGTTGAAGTAGAGGTTGCTGATGCGGTCGGCATGGCCGTGAAGCCGCTCCATGTAGCAGTCGAGGTTGGGTCCCCAGAGACCTGTCGTCTTATTGAGGTAGTCCCAGCAGAGGTGGGTGCTGATGCTGGCGTGCATACCCGAGACGACGCGGTAAAAGACGCGCTTCTCGAGGCACTCGTCGTCGGCTTCGAGGCCGGTGCTGGCGACAAAGGGCGTCTCGGGCTTGTCAAGACGCTCGCGAGTGAGTTGTGCCTGGCGACCAGCGGCCTCCATGACGTGTTTGAAGTCCATCGCGGCGGGTCCTTGCGGCCATTGCGAGACGCCGACGTCGGCGGAGCGCGGAAAGGAGCTGCGCTGGAAGCAGTTCTCGCGATAGATGGCGTCCCAGACCATGTGGGAGCCGACGCCCGCGTAGCCAGTGAAGCGTTCAGGATTCTTGGTGAGGCTGACGTAGTCGCCCTTGGAGAAGGCGGACTCGTCCTCGGGGACGCAGTAGTCGCGCTGGTCGCACTCATCATCATTGTCGTAGACGCAACTCTCGCCAACGCTCTCGCCGAGCTCGCCGTGGAGCGGGCGGTGCTCCTCCTTGGGCGCTCGGCCGGGGTGACGGGCCAGGGGGCCTTCAAGCTTGCTCAGCTCCTTGACCTTCCAGACGTCGGGGATGTCCTCTTCCTTGTCGAGCGTCTCGACGGCACAGCCTATGTTGCCGCAGAGGCCGTTCTGGTCGTCCCAAAAGGGGCACGACTTGTGGAAGAGGTTGAGGCGGTAGTGGGAGAAGAAGTCGGTCGTCTTGGTCAGGTCGTCGACGGCGGGCTTGACGCGGGTGTTGAGCTTGTCGAGGGTGGCGTAGGAGACGCAGGCATCGTCGACGATGGCTTTAGGAGAGATCTAGGGAGCAAACGGTGGTTAGCGGAACAGGACAGGTGTGGTTCCATGACGTAAAGGCGCGCGCGTGGTCATACCGGACAGCCATCCTTGGAGGCGCCTGCGCAGGTCCCCGGCGCGGCCCAGAGGGCAAAGACGGAGAGGAAAAAGAGTCGGCCAGCAGACTTCATTGGAAGAGGCGATGCCAATTGGCAGAGTGCCGGGGTGGGTGTGGCGGTAACTAATAAGGCGGAGGGTGCAACGGCTGGTAGTGAATTAATAAGCTGTTGGCTTGGACGGGGCGGACATTCCGAGTAGGTAGCAGGCTTGTAGCGAGGGGAAGTAGTGAGGTGGTGCGACGAGGAAGTGGACGGATGCGTCGTGTGTAAAGCAAGTCTAGGGCGTGGTGATGAAGAAGAGGTCCAGGAGGAAAAGAAAGGGAAAAGGCCGTGGATAAATTGTCGCAGACTGGACCAGGGGAAGTCCTTCTTTTACTTTTCACTTTTCAATCAAGATGCCACGCTGGCTGGCTTGCGGACTTGGCATGTCAAAAGAATGGGGCCGTGGATCGGGTGCCTCGCGCTAGTCCACACATGGAAGGCCCTGTTGATGGTCCAATGTCTCGGAATGTCCTAGTTAGTTATTACACCTATTACAGTTAACCACGGCGGTTGCGTCTCTACCAATTACGCTTCTAACTATTATTTCTCATAACTATATATATTGACAAAATCCAGTCAGTCACCGTACATCCAACATCCAACATTCAACTCGCCCGATTTCCCCCCTCTGTTCCAAGCAATATCCTTCTCCCGAGTCAACATCGGCTCGTCGGGGTCAAACCCTCCAAAACTGCTTACATGGCCTCTTCCATCGGCCCACATCTAAGTTAACACCTCCCCAAAACTCGCTGATTCTAATTTATGCTCCTGCTCTGTCATCCGTTCATGTAGCACCACCCTCCGCAAAGGCAAGGGTGAGCAAATGACTAACGACACAGAGGACCATGATCCTGCAGAATCATGCCACGCCTTCTACCTCCTCTCCTGCCTCGTTTCGTGTCATACCGTCTTGTCCCATCCCCTCCAGGCTCTGCTTGGCCGGCGCCAAGAGTGGCGTGTTTTTCCACGATCCTGCAAGCCAAAGGAAGACTACGGCGCCAACCGGAACTCGTCTTTCTCACCACAGCTGACTTGCTACCAGACCATGCGCAGCAATATTCATGCTAGCCTCCATGTTCATGTAAATGCAGGTATAACATGTCGCTCTCGTACTCATCTCACCCAACGCAACCCGTCTCAGCACACATGTGCAATCCAAACACTACCAGTGGGGCATCAAAACCGTCTATAATAAAAGCCTTTGGCCGCAGCAATTCCGCCCATATTTTTAAAACGTCTTCATTCATCATCACTTCACCATATATAAGGCTACATAGCTCTTCTTCTCGTCCCATGCTTCTTCCATTCTGTAAAAGACTGTCTACTCGTCCCTGTCCAAACTCCCTGACAAGTCCCATCACCCAATGCAAGCAGCCCAGCAATCTCCGGCCGGGATAGCGTCGCCAGCAATTGCCCGTTACCTGCTATCCTGGTCCAAAACGGTATGCAAGCTGCCCGTGGCAGATATTGAACAACCCAAAAAACATGTTCCTTTTATTCTTCTTCGATATTGTTCCGTGTGCGCGCATACAAGTGGTCCAGAGACCAAACAGACAAAACATCAGACAGGCTGGTGAAGCTTTGGCCTGGGCTCGTCCCGCCGGTGGCTCCCATGCCAGCGACAGATTCGCGCCTTCCACGGACCAAAAAGCAATCATCACAGCATGCAAGTCCATAACATCGTGACGGGGGCATAAATGGCAAAACAAATCAGAAAGAGAGAGAGTGAGGGAGAGAGAGACTCGACCCCCGGGCGGAGCCTGTCTCACGTTCCCATCAAGCGAGGCGAGCGACGGGTTCGAGACTATTCGTACAAGAGTGTCGAGGTGGTGGCGGGGTCGGGCTCACTGTTGCAGCGCGGGCTGGTAATTGATTGGGCGCCTACAAGACGGTTTGTTAGCTGCCATGGTTGATTTGTAGACACTGACTGGCGAGGGTGTTGTTGACTCACTTGAAGAGGAGAATGTGCGGCTCGGGCTCGTGGACCTCGTAATGCTCCCATCCTAAGCTCTGATATTCTGGTTAGCCAACAGTCTCGGCACAGGTGCCCTCAACGGGAAGCACAAACCTGTGTGATCCCTAGCGCGCGCCATTCCTCCTCCCATAGCAGCTTCAGTGTTCCTTTTGAGGAATCTTGATAGTCTTCGGGGATCGCCTTGAGCATGGCCTTGGGCAGCTGCACGTGACGGTACTCGTACTCGCTGTCGTTGTATCTGCGGGCTGGGGTTAGCATGCGCCGTTACGGATGCGGCCGCGTGCAAGGGGCCAGGGCGTACCTGTTGGAGTAGTGGATCCCTTCGATGAATTCATCAAGACGCGATCGTTCCTCGTTGGATAGAGGACGGGGCCTCTTATTCCGGCGGCTCATGTCAATGTCCATCTTTTTGGGGTAGTTTGTGCAGCAATTGGGTCGCCCCGCGTAGATTGGTCCAAGGGATGGCACGGGTGGGCGCTGGGAGAAGAGAAGGAGGAAAAAGGTAAAGAAAGAAAACGAAGGGAAAAGCCAAGCTCGTTGGGGAATTGACAATCAAGTCCGATGACACAGGCACGGCCGTGGGATGCGTGTTTTTGCTGTGCCCAGTGCGTGCCACACACTGTACGAGGTAGAAGGAGGACTTTTTGCGGTGGTGGTGGTGGTGGTTGGTGGTGCGCGCGCGCGCGGAGGCAGGTTGGCAGGTAGGCAGAATACCAAGCGGGCGGCGGGCGGTAAAGCGAGCGATTCGTGGGGAGAGAAAGGGTGGGGAGGGAACAGCTTCAACAGGAAAGAGAGAAATGAGTTTTGTAAAAAAAAGAAGAATTTCCTCTATCACAAAAAAAGACGACTGTTTCGGTGAAAGAGCCTTGGTTCAAGTTATATTCCGGGTTCAAGGGTGTGAGTGTACACAAGGTAATAAAGAAGCCAAGGAAGCTGCCCGTCAAGAGAGCGCAGGTCCTTTCACCTTTTGGGTAGGTACCTAGGTAGGTGGCAGGTAGAGAGCCAGGCGCGCGCGCAGGGTGTGGAGGCGGCCGAGGGCGGACAGACACACGGCAGAAACGTTGCCGCCAAGGGAAGAGGAGGAGCACAGCAGCACAGCAGCACAAGGAGGGCCGGGAAGAGAAAAAGAAAATCGAAAAGAGGTGGCACAGGGAGGCTGGGTGTTGTCGTCTTTTCCTTGCCGAAATCACCCCGTGTAGCCTGTAATAGGTCGTTGCACAAGGTGTACGGAGTACAGAATCCCTAGAATAAATTATAACGTGTGCAAGTAAACACGGCTGCAGAACGGCAAAAAGGCAACCCCGCTGGTTTAAGCCCCGCCCGACCGCTGTATCCGTTCTCCGTTCTCCCTCGAGCTGTAAACACTGTAAACACTGTAAACACTCCCCACCAACAGACGCGCCGCAACCTGTGGCTGCACTCACCGAGTCTTGTTTACCATTGTTTCCTCGACACGCCTTCACACCACTAATAATGCCTGGACCTTGATCCGTCCAACCTTGAGCAAATCAGTCATCATCCCACAATTCCACAGACTGGGGCCACCATCTCCTCGCAGCACCCCTTCTATGCACCTACAGGCCTTGTTGCCAAACCCCGCTGCACCCATGACACCCGCAAACTGAGGGTCTTGGTCCCCTCTCTCTCGTTTGTCCCAACACATCTAGCTACCGGCAGCCCATCATTAATGATCAGTGGCAGAAATAAAATGCAAATGAGACCATGTTGGGCGCAGCTTTCATGACGCGCTCATGTCCTTACCCACGTCACAGCGTGCTGAAGGGGAAACAGTTCCCGGGGGAAGCTCAGTAACATCCCTGTACTATCCATCTACCTCGCAGCGCTCACCGACTCGAGGGGGGAAAAAATTACGCGCAAGGTTTCATGGCGTGCTTGTCGAGACAGCTGCTCCGTAGAGCTTTCAAGTCCCCTCATTCTCTGAACCTTGGAACCCATGCCGGCCACATGCAGAGACAAATTCGTTTCCACATTTCGCACCGGGGTTCTTGAGCCCCATGAGAAAGAGCTCCCGTACCCGAGCCGCCGGGTGATAAGGACGGGATCACCTCAGGCTTCGTCAAACAAGAACCGCGTCTGGTCGTAGCCCGGCGCATGCCCCGACAGCGCAATGCTCGTCACGGTGTTGCCAATTTTGACCTTGACGCTGTCCACGCCAATCGTCCACGCCATCACCTCATCGAGCGGCAGCTCCCGCGCGGGCAGATCCCCCAGCCCCTCCTGTCCCGGTGGTCTCCCAAACGTCCACGCAATGGACACGTGAAACGCAGTCCGCGCCGCCTCCTCGTCAGCCTGGTACAGCAGCGGCTGGCGGGCCCTCGAAGCGGCCGCGTTGCTCCTGCGCAGCAGCTCCATCAGCGGCCCTCCATCGCTGCCCCCATTGTCGGTTGCGGCCGCCACACCGAGCACCAGGAAGCAGCGGTTGGAGTCCGGCGACGCGAACCACGCGAGGCGGCGCGGCCGCACCGCAAACGGCCGCACCGCGCCGCCGAGGGACGTGCTGACGCGCTGCAGAAAGTCGTCCTTGTCGGCCGTGGCCAGCGACAGCGGCCGCGAGAGGCTGACGTGCAGCGGCAGCGGCGCGCCGAGGTCGCTCGTCAGGAACGGGTGCAGCTCCGTCTCGCGGTCAAGGCTTTCCTCGACCTTGGTGAGAAGACGTGTTAGCACCGCATGCTGTTCATAGCTAGGACGCCCTGCAGATTCATCAGCCATTCGTATCGACGGTATAGAAAAGCCAGACTTTGTAACGTACACTCAATGTAGACATGGCTGGGCCAATGGCCCGCAATGTGCGGCACCTGTCTCTTGCGTCCCTGATGCAGCGACGGGTCGTCCACGGTGCTCTGCCGCACCGTGGCCGCGTAGAGGTCGTGAAATTCGGACGGCAGCGGCGGCATCGATGACAACGGCGGCGCCACCTCACCACCGGTAGCCGCTGCGCCTCTCTTCTTCTGCTGTTTGGCCACTGGCCTGGCGCCGTCTCCGTCCTCGCCGTCCGACGATGACGAGTAGTCAACGAGCGCCATGTCGAAAGAAAAAATCTTTTCGGTTTTTTCCTCTTCCCGCTGGCAGTACTTTGCCCTTGTCCCACACCCCAAGGCCGCGCAAATTGTCCCTTTACCCGCAATGGCAAACGTCGGGGCTGTGCGTCGTCGTTACAGTTACACCCGCCCCCCACAGAAGGCCGCAACGGCGTATCGCCAGCAGCTTCGGAAGCCCGGGAAGGAAAACTGGGTTGTGGTGGCTCGAAGATCCCCCTTTCTTGACGCTGAGGCAAAATCGAAACGCGTTATCGCTGACGTTGTCTCGGCATGCCGGATGCAGAGGAGGTGGATGACCTCATTTCGTTTGCGAGACGAGACTCTCGGCGACAGCCCCATATATTGTGACAGACTGAGCCGACGCACCGTTCTACAGAAAGCCCGTCGCACGGTGTAGCACTTGAATGTCTAATTCATTAATGTAATCATTTGGATCGATTGCGATTCAGTAAATTGGTTGGTATCTACGTTACTATCTTAATGTCGGCCCTCCACATTCACGTCGCGACGTAGCACAGCATACACATGCGCGTCCTGCACGACGCCAGAAGATACAGGAGACCAGAGTCGGCGCGCAGAGCCACAAAGGCCGCTGTGTCGACCGGCGTATGCAGGTGCGGGAAGCTGTTGCGGAGGGCGGGCGCGTCGTCGGGGGCGAAGCGGCGCAGGACGGCCCCGAGTGCGCCACTCGGCGGCGAAAGGCATTCGAGGTCTTTCGCCAGTCGTGGCCTTATGAGTCTGAATGTACGCTTGGTTCGAATGGAATGGGTGTTATCGATACACGATGTCTAATGTAATGGCGAGGCCGATTGATGCGTATGCAGAGCCTTGAGCGACTTATAAGCCATTTGCATCACGCCTTTTATTATGCAGCTGAGCATTAACTTGTGCCGAATATTGCAATCGAGTCACGACAGGATTCCCGGAGGCTTCGCACCGTTAGCGGCATCCTACAGGGCTGCGTCGATGCAAAGGCAGGGCCCTTGATAAGGCTGTGTGGCTGTTGAACGGCGCGGCAGAACTGGGATTAGCATGATGAGGCTGAGAAGGGTCATGACTCTTCCAACAACTTTATTGTCATGGACAGCCCCGAAGCCGAAGTCGGAGACTAACTTAGACTTGGGAAAGTCTTGGGTGAAAGGACCAAGGGCTGAGAGTCGAGAGAGGCGACAGTCAAGAGCTTGTCTCGTCCACTGGTTGTTTCATGGGTGTGTCTTTTTTTTTCTGAAAACTTTTCTGCCTGAATTGTCGACGAGTTGCTTGGAGGCTTGGGCGGCTTGTTCCACGCAAATCAAATCCATAATATTACTTAGAGTTTCGTGACGTCGGAATGGTGTGGAGGGGCGCGATGCATGCGCCCCATCTCATCGTCGCAGGGACCTCGCGGGGTTTATGTACCTAGTTAACTACTTCGCGGATCCGTAGCAGACATGGGATGGCCGCAGTTATTTCCACGTGGTGGACAAACTGTTACAGGGTACTTGAATCTGCGTGGCAGTGCACAAGTCTTGGCCGCCAAGTCGAGTCGTCAGCTCTCAGGCGTCCATTATCGAGGGACAAGCAAGAAGCGAAGAAGTTGTCATGTTGACCAGTCCAATTTTCGACTGACCACCCGTACAGGCGGCGAATTGTAGTGTTGCAGTCGACACTCCGATCAGCGGGCAAACCCCGCAGCGCGCCGCTCACCTGATGCGACAGAGGTAGTGCAAAGTCGACGCCGCAAAGACGGAAGAAGCAGGTGGTGAAGGCAAGATGCTACGTTCTAGCTCTTGTCCGCATTGCAGGCAGTCTCCACGCAGCGCTGCCCGACTCATGCAGCATCATCTGTCAAGGTGTGGTGGTAACTGGAGAGAACGCGCAAGCAACTCTGGGTGGGGTAGTTTGACATGCCTTTTTCTTTCTTTCGTCTTTTCGTCTTTTTGTCTTTTTGTCTTTTCGTATTTTCAGTAGATTCTCGATGGAGTCAAGGTCGCGTTGATAGTTACATGGTCTCGGCTGTTGCTAGAGCTAGAGTGTTGACGAGTTGAAAGGACTTGTTTCTCGGTTATGTGTACTTAGGTACTTACCTACCTAGGGAGGAGGTAGGTACGCACTTGGGTGCGGATACTATGACTGATGTACGGTCTTTATGGTATCTTCCGTGTACTACTAGCGGGCTATAGTGGTTTGCGTGGCTTCGTTTAGCACTGTTAGTCACCTGTAGAGCACTGTACCTAGTGCCTTTGTAATTTGTACATGGGTACGAGTAAACCCACTTCCACCGCCTAGGCACGGTAGTAAACTCACTTCCACCACCCAGGCTGACGCTCATGAAATGAAAAGACAAATACCAAGAAAAAATACACTTGCAACGAGGCTTGGCAAGAAAACGAAAAGCGAATCGGTGCAGTGCGCGGCCTCTGTGCTAAGCGTCAGCCAAGCGGGGCCGGTACCTGGGCATTGACTACATTGACTACCTACCTAGGTACCTGTGTAGGTAGTTGGTTACATGTATGTGTTAGTTGTACATATTCAGTCTTCATGTACATGATTTATGATTTACTAGTTAGGCGAGACGCCTCCTCTTCTGCTATTACCTGCTACTCCTCCTCGGCGTCTCTGCCGAGCTGAATGAGGCGGCACGAGACTCTATATCTCTATATGATCCGCCCATCCCTTCCCTCCATTCCATTTCGTTTTACCTGCATCTCTCTTTTCTTTCTTGTTTCGTCTCATTGATTCGAGATACTCGACCCCGCCAATCAAAATGACCGACTACGAACCCGTCGACAAGCACTGGGTAAGTCGCAACATGATTCTTCATTCTCTCGTCGTCTTCTTACGACCTCTCTCCTCACTTCTCGCCTCTCTCTTCTCTCTTACACTCCATCCCTTCTTCGTCTTCGACAGTCTCAGATGGTCCCTTGATCGTTGTCCTGACCAAAAGGCTCTTCCCCACTCTTGCTGCTCGTTGCCCACCAGTTGCATCCAATCCATCACGTCCGCGATTGAACCCCTCCCTGCGCAAAATGGATTGCGACGACAGCAATCAACTCTATCCTTTTCTCCTCCTTGTCTTGCTTCTTGCTTCTGGGCTTAGTGATCCAGTGGACCCTGAACTTAGACACACCGCACCACACCACTTGCATCACCGATCCCCTGTTTTTTTGGGTCACGACGTCACCAGTTGCGCCTCATGACTGTGGCGACCGTTGAAGCCCGACTATTTTTATTCCTCTTCCCTCTGCCTCCCTTTCCCCTTCTTATCCGTCACTATCCTTTTTTCTCATCACTCTCCCCGAGTCTCCCCCATCCAACTAACTACACATATTCCACATTGCCAAGACCCATACGCAACCGCTCCACCCGAAACCTTGTCCCTCACCTCGTATTCCCTTTTCACAATCGCTGACGCGCGTCTTTTTTTTGTTTATTCGAAATAGGCCAAGAGATATATTCTGGACCCCCTCACTGCCCCGGAACCTTCGCAAGAGACGGGCCCTGGCTCCTCGCACTACAACGTCCGCCTCCGCGCCGCGCCGCCTGAGTCGCCCCGCCGCGCCGACTCCAAAAAGTCCGCCAGCCGCCACCGTGTATTTGCGAAGCGCTCGCCCAGCGCCAGCAGCGACGAACAAGTTCAAGATCCCTTCAAGGACAACCGCGCTCCAGCCCAATTCTACAACAATCCCACGCCACCTGAGTCTACCGGCCAGTACCACGTCTCTAATCCGTACTCGGCCCGGCGCTCCCGCCGCTCCTCCAACCTAGACACCCACCACAAGGAAGCGAACTCGCGCCACACCGGCCTCGTCTCCCCGCCGCAATCCCCCGAGTCGATTGCGTCTAAAAGCGCCATCGCCGCCCAGCCTTCTTCTCTCTCCTCGACCGCGGCCTACCACAACGGCCGCCTGCCCATCCGCTCCGCCAGCGCCCGTGCCCCCGGCCCCGCATCCCGCCCGCACCCGGAGCAGCACACCCGGAGCCGCAGCGACGGCCACCGCCATCATCCGCGCCCGTCTCGTCCGCCCGTCTCTCTCGTCCAGCGCTACCCCGGCGACATGTCGCACCGCCCTCTCGACATGATTAAGCGTGAGACACGCGCCGCCGACCGCCGCCACCGCAAGCGCTTCTCCGAGGCTGACACCATTGACTTGCTCGATACCGTTGGTCCGACCTACCACCACGGCGGTCCCTACGACGCCACACTCGCCAGCCGCAACATGAATAAGATGTACTCGCCCGTCGAAGCCGTCCGCGACTCCAACCTCGCCGCCCTGCGCGCCACCCCACGCGAATTCATCCAGGACGCCCTCGTCCACCACCGCCCCCTCCAGGGCACCGCCACCATCCCCAGCGGCGGCTTTGACGCCAGTGGCAACCGCCTCGACTACGAGGAGGGCGCCGACCTTATGCGCGAGCCCGACGCTCCCGGCGGCGCCTACCGCCGCTACGACTTCATCGACTACCACCCCAACGACCTCAAGGGCAAGGGCGAGCCCTCATACTCCATCGAGCGCCACCTCAAAAAGGACAAGGGTGCCGATGACGCCATCGAGATGGAGAGCAACCCGCTCATGGCCAAGAGCCTGCGTCGCAAGAGCGTATCGGGCGGCACTTCCTCGAGCGCCCACACCGGCGCCGAGGAGCAAAGCCTCGGTCGCCAAAACTCGACTGGTCATCGCATCAGCGAGGGACTGAAGCGTCGCTTTGGTAGCCTGCGCCGCAAGAAGAGCGCCAGCCCCGACCGGGACTCATAATTTCTTAGCCTTCCCGGCCGTTTAAGATGAATTTCGCGAGGTTATTCTCTCTTTTTTTTCCATTTGTCTAGACACACCTTTTTGGGAGGTTTTTTTTTTTGGTTTTACATTCGAATATAGAACGTTTTGTGACGGGGATGTAACGGTGTAAATACAGGATGGCGTTTCGGGTCGCGCGACAAGGCTTTAAAGTCGTGTGAATATGGATCAATTCTTCGTTGCAATCTAAGAGATACACTTGACAAAAAAAAGATACAACAAACAATGTCGCAAGTAAATATCATCGTAGTTGATGTGATTGCCATAACACAACAGTCTCCCAAGTGAAGGGCGAAATTACTCGAGTATGGAAAAAAAACGACCGACGCCATCCCCGCCAGAAAGTTGTATGGCGTTGTTGAACACAGGTCTTCTTGAACTTGAATCTCAGGAATCATTCCAATCAAAAATAGTGATAATACTGAGAAATAGTCAGGCATCTTCATGGTCGGGAATACCTGTTTGCTCGTATACATGCGCCAATTATTCACCAAAGAAATACATATTTTTCCTGTCTCATGACATTCCTTTTTATAACAATGGAAAGCTCTCCTCAAAAGTACGCCATGCCCGACCACCCCAGCACGCCCTCCAGCTCGTCCCTCATCTCGTTCAAGTCGTCGTAGCCACTCTTGGTAGCCATCTCGGCCCTCTTGGCCGCGCCGAGCTCCGTCCAGCGCGCCAGCACCGCGCCGTCGACAATCATGCGGCCCGACGCTGCCGTCTCCACGCCGACGGCGCGCGCGTGGCTCTGCGCCCCGCGGCCCTCGGGCAGCCGGTGCGCCTTGGGGTGCAAGCCGCCGTACGGCACCACCGCGGGCATCAGCTGGTTCGCCAGTGACAGCAGCCGGCGGTAGGCCGACTCGCTGAGCGGCGTGAGCGCGGCCAGCTGGCCGGTCGGGCAGCTCAGCAGCAGCGTGTGTGGCGTCTCCGCGCCGGTGGTGCCCTGCGGCTGAGGCTGCGACGCGGGGATGGTGCGCTCGAGGAGCACCGTCGTGGTGGGCTCGTTGGGTGACAGGGAGAAGGTCGTGCGGTGCAGGAGAAGATGGCCTTGAAGCGACTTGGGGTCTACGAAATGATTAGTAAAGGAATCAAGGAGTTCTTGGCAGACACAGGGAGAACATACGATCAGGGTTAAACTCGAAGACGTGCAAGTCACCATCTGCATCCACGCCAATCATGTTCAGGTCCTCACCATCCGGCAAAAAGTCTGCCACAAGCATTGGAATCTGACCGCCGCTCTTTCCGAGCACCTTGAAGGTGTACGGTTCCTCCGTGTAGCCCGCAAACCACATGCCCTTAAAGGCATCGGCCATGAGGCACAGGCCAGTACCGCGCAGCTCACGTACACCCAGAATGTGGCAGTTCATATCCAAAAAGGCGACAGGCAACAGTCCGCCGTCTTCGCGCAGACCTCGTACCATGCACTTTTGGCCCTGCGCAATGAGCAGCAGACCAGAAGTGCCGATTTCGGACAGCGAGGTGACGCCACCACGCGGCAGCTCTTCCTTGGCCAGGAGCTTCAGTCTCTTGTTTGTCTCTGGCCGCCCCGGTTCGGGGATGACGGTGACAATGTCAAAAACCTGGACGCGGCCACGTGTAGGCAAATCTTCTCCCTTGCAAATCGCGCTGCCAACAGCAACAACCATACGTCGCTCTTTGGTTTCCTCGGATATTTCAAGGTGAAGTGCCATCATGCTTTCAATCGTTTCGCACGATTCGAGATCCAGGCTGTGAATGACTGTCCACGCTGCAGGGCTAATGAGCTTCAAAATACCTCGCGGCATAGTTGGCGCAAAGTTAACAGTCTCTCTAGCCCATTCTTTGTGATAGTCATCGTCTTTGGGCAGTTCAAACGGCTCCCGTGTTGAGCAAGCAGCGATATACGTTGCAGTGTGTGAGTGGAACGAGACTCTGTTCACGTCGCAATCCAGCGGAATCTTCTTGACTGAGATGCCCAGTTCCGCGTAGTTGGTATCCGTGGGCAGCTGACTGACTCTGGCAATACCTTTGGTATCAGCATAAATAAAACCCCGGTCGCAGCCTTCTGTGTGAAAGGTGCTCATGCCCTGCACGCCTTGGCCTTGGAGACCAACAATGCGAGGTATGCTCTTTGCCGATTTGAGAATAAAGCTAGGCGAGTCACCAGATAGAAACACTGCGCTATAGCCGCCAACATTGGCGCAGAGTTGAAGCGGAACGAAGCGCTTTTGCTGTGTTTCATCATCTTCCTTGTCGGAAGCTGGCGCGCTTTTTGCTATAGTAGAGTTTGTCGACTTTTTGAAGAATAATGTATCTGAGAGCGGTGCTGAGCTACTGTTCGGTTCATGGTATCGCACAGGCTCATATAGAGTTAGGTCATCAGTGTCGTGGCGAAGAATGAGATATGGGCTCTTGGCGACCACGTCGCCAAGATCAGCAACGAGAATTTCAGTCAGTGTTTCCTTCGCAGCAGCCTTGCGGCCAGTAAAGTTTGCAGATAGAAAAGGGGGCGTTGAGGTCAGGCCTTCTGCAACATAGACTGGTTCTGAGAGGTTGTCCAAGTCATATATGTGCAGAGCGCCGGTTGTGCTCATCAAGAACATCAAGATTCTCGGGCTACTTCCCTCATCGGGCTGTTTAGGTTGGAAATGTCCATCATGATCGGCGTATAGGCAACCCGTTTGCCATTTAATCGAGGCAAGGGGGCCTTTGTCCTTCTCAACTTCGTCTAGCTCATCATTACTATCAATCTTGGCAATGAAGATGCTGTTGTCGTCTCGGATAACCATCAGGTATGGGTCAGCAATGCTTGCGCTGACCACTCTTGGCTCTGCCCCTGTATCCTCGTCCATCATGGGCAGAATTTGGCTCAGGCCTAGATCCCCATCATAGCATCGGACTTCTGATTTCAATACCTGAATGATTCTCATTTGCTTCCCCATAGTGCCCGCCATGACTGTGAAGCCTGCTGCTGGCTCGAATTCTGTATCTTTTAAGCTCTCAAAACCAGCGTCTGTCAGGGCGTAAACATCCGACGTTTCGTAGCCGTCCAAATCGACCTTGGCAACAATCATGAATCGGTCATATAACTCCATGCTGTCGTATTCGCTGCTGACGACAGCATTGGAGCCGAGAGCTTTCGGCAACGGCTTTTTGACACACATGGTCCAGAACCCCCGAGCCTCCGGAAACTCAAATCTTCCGATGACCTTGGGTTGGATTTCGCGGTTTAAAATAGCAATGGCACCAGCCTTTCCTCGACCAACGGCGCACGCAAGCTGCAGTTCTGATGTGACGCCATCCCGCAGAACTACCTCTTCGCTGTCCAGTGGGAACACTGCTTTACCCGGGGCAACGTCGTGGATCGGCGCGAGGCATAGCAAAGAATCTTGTAGGCGAAAGATCAGCTCGCCGCCTTTTGTCACTCCGTTGGTGGCTAGGGATGGTTTTGCGGCAGTCGATTCCGTGCCGTACAAATCGTCATCTTCGTCAAAGTCATCAAGGTCAATATCGTCTACATCGAGGGCCAGTTCTGCATCCAATACTCTCGACTTCTTGCGTTTTTCTTGGCTTTGCTTCCTTGACCACCCTAGTACAACAGAGTCGCCGTACTCGCTTCCAATAAACATGGACGACTTGCCGATTCGAGAAATGCAAGATACGTGGCTCTTGAGCAAGTTTCCGCCATTTTCCTGCGAAACAGGGACCAGGCTGATTCCAGAGACTGTGCGTCCGTCAATCTTGAACGAGACGATGGCTAGCGAGGCGTCGTTGAGAATGAGGAGGAGCTCGCCACTTTCCATGGAAACGGGTTCAATTGCGCATCCTTCCAGACGATAGTTGAGCTCAGACTGGTCGTTTAGACTGAAGGAGGTCATTTGTCGTGCCATGGGGTTCACCGCAACGCCATTGGCTTTACCAGATTGGTCAATGTGGATAAGTTCGTTTGCGCCAACGAGAAGAGCACCGCCCACAGGGGTGGGCAGCGGGATAACGCGGCTGAGGTCTTGCGGCAAACCGGTGACTGATAAAATGGTAGTGGAAGCACGCTGTTTCAGGTCCAGGGTGAAAACCTTGTACGTCAAGTGGTCCCTGAACCCTAGAGCGATGGAGGTAGATTGCGCAGAAGATAGAATACCAAACGTAGGCTCTCGGTATTGATGGAGGAACGCGAGGTGGACTGGGTGCAGAAGCGTTGGGTCGAGGAGAGGCAGTCGCAGTACAAAGGAGGGTGAATGCTGCGACTGGGTTCCGTTGGCATCTCCGTTGGCATCTCCGTTGGTCGCGAGAGACGCTTCCTTGGGCGGCTTGGGCCCGTCCAGCGCCTCATCCCAGTCTTCCATCTCGAGATCCTCCTCAGCTTGGCGGAAGGGCAGGATGGCCAAGTTGCGGCTGCCAAACTTGAAGGCCGCACAGCGGCTAGCGGGGTCGGCCTCGAGGTAGTTGACATACTCGCCAAAGGGCAGCTCCCAAGGCGCTCCCTGCAGCTCGTCTTTTTCGTAGAAGTGTATCGAGACGGTCTCGAGCGCGGCGCGGCGCGGGTTCCACTCGGTCAGGCACATCTTGGCGCCGCGGTAGGCCAGCAGGAGAGCCTCGCCGCCCGACGAGGTGTGCGGCAGCTTGAGGCGGGCGAGGCCGATGATGGTGCCGGCGACGGGCAACTCGGCGACGAGGACGAGCTTGGTGTGCTGGGAGCGGTCGCGCAGCAGCAGGGGCGCCTCGGCGGCGCCGAAGAAGGAGGCCTCGAGCGCGTCGTCGTCGTGGCCGCCGCGGACGTCAAAGTCAGGCTCGGCGGCGGCGGCCGGCACCGGCGGTACTTGCTGGGTCTGGTTTTGCCGGTCGAGCTCGGCGGCAATGGTACGCGTCTCAAAGATTTGCAGGAGGGAGCCCTTTGCGACGACGAGATTGCTCGAGGTGGCCGACGTCAAGGACAGGCTCAGGGAATGGGTGACGGCCGATGGCGCCACAAGCTCCGTGTAGACCTGCATTGCGGCAATGTCATTCTCGCTCGCCGACCGGCGAGTCGAATTGGAGGGTGGGTGTTGTGATTGCTTATCGCAGGGTTTCGTGAGTGTTGCGATGGCAGATTCGTCGAAAAGTTCCCGCGAGATGCGAGCCAGCAGCTAGTAGCAGCTAGTGCGTGTGTGGCGCGGCTGGCTAGGTATGGCTGAGTTTGAGGCTGGAGCTTTCGGGACGGCGGTGGATTGATCCGCCTAGCGACCTGAATGAATTCCAGGGCATCCGGCGCTGTTTGGGGCACTAGGTGCACTAAGAAGTACAGTGTCTTGGGGCTGAGACAGCTCCAACCAATAAATGCCCAGTTTGGTTTGGCTGTTGCACAGGTGACAGTAGCAACCGTTATGCACTAACGATGCTCACTTATGCAAGCTTCCATGGTCGGCATTCGATAATTGCGTCACGAAATATCCACGACTCTCTCTCATCCCATCACCGCCGCTGGGACACTCATCCAGTCCATACTCACCTCAACCAGTCTCCCTCCGTCCGTCTACAGCCTCCATCGAACCCAAGCACTAGAAACCCAGCCGCAGCACCCAGCCAGCTTTCCCAACTGCGCCGACGTCACCACTCCCAAGACCATGCTGGCAGACGCGGGTCTGATCCAGACCAGCCTGATCTGGGTGGCCTACACCTGCGCCGTCGTCTTTTGCCTCATCGCCGCCGTCATCACCACATTTACCTGGCAGACGCCGCGCGAGCGCTCCGCCGTCGTCAGCATCGTCGCCATTGTCAGCCTCACGGCCCTGCTCGCCACCGTGCTCCTGCTGCCCGTCGACATTGCTCTCGTCTCCGCCACCGGCTCCGTTCCGCTCGGCGTCAAGAAGCCCTGGGCCACGCCGGCGCGCGTCGCCGCCCTCTTGCGCGCCCTCCAGGTCCTCTACTACACACTCTACAGCGTCGACGCCCTCCTCTGCCTACTGCTCATCCCCTTTGCCTACTTTTGGTACGAAGAGTACGATGAGATTGAGTTTGAGGAGGAGGGCCGCACCTGGCGCTCCCGCCTCTGGGCCGCCGCCAAATATACCCTATTCTTCCTCGCCCTCGTCGTCGTCCTCTTCCTCGTCGGCTTCTTCGTGCCCGCCGCTGGCCGCGGTGATCCGGGTACGAGCTGGCGCCACCTCGATTCCTACTACCAACATCTCATCGCACAGAACAATGGCGAAAAGGCCCTCACCTTTGCGCTCGGCTTGCTCGTCACCCTCGGCACCCTCCTCTACATCGTTTACACCAGCGCCGGCCTCGCCCTCATGCCCATCTCCTTCATCAAGTCGGCGCCTCGCGTCTCGGCGCCCCAGCTCTCCGCCACCACGGCCTCGCAGCTCGAGCAGAATCGCGAGCGCCGCCGCCAACTCGAGATGCGCTACGCCGGCCGCGACGACGGCAGCATGACCCGCAAGGACCGCCGCGAGCTTGACGCCCTCGTCCGCGAGGAGCAGACCCTCGTCCGCCGCGAGCGCCTCGCCGCCGAGGCCCAGGGTGAGGGTCACAGTCGCCTCTACCACGTCTGGCTCCAGGTCTGTGCCTTCTTCCGGCCCGTCAAGATGATCGGTGGCATCGCCCTCCTCGTCCTCTCTGTCCTCATCGCCGTCTCCATGCTCATCACCGGCATCGACAAGGCCACCCACTCGGTCTGCAAGCAGCGCTGCGGCTACATCCTGGGCCATATCCGCGTCTTCCAGCCCATCAACTGGATCTTTGTCAAGACCGCCCGCGTCTTCCCCGTCGACTACGTCCTCATGGCCCTGCTCGTCCTGCACCTCTTCAGCAGCTCCATCTCCGGCATCGCCACCGTCGGCATCCGCTTCCTCTGGATCCGCATCTTCCAGATCCGCCGCGGCCGTACCGCGCCTCAGGCCCTTCTCATCGCCACCGTCATGCTCGGCCTCATCACCCTCGCCATCAACTACGCCGTCGCCATGTTTGTCGCCCCGCAGTACGCAGCCTTTGGCACTCAGACCTTTTGCAGCCTTGAGCCTACCCACCCCGGTCAGCCGCCCGACTGCCGCTCCAGCCCGGACAGCGTGCTCCCCTGCGCCCAGTCACCCGAGTACCCCTTCGCCGCCCACGCTTGCACCCCCTCGGTCCTGTCAACCTTTCTCAACCGCATCACCATCACGTGGCCATTTTTTGGCATCGTCGCCTTCTGGGGACAGTTTGCGTTTCTCGCCATCTTCCTCGTCGTGCTCGTCACCGCCATCTTCCGCACGCCCCGCGTCAACCTCGCCGAATTGGACGAGGATGCTGAAGAGGACGAGGAGGAGAGCCTCCTGGCAGCCACAGGCCGGCGATTCGCTGCGAGCTGGGAGGACGCGCGCAACAACACCAGCAGCAACAATAATCGCAGCTACGGCACGGCCAACGCGTAAAAGAGGCAACACTTGCCGCTTCTTCTCTTCCGTGTATCACTATATTTTAGGTTGAACAACATTTGCATCATTAAATCGGACTGGAAAAGGAAGGCTCAAGGACGGAAACAAGCCAAGTTGGCTATACGAGGATAAAGGAACATGTGTATTTTTTTCATTATGGATATCAAAGGCGTTGGCTGGGAGTCTATTATTCTTTTTGTTTGTCTTTTTTTTCTACCGCTTGCTAAACGTTCACGGTCTCTTGTATATAGGTGTTTTGAATTCGACTTTCTGGTAAATTGATCAAGCATGCCTTCAATTGCACCCCAATAGCACATACGTTCTGTAGCAACGGCATTGTAATGTATGGTTTTTCCTGGCATTGTTTAACTTCAGGCTTATCCCGTCTAGCTATCGAATGCGACGCGTTTTATTCTTTCCTACATTGGGAGTACGTACGCACGGAATGTCGCCATGGTCCCCCTTTTGGGGCGTCCCAACTCATCTATCCCTGCCAGATACATGCAAATCAAACACCTCCGAAAGAACCAAATCGAAAAGAATCAAAAAAATAAAAAAACAAAAATCATAGAAACAAATGCAGTATATTGAGATGCCCCGAAAGTATACAAAAGAAATAAACCAAATGGGCGAGTGAAACAAGGAACCTTTCTCATCGGTGAAGTTGACGTCTTTCCAAAGACATAACAAAAAAGGGAGACAGAAATGAATGTTGCAGAACAGAGCAGTCCATACAATAAAGTATATCGAGGTGTATACGGAAAGGAAATCGTGAGCGTTTCTCAAGCGGACTTCGTCCACAGCACGTATATAGGCGTCGTCCGAACGGCGCGGGTATCAGTAAAAATGCCGTAATCAAAACACAAATAGATGGCAAAGGACGAAAAGCGCAATTGGGCTGTATTCCGAGCAGGACAATATAGACCAAGAGCAGTGATTTCCCAGCAGGTGTGCTTTGCTCACAAATCAAAGCAAGGAACGTGCATTGAAAGCAACTTGGAATCGGCCGTTATTCAACCTTGACTCGTTTGGCCTCTGTCGGCGGCCCGTGGCTGCTCGTGCTCGAGGTCGCGGAGCCTTCACTCTTTCGTTTCATCGCTTCTCGAGACTTGAGACTATCAGGCGCGCTAGCTATTGCAGTCATAGACGACGAGGTTGCAGTCGATGCTGATGACATGGCCGTGTGGCTCTGATCCTGGGTCAGGAAGCTGGGTCCAGAGCCTACGACGGGTGTGGAAAAGTTGAGCGGGCTGGGAAGGGTGTTGCTGTCGCTAGCCTTGTAATTCCATTCCGGATAGAAGCTGCTCGGGCTGGGGAGGAAGTCGCCGTTGAGGTACCTCGATGGAAGTGCAGATTGTGGTGTATCGTTCTTGGTGGGGACACCATTGCCGATTCCTTGAGGGTTCACCGGCGGCGGTCTCGCAAATGGATTCGGCGGCCCCGTGGCTCCGGCAGACAAGAGTGCGGAAGTCGATGGAGAGGGCGGCGGCAATACGATGGAGCCATGCCGCCTTTGCGTGTGCGTTGGGGTATCTGCAGGATTGCGCGGTGAGCTAGATTCTGCGGTAACGGCACTTCCGCTTTGCTCGGAGCCCCCATCGGGGATCTGCACGGTGAGCTTGGGACCGCGAGGTCTGGCAGACAAGGGGCCTCCCGTCACACTGTTGGTCCGTGATGGCGGCGCAAAGGTTACGTCGGGCAAGGAAACATTTCGTGACTTGTCCATGGAGCTGTGCGAGCGTGGCAGCGGTGGTGACGTCCGCATAGGAGCCCCGGCGTCAACAGACTGAGAACGACTGGTAGGCTCTTCTTTAATGGTGGACTCTTCTGTACTGAACAGTTTAGAATGTTGCCCCAGAATGGATCGGTTCTCTTCTACAGGCGTAAAGATACTGTGCGATCTCCTTTGCGGTAGCTTTTTGATAGCAGAGTCCGTGTTGAGTGACGGTGGATGACGAGCATCCATTTCGAGGGCTACCTCTCTCAAGTGCGGTGGCTGGGATTCCATGGGCCGACGATCTGGCGGTGGAGGATGCGGCATGGTTGTTGGCTGTTGGATATCCGGACGTGGAGGCATAGACATGGCTTGGGATGATGGCTGAGGCGGGAACGGTGCTTGCGTCTGTTGAGGCGGTGGTTGAGGCGTGTATCCGGGATGAGGCTGCTGAGCGTGAGGCTGCTGAGGGTGTGACTGCTGAGAGTGTGATTGCTGAGGGTGTGATTGCTGATGGTGTGGTTGCTGAGAGTGTGGCTGCTGAGAGTGCGATTGCTGAGAGTGCGATTGCTGAGAATGCGATTGCTGAGAATGCGATTGCTGAGAGTGCGATTGCTGAGAGTGTGGTTGAGGTGGGCGACGATCGTCAGCATAGGCTTGAGGAGGCGGTGGTTGATGGGGGTGCTGCGGCTGCGCGGAATAATACTGGGCTCCGTGAGAGTGCATCATAGGCTGCGAGGGAGCCGTCGGACCGTTATAAATGGGAGGTGCGGGCATATATGTGATGCCGGGATGGGGGCCAGGCGCTGGAGGAGGGATCATGCTAGAGGATACACGACGGCCGTCGTTTCTCGCATCGGGGCGTCCCATGGGCGGGTGTGGCGAGTGGCCGCGAGGAGGAAGATGGTGAGCGTGATGGCCGGGGAAAGGTCCGCCGTTGGGAACAGGTGGAGAAGCTGAAGCGGTGTGGTGACGTATTTGCGGCGGGAAATGGCCATGCTGAGGGTGATATTGCGGAGGCATCATCTGGGCCTCTTCGTGGCCTCTGGGGGGCGTCGCATCGCCGTCCTCGTCTTCGTCTCCGTCGTCGGCGCCGGCAAAGTCGGTTGGGCCTTTGTGCTCGTTGGGACCGCCATGCTGCAAGGTGGTTAGCGGCATAAGCAATGGCAAAGGGGAGAGGGGTAGAAGGGCAGGGAAGGAGACTTACGTATTGGTGGCGGGTAATGAGATCATGCATGTCGGCAGAAGAGTATTCGTAGAGCTTCTTGTTGTTGCCAAATATGAAGACGGCGACGTCGACAGAGCAAAGAACGGAGAGCTCGTGAGCCTTCTTGAAGAGACCACCTTTGCGCTTCAGAAAAGTACTATAGCGCGGCATGTTGGTTAGTATACGGGAGTCAAGGCGGGAGGAGTTTAGGCAGGGACCAAGCAGCAGACATACACTGAGCGGTTGCGGTCATCTTTGATGGCCCTGATTTCGATTTTTCTGCGACCCATGGTAGCGGATGTCTATGAGAAGCAGCGAAGAGAAGTGATGAGCAGGGAACCGGCGAGAGGAGGGCGCACGCGCCGAGTTTAAGTGTGTTGTTGGCCGAGTCGCAACGGGAGGGGGCGGATGGACGCGGAGGTTGTCGATTGCAAGCGAGGTCAAGCCACGACGAGGCGCCTGCAGTAGGTGACAGACTGGATGCAGCACAGGCGCAGTAGTGACGAATGGAAAGAGACGCCGAGGGGAGGTTGAGGCGGGGGGGTTTGTATTTGGATGAGGGAAGCAAACGGCCAGAGGAGGAGTGAGGAGTGGGCCTATGGGCAGTCGCAAGGCTGGCGGCGAAGCCCTGGACCTGGGGCGAGGTCGGCGGGGATGTGATGGCCGCAGGAGCGAGGAGCGTTGGTTTGCAACGGCGACAGACGCGGGCCAGAGACTGGGAAGGCGTCGAGGGCAGGGCAGTCGGGCATGCAACGGCGAGGAGGGTGGGTGCGCAAACAAGCAGAGGCGGCGGCGGCGGCGGTGCTGCGGCGACGGCGGCGACGGCGCAAAAAACGAGGGGGACACACACTGTGGGAGGCGGCAGGAAAGGCGACAAGAACGACGGCAGGCACCGCGATCCAGCGGATGAAGCTATCACAGTTGGCCGAATAGGAAGCTGGCCGGAGGAGAGAACGCGGACTGGTCGTGCAGGATGATGGGGCTGGATCTGGCGTTGGAGGGTTCTAATAATAGACCTTGATCGTGTTCAGTTCATGGGAGGAGGTTTAAAAAAAAAAAGAACAAGCAGGATGGATGGGGGTGGGCGGGAAGGGGGGGGTTAGTTAAACTGGACTAAACTGGACACTGGACAGAGGGTAACAAGGTGGCTCCGTTTTCTCCGTATAATGGGACGGAGCATCCATAAAGGGTACATGTTAGTTACAGGGGAGCTGCTAAAAGCAGCGGGGGCGACGCTACGCGGATCCTCTGCAAGGGCACAGATGCCAGCAATTATCAAGGCAGGTTATGTATGAGTGGCTTGGGACGCTGTTGCAAAAGTCAATTGAAACAAAAGTGCGCAGGTGCCGTCGTGGGAGCATAACTTGATCACTGCCTCCTACCTACGAGGTACCTAGGTGCCTGTACCTACCAACAGAGTACCTAGGTAATTAGTACTAACTAATCCTGCCAAGTGCTCCCGGGGTTATTAGTGGGACCGTTGACCGTTCACCCTCAACCCTGTAATCCGTACGGTGTCCCAGTACGTGGGCCTCAGCTGGCCTTGTTGGGGACTGACAACAGCAGCTTCAAGATGAATAACTAGATAATCAAGTGGAAATATGATAACGACGTGATACACATGATACAATACCAAGACGGTGGCCTCGCATATCTCTGTCATGTATGTGCCTCTGTCATGTTCGCTAGTACCAATACACCGAATCACTGACCAACATGATCATGTCAGCCACGGTAACCAATATTGCCGGTACCTCTCTTTTTCCTTCTCTCTCGCGTTGCACACTGGAAATAACAGCCCAGTAACCATGTTATTACTTATTACTACGAGTTAGTACTCCGTATTACAAGACGCACACACACACAAAAGCGCCACGGACAAAGTCGGTGGGTGGTATTGCAGTGGGCTTACAGGGGGGATCCCCGCTAAACGACACAGCGGACCAACTGGACGGCCCTAGCAAGCGCCGTGGCCAGCGAGCCGCAGTCGTCCTCAGCCACAGCGCGCCATCATGTCGGAACGAATATTGGAGAAATAACTAAAATGAGAGAGAAGAAGAGGTGATTGAGAGAAAAAGGGAAAGAAAGGACAAGGTGGAAGAAACATGCCCATTTGATTGTTTCAAAAACTACGAATTAAAGCAAACATGATGGCCATCAGCACTGAATAGAGATGGAAAAATCATGCACTAGATGCAGGGCTTTTGCGCTACCGACGCATAACTACCAGACTTCTCGCTCGGCCCTACTCAACCTGAGCAATCTCGCGTCTTGAAAGCATCACTCTGAATTTCACTCATACAATGAATGGTATGCGTTTCTTATTCCCCCCTCCCACTCATTCACCATTGTCTGAGAGGACTGAGACATGCCTTGGGTCTAGCAACAAGTCGTCTGCAGCCCTTGTGGACCTAGCCTCCAGGCAATAGCTGGGCGGACGAATAGTGAGAGAGGGCAGATGAAATTGAAAAAGAGGGCAAAAATCGACCTGCCTCTTTCAGTTTTGGGGCTGTTCCCGGTCCTCTCTGTAGTTAGTGAACTAATCTCCAGCATGCATTCACATCCCTCTGCGCCTACGACGGTGGCCACCTGAAAAGCATGCTGCAAGTGGAGGGGCAAATTATCATTCGTTACGGGCCAGTGTCAGGTAGCCCGTTGTTTATTAACTAATAGAGTATCTTTGTTGCCACAGACAAATCAATCGACTTGGGCAACGTCATGTTTATTAGCAATGACAAGTTGTTTCTTACGACCAGCAGACTTGTTGTTGGACCTCTCTTTCTTCGGCCGACGTTGCTGAAACTCTCTCGCGTGGGCATCATGCCGACTTGACACAGTCGCCGTTGCAAAGCACTCATTTGCCCCCCTCCCTAGTTACGGGTAACTAGGGTAATCGTTCGAGTTACCTATCAGGCTCTCAGCCACCAACCCAGGTTCATGACGCGGTCCTGCCAGGCCATAGTTAGTTAGCTAGTTAGGCTTTTGATTACCCAAAGCCCATAGCCGTATCCGCACGAAAATAAACAGGGCCAGCCTTGTGTCTCGAGCGACGATTCACACAAACTATCAGTCCCATCACCAACTATCCGGCGGGCCAACTAGTTAGTTATCCTTCTGGGGCCCAAGCAATGGATCTACCTAACCCACGTCGTCCTCGGCAATGCCGCCGCCGCTGTGGGCAGAGAGAACAAAACCCAAACTCAAGCGCCTCAACAGAGTGATGGAGACGCCAACCACGACTGAATCGTGATCTCCATTCCCAGTCCTTGATTGCCGGCCATTGTGTGTTGTGTGTACTTTGTCGACGGCCTCCGACAAGGCAAGATTCGTGCCAAAAGCTAATTGAATGCATGGTACCAGTAACTAGACAATATGCTCTGCGTCGGCTATTGCTGCCCACGCCGTTTCTCTCCACATCGACGCCGGTCGCGATGCTACATTAACTAGCGCCAACGCCTTTTTTTTTTCTCCTGCTCATCTTCCGGAGCCCAGCAAAGAAAAAAAAACCTGCCCTACTAGGGAATCAACGTGGCCCAAAAGGTCTTGTTTCGCTGCCAAAAGCGGCGACGGGCGAGCCACCGCGTGGGTTCCCATCCTCCATCGGGTCCAACAAGAAAGACATTTTTTTTGCTCAGTGCTCAGCCGGGCCAAGAAGTCCAAGACAACCCTCGCACATCTAGATCGCCGGGCGGCGTGAACAGCCCGTGCCATGCTTGTTTCTCATCCCCCGAAAAGACCCCTCCCCACTGCGTACGGATGCTGCGTGTGTGGTTCGAGACTTTTTTGGCATCTCTTGTTCCAACTAGTAGTTATCCGAGACACACAGCGCCACTCCCTCTCCGGTTGCCCACAATCTCATCTTTTGCCTGCCTTTGTGGCACCGCCTCGCTTAGCCAAGGTAGCAAGGTAACTAGCTAGCCAGAGTCGCTGTTGGCATGTAGCACTAGCCTTGTGGCATGGGACAAGATTAGGAACCACATGGGAGAAGAAGCATGAGATAAATGCAAGGGGACAGTTTGCCGGAGAGCGGTGCTTCTCTTCCTGTACTTGTGCCTCTTCCTTTCATTGGTCCATGTAGTTACCACGAGGTCATCTGATACGCATGCACCACTTCTCAAGAATGAAGCCGGAATTGTGTCTCAAAACGCTCCTCCACATATGGTGCATTCCTCGTCCTCGATTGGCCATTACATTCCAGCTCGACCATTGTTAGTCCGGAGCAGCGCCGCCGCGATAAAAAGATGGCTGCCAGGTGGTGGGGTAACCCGGGCCATCATTGGAAGCGGTCTCGTCATGCAGAGATGCAAGAGAGATGGGTGCTAATATTCTATATTTGTTGCGCATCATCAAGATGCAACGTGGAGCGTGGCAGCTGTCAAGACGAGCACGCGGCACTAACTACCGGGCACATGATACTGCAGATTCCAGTTCGTCAATTCCCCCATCAAGAGTCTAATTTGACCGTCTCGCAGGGCAATGCCATTTTGGCTTCTCTTCCGTCCCATCTGCCATCTGGACTCGGGATCGAGGCTTTTCGCATCAGTCGTCGTACCAAAGGTTGGACTAGGCAGGGTGGGTGACGCCCATGTGTGAGCCGGGCAGCGTCGCATGTTGCTTGCTTTCTTGCTGTGCTATGATCTATCGCCCCTCTCCTCCTTCTCCTCCTTCTCCCCCTCGCTTACATGCAGATGCAGCATACATCGACCGACTTGGTTGTTGGGCGCGACTCCATTTCTTCTCTTGATTTTCTATTTCTAACAATAGCTACACGCGGCAGCAGGGTGGGGGCGCCGAACAGGGGCAGGGTTGGCCCCCGCACCAGTGACCTCGACTTGTTTTGTCGTCGTAGCAAAGCAAGCTCTGTAGTCACAGTGGATGGAATCGTACAGATTAGACACAGACAGAGGGCCCAGTCAGGAGGACTTGTTGCTTTTTTAGTCTACATATACTGCCAAGAAACACCAGGACAACATTTTGGGGGGAACATGGCACGTACCCTATATCCCCGACGCCATTCCATCTAGACTCTTGGAGTCTAGCAACTAAGAAAAAGGGAAAAATAAAAAAATGAAAAAATGAAAAAATGAAAAAATACCATAGTAGAGAAACAATGCCACTACACATGGAAACACTCTGCATAATGTTTTGGGGCAGCTGTCACGCCTTTCCCTCTAGACTTGCGAACCCTGTCCGACCATGCCCGACCATGTCACTGCTCTCTTTACTTCCCAACATGCCACATATCCATCTCACGCTTCCCAAGAGGGCAAAGCCAAAACCACATGCAGAAGCCTAGTTGGGTTCCTATTCCTCTTGCCCTTGCCCTTGTTTCTCACCTCGTCACCCTCTCGGCGTGCGCATGAATCCACCCCCCGGTTTTTTTCGTTTCCCCGGGGCGCGATACCCGGGGTTGCATGCGACATGCGCCGACGAGCGAGCGGCGCAGGGGTTCTAAAAATAACAACTTGGCTTGTATGTGAAGAGGAAATCTGTAATACAGATGATCCGTACCCCATACGGGTACCTAGGTCTGTATGCATGCATGTACACACTTTGCTGGGCGGTGCATCAACATCACCGAAAAACCCACTCACAATGACACAACCCCCCACGAAAACATTCTTCTTCTCTTACCGTTCCCTCATCAGACCTCACACCCATCGCCTCTCCCCTCTGCGTCTTGCATCACTTACTTGCTTGGCATCCCACTTGACGCGTGGCTTCCACCCAAGAAAATATCCTACACAGCCCCTGTAGAACCCCCCACCGCCCTCATCACCTCCAATCGCCGAATCAAGTCCATCTTCAACATCACATCATCTCACATCACCCTCCTCCGAAAAATCCACCCGCTCTACAATGCATGATTCGCGCTAGTCGCCATCATCAAACACGGTAGGGCACAGACTGAGTCCGCATTCTATTCTCGTCTCCTGCCTGTTTCTTCGTCTCATTTGCTCCGTCGAGCCCTTGCTCCTCTAAAACGTCACCATTGTTTGCTCTAATGCCTCGCCTTCGTCTCGATGCAACCGCAATGGCGTTTGATTCCCTTCATCAATATCAACTCCACTACGCTATTTTTATAGCACTCGCTGAAATTTGCCCGGAACAAAACCCATTCTCCTTGGGCCACGAAAGCGACAATGTAGCTCAACTTCATGTCGTCACTGTCTGTATACGTACGCCAAACACCAAACCTTGAGAGACCAAAAAAATATCAATCAAACACCTCCGTATGTACCGCTATTACACCTCCAGCTCCTGGCAAATCGTACCTCGTTCGTCCGTCCGCCATCGCTGCTCCTTCACGATGGTGAAGCTGCACTGCCGGCATTGTAGCTACCGAAACCGCCGTGTTCGGCTGCAGTATCCGCCTTCATCGTACCGTTGAGCATAGGACATAACCTTGAAAGGAGCATTTGTTAGCAAATAATTCGCTTTGAGCCAGCCATCATGACAAGGCCACAGGGGGGCAACATCATAGGGAACAGCAAATGAGTCGCGTCAGCAATAAGCAGCAGCTAGTAGTGTCTCCCAAAGCAGCAATCTTCGCATCACAACATGAATTTCGCTCGAAACTTGGCCGCGATTCGCTGGGCAGAGAGAGAGGCTTCGGCATTGTATTGCTGCCGTGCCAACTTGGCCGCCTCTTTCTTTGCTTGGGCTTCCTCGCGAGATCGCGCCTCTTCCTGCCGCTGCTCGTCTCTCCGTCTCGCCTTCTCCGCCCTTTGCGACTCTCCCTCTTCTTTGCGCGCTCTTTTTTGGTCTTCTCGTTCTCGTTCTCTCTCGTCTCTCTCTCTCTTCTTCTCCACATTCATCACCTGCTTTGCGCCTTGCTCAGCTCGCCGTCGTGCCTGCGAGATAGATTTCTTCAGCTGCTTTGGGAAACTGAGTGTATTGGTCCTTTGACCTGCATCTGCTGTTTTTGGTGGCCCTTTGGCTGCCACCCACCAATCAAAAGACGGGCGTGGGGGAGGGGGAATAAATTCCATACTTCTTGTTGGTTTTGATGTGCCCAACCTGGCCACAATTGGCACACTTCCTCGTCGTGCCGGTGGGAATCTTATCTCCTCCGGTCGAAGGTGACCCTGCGTCGCCAGCAGCTGCTTTTTGGTGCAGCTCCTTTTGTTGCTCTCGGGCTTGTCGTCGGGCTTTGTTCTTCTCCAGTCGTTCAAGCTCCCTCTTGATTCTATACCGACATTGTTAATTACCCTCACACCCATTGTCATCAGTTACCACATACCTAATGCCTGCAAGACGGTCATGGTCGGCATTGCCCGTTGGACGCACGCTGTAGATGCTATACGTAGATAACTGTAAGCAGGGGCTCTGAATTCGAGGCCAGCCAAATTGTGCATGTCGGCCATGGCACCAGGTCCATAATTGGACCTTGCCAGGCTTGTCAACTGTTTGAGTTGTACACCGTTCCGCAATTGAAGTCGGGTCATGGGTGTCAATCTCTTCCAATACCGGGGGCTGAGGCCCAGCATCGCCAAACGGGGGTTGACATACTCTTTAAGTTCTAATTCCGCTTCTGCTCGTCGTTTCATATACTGTGAAATGACAACCGGGTCATACACCATTTCTGTTCTTGTCTGGATTGATCCGTCTGGCAGTCGGTAATCTCGCTTAATCCGGATCGCTCGCTTCTGGTGACGACTGGATGAAGTCAAACCGCTAATCTGGCTGATTCCGTCGTCAAAGTGCGCTGGAGTTGCGGCAGCCTGTACGTTGAATCGATCGTCTTCGTCTTCCTGTGGTTGAACGTCATTGTCGTCGTGTGGGGTCCCATCTGTCAATGTTGTCTTTTGCTTCTCCCAGATTTCACGGATACCCTCCTCGTACATGGCTTGCTGCTTCTTCACGTTATATGCATGCCCACCATTCGCTCGCTTCTCACGTTCAATAGCATCAGCAGAGGTTGCAAGTGGTCCCTGAACAGCTTCGATGTATCCTCCTTTCATCGACGTGCGAATGAAGCTGAATCCTAGCCCGTGCCCAGTTGGGTCACCCTCGCCGTGCAGCTGAAGCATCGCCTTCTGAGCGCAAGCATCGATAAATGCCTTGGTCGTCTTCCAAGGTGCCATCTTATCTGCAAGCGTCTCCTCCTGCTTCTCCTGTGCCTTTTTGGCGGCGGCTTTGGTAATCTTGCTGCTGTCGTCCTCTCCGTCCTCTTCCTCGCCTTCCTCAGCTGCCTGAGTTTCGTCCTCAATGTTGGCGTTTCGAGGGTCATAGCCAGCATCCTCAAGTTCCTTGATACCAAGCTGCATGGCGTCGAGCAAGCTGACATCTTCTGGTTTAATCATGGCGCGGATTGCGTTTTCATCAGGAAGCACCTCGCCGGGACGCAGGCGCCACATTCCCTTCTCGCCGCTGTCTCTGTCATACTGTAGGAATTCCTTGAGCTTTTGACGATTTTGCGTATCAGTGGAATCTGCGATGTGTCGGGTCATTTCGGACAGCTGACAGTTATCCGTTCGACTATGGCGTATCATGCGGAATGCGAGCATCTTCATACGGTTCTTGGAAGCATTGGTGACCTTTCTACTATGGGGTCCGGGAACTTCAACCGACGGAAACGCCTGTCCCACCGCATGAATGTGATCAATCTTATGCAAATACCAGCGTGAGCCCTCCACACCCGTTGTATTGCGAACCACCAAAAAGTCGTTCGTTCTCGGGATATGCTTAAAGACTGGAGCACGGTACATTTCGTTGTGTAGCGTGGGTACAGTCTCGCCGGCATCCACAGTACCAAAGAGTGAGAATGGCGAACGGTCCTCAGGCAACAGAGTACGATATTCACCGAGCTCCAACTTCGGTAGCTGCTCTTCGTCCTTTTCGTCCTTGCGACGGTAGTAATTGATGAGCTTGGTGCCCATGCCGAAATTGTTCAAAACACGCGGTCTGGGCTCGCAATATTCGAAAAGAACGGCAGTAGAGTTATCACCCAGAGTCAGGTCTTTTGACTTCAGGAAAACTTCATGAGCCTTGCCCTTCATCATCTTGCGCTTTTGGTGCTGCGGCTTATCAAATTTGATGGTATGATGAGAGAATTTCTTGTAACGGAAGCGAGGGCGATGGTACTCGTCCGTTGTACCTGGTAGCCGCACCTTGTAGTAGGGCCAAGTCAATTTGATCGCCGGCATACTGTGCTCCACAGAGATATTGCCAAGAGTAGCCCGGACCTTGCTCTGGTGGTTTTCTTTGAGTAAGTCATATGCTTCGTCGTTGGAAAGATTGAATCGCTGCGCCATGGTGCGTCCCAAACGCCCTGCACCCGTCTGTTTGTTCTTATCATCTTGACGGGGACGGTTAGCGTTGGCTTGCGAATCTGACTCGATCAAGAGGTGCGGATCACTCATGTCCAAGTGGACGCGCTTCGCACCACGTTTTGTCGCTTCCTCGAAATTGTCGAAAGATGGCGCAGTATACCGGGGAATCTCGGGAAGACCTGTCGCTACAAACTTGCGTTTCTTTGGCCGGCTCTTTGTGTCTTCCGCAAAGTCTTGCAAAAACTCCGCATCCCATTCGTCGTCCTGATCGGCATTCGCATGTCTCATCTGATTGCTCTCTTTAATTTCGGCAGCCAGGCGTGTTTGGAACTGTTCCTGGATGGCCTCAATATCATTACCCCAATCTTGACAGGCCAGTTCAATGTCGCGCATAGTGTAGCCCATAACAGGCTCACCGTCGGATTCTTGGTCGATATCAAACGGAACTATCTCATCATCGTTTTCTGCCGAGTCCTTATCGCAGAGAACTAAACGCTTGGCGTTATACGCGTTAAGCCTCTGTTTAAGAGACCCCGTGGTTGCTGGTCCTGGAATTCGAAACTGCTTTTCCTCATCTGGCGCAAGGTCGAGACTCAGCTTGCTGGTAACAAGGTGCTTGGGCTTCTTAACCGGCTTCTTCCCCTTCCATGTAGCTCTTTTGGGCGGCAATAGTTCGCTCCAAACGAGAACGCGTCCTTTTTTATACGCGGGCCACATCTCCTTGAGCAAGTCTTCGACGGTTTCGGCAGGAGCAGGAATGTCGGGGTCTTGGTTGGCAGCGCCGTACATGTGCGGATCAGGGTCGAAGTTCATTCCGGAGAAGCTTAATCCCGTATCTGTTGGTTGGATTTCGTCACCAGCTTCGGTATCACGCACGCGTGGGCCGGGAGATGGGTGGTCTCCGATAGGATCTGTAGGCGAGGACGGACCTTCACCAAAAAGATCATCGGCATCGTTACTGGTGCCACCGTCATCGGTTAGGGACGGAATCTCAAGCGAGCCACCGGCTGCAGGCTCCTCATCGGGTAGATCATCATCGCTAATGTCTTCGAAGTCCTCCGCGTCGTCGGCCTTGTTCGTTTGATCGAAGGGAGTGTCATCGAGTTTCAAGCCGCCGCTAGAACCATCCTGGCTCTGCTCCAAAAGGCGCGAGATCTCACGCTGATCAGCGGATTCTTGCGCCTTCCACTTGTCCTCATTGAATGAGGAGAAATCCTGGTCTTCGGGCATCGTGAAGCGGCGTCCACTATCGCGAGCCCGGGTATGAGTTGCGCGAAGGGCGCCTATATCATTATTCGAGTATCGGGTGTGTTTCGCTTAGCACTATTCAGAGTGGTCGAAGAATAATGAAGCTTTGTGGGCAAAACGGGACGTAAATGCGCGTGACAGACAGTCTGTGGAGGTTGCGATGCACGTATGTAGCTCGAAGAGTTGAGAGGTTGCCAAGAAATGACGATGATTACGTAAACATGAAAAGTGGGCGACATACGGAGCGCCATGTGACAAAAATCTGGGCGCCGAATGGGGACGAAGAGAGGAAAGTAAAGGTATAGGAAAGAGAAGAAAGATGCACATAATCATAAATACCAAGACGAAAATATCGAGGCATAAATATCAAAAAATTATCAAGAAGGAATTAATAAGAAATGAATATCAAGAAAACAGTGAATAAGGAAGATATTAACAAATTGCTGACTGGTGATTTTTTTCTCGCCCTGGTGGGGTGGGCGCGTTTGATGGAATATTGTGCTGCATCATTCATGTGTTGTTTTGGCGCTAGAATGTCCCGCACCATCAATAAGACTCTACTGCACATTATGTGCCTGGAATTTTTGATCTTTGGCTTTTGACCGAGTCTAGTCGCCACGCTATAGCACTGATATATCCTCGTAATTTTTATTCCGAGAGCTTGGAAACAAGCGGCCTTACGCAGTGGACCTTGACTGCCGAAAGAAGCTATCACAGAGGCTGCATGACGCATAAACGGTGGTGAAACCAACTGGCGACGGAAGTCCATTTCCCAAGCTCTGGAGTGTTTCACTGGAGAGTTGTAATAGAGCTTGCCTGTATGGGAGTTTTTTTTCTCGATGTCTATTCAATAATTCAAACTTATTCATCGACGTTGCGTCATTTCTAACGTCTAAGGATATCATTCTCTTCCCCAACATAAAAAGTCATGAACAAGCCTAAAATAGCCAGTCATGCAATGCTGATGACCGCCCAACCCGAGTAACTTCCCAGGCAGGTGCCAAGTACCGTGTTTATAGCCCCGCTGAAAGAAAAAAAAGAAACAGAAGAAACAAAAGATATGATACACATTAAGATCGTAACGGAGAGCAGCGTCTTACGCAGCAAAGACGATGGCAGCGACAGTGGCGACAACTGGCCAGAGTCCCAGAGTTTCGAGAGCTGTCTTGGCGGCCGCAGAGGTGGAGTTGCCGTCGGCATCCATGTCTGCGTCGCCCTTGGCGGTGGTGCCGCTGGGCAAGGTGCCGTTGACGAGGAGGACCTTCTGACCGTCCTTGGTTCCGACGGTGACTACGCTCTTGTTTAGGCCATCGTAGCTTCCGTTGCCGACAAGGTCGTTGAGATGAGCTGTGGTGTTGCCGCTGTCGTCGCAGCCGCATTCGGCGCCCTCGGCGCAGCCGCAGATGACGGGCAACTCCTCCTCCTTGTTGTTGTTGGATTCATTGTGGAAGCGGTAGGGGTTGTGGTAGTTGTACATGTAGGCGCTGCTTAGCCAGAGACCGGGCCAGAAGGCGAGAGCAGAACCGATGAGGAGGCCAGGGACGATTCCGTTCCTGGTGTTGCCGGCGCGGTAGGGAACGCGAGAGCCGCCGCCATAGTACTGGCCGCCACCGTAGGCGGGCTGGGGGCCGCTGCCAGACTTTGTGGTACCACCAGTGGTGACACCGGCTCCTGTGTTGGAAGGAGAGCCGCGGGTACCTGGAGAGCTTGATGAGCCACGATTCCCAGAAGATGAAGAACTGGTTGAGCCGGAGCCGGAGGAGCCGGAGGAGCCGGAGCCACCACGGTTACCAGAGGAGCTGGACGAACCTGAGCCGGAGCTGGAGCCGGAGCCACTGGAGCCGGAGCCGCGATTACCTGGAGAGTTAAGTGAGTCAAGGATGTCCTCTACTAAGGAACTCCAAAAATGAAACTCTCTAAAAAAACTAGAAGAGCCCGAGGAACCGAAGCCACCACGGTTGCGATTGCTGGAGAAGCCGGACGAACCTGAGCTGGAGCCGCCTGAGCTTCCACCACTGCTGCCGCCGGAGCTGCCACCGCGACCGCCGCCGCCGCCGCCACCCTTGCGCTTGTACAGGTCATGCTGGTTGACATCAACCTGTGGGCTCCCGAGTGGTTCAGCAGCGATGGCGGCGGCCGAGGCGCTTGTCAAGAGTGACAAGGCAGCGACGGCGAATTCGAGTTTCATTGTGGCGAATCAAGTCTTGTCCGCAGATGAGAAGCGCGTTTGTCGTTTGTCGAGCCGAGGATGGTACTGTTGCGGCGGTGTGCAATGCAAGCACGGAGTATGCAGCTGCAAAGCGATATCGATGTCGATGTCGATGAAGATTTCTCTCGAGTTTGTTTTGGAGGATTTGTAAAATGCCAAGACTGGATAGAACGGGGTGTCGCGAAATTATATACCTAGGTTCATAGGGAATCATGGAGGGAGACGGACTGGAGCTGAGCAGCCTAAAAGACTGCCTTGGAGACAAAAGACAGGGGTCTTTGTCCAGGGGCCTAGGTACCTACTACTATAACCTTAGAGTGCTGGAGCCTGGGGCAGTCATGACCTCATTTGCAGAGCTTATTTCCAGGGCAGACAAGGCTCCGATGTGCTGTCGCTATAATAGTAACCAAACTAAATTTTAGGTGAAATTTTAGCGTACGCCCGACAAGGTGCTGGGGCGCTGCCAAATACTTGCTAATGTTGCCTTACCTCTCTCTACTGGTTGCCTTCAGTGGGGACCGCCCTCAGCTTGTACATACTCGGTTATGCTGCTGTTCAATGGAGTTTTCCCTTTTTTTCTTTTTTTGGACTTAATTCGTGCAACTACGTAACTAGGTACCTAGGTACTGTAGTTAGTTACTCTGTAGTTACACGATTCTGGTGCATGTGTGTTGGCCAGGCTGCTGCAGTTGTCCGGCAGTTGCCTGAGTCCGCACTGCCCCAAAAACACCACCTTCTGACCGACACGTTTCTCAGTACAACTTATTATTCCCTTTTCCACTACTTTCCCATGGTGCACCATTTCTAGCAGCTTGTTGCCTGCTCATTTTAGGCATCACACTCATGTACGGGTAATCAGCCACCGACACGACACCTTGCTAGTTTGGCAACTAGTAAGAGCTCAGCATCGCCCGAGGTTACCAGGTTACGACCTAAACCTCAGCCCTCGCCAGTTCATTGCCTAGAATGGAATAATGGCAATGACTCTCGAAGCCCCTTTGAGGGATCAGCCAGCCAGCCAGTCTTTGGATTTTCCACCCAAGGCGTCATCTCAACAACGAACAAACGACCTCTAACTAGCTTTATTTCTTTATTCGCCAAGGCTGAAGCGACAGATGTCTCTAGTGACATCTGTGTGTAAAACAGGTACTCTGTACTATGCGGACAGAGTACCGCTGCTGCCAAGGGACCCGGGTGGCAAATCCACTGCTTCTAGAAGGGAAGAGCAGAGCGACTCACAATCGTAAAGAATTAAAATCTGGACCCGACAAACTAGAATTGCTCGCTAATTACAAGGCTGTCTGCCTTGCCGGCTTTGACCTTGCCCGTGGCGTGGCGTCTTGGTCTAGTTTTCAAGCTATTGCTGGTCGGGCTTGTCAATGACGGACATCTCGCCCTGTGAAACCGGAGATATCAACTCAAATTTGACCACGAGTGGTGGCAAGGGACTCGCCGCTTCGCTCCCGAAACGCCCAATTGAATCGCCTCTGGGGCTGCGCCTCGTTTCCAGCTGAGGCTGTGCATGCGGAGTTGACACTATCACCTTCACATGGCGACATGAACAGCGCAACACGTGCTTGTACTGGTTCATTTTTTTTTGGAGCATCTCAAACATTCTAGTTAGCTACATACATAGACGCCATGGCTGATCGGGGCAATCTCATATTGGAAAAAATATCTGGCGGCTACTTGTGGATGACTCTACGGTAGGTTAGTAGTCCGCGAGGAGTGCCAAACAGCAATACACAAAATATCTGGGACTACGACCATGATTACTTTCAACGTCGCTGTAAATAGTGCAGGTTGAAACAAGCTGCATTTGGTGCTGAGAATTTGTAATTCATACTGCGACAATTGGGCAAAATGCCGTTTGTAAGCGCTCACGCACCACAATTGCTAGTGCGAGATCCAGACACTCACTGTCGCCTTGGCATCACCATTTCATCAGCGGCACCCTTTGCGTCTCAGCAATCCTAGTAGCTCAGTGCCTTGTGCCGAATCCCTGCGCACCATTGTCATAGCATGCTATCTCCGCGCTCGCGCGCACGCTCTCCGCATGCGACGGCTGTCCCGCGCCGGCGAAACGGACGCCCACAGGCCTGCGAGCCATGTCGCGGTCGCAAGGTCGGCTGCGACCACCAGCTCCCCGTCTGCTCGCGCTGCAGAAAGGGGCGCATAGAACACAAATGTATCTACATGGTTGCCAAGAATCCACCGTCTCCCACCCCTCCGCGCACCCGTGAGCTACCGTCCAACCTGCCCTCTCCGGACCGGCCTGCTAGGACGCGCATCGTCACCAGTCCCAGGACCGCTCGGCAGGGCCATGCGGCTATAGATGCGCGCCCTTCTGAGAGCGTCAGATACGAGGCGCTGGGCTACATGGGTGCGACCAGCTTCTCGATCGATCTCGAAGAAGCACAGCGCCGTCTCATGTCCATGCCCGGCGCCGAGGGCCCTGTCTCTTCCGTGCCGCCATCAGATGCACCCTCGCTTTCGCTGCGAGACTTTAACCCTCCAGCCGCGGCCATAAATGTTATTCGCAACATCCCTGATCGCGCGTCAAGCTATTATCTGTTTGAGACATATCGAAATATTCACGACGCTTGGTGTCGACTTGCCGCACGCTGGTTATTGCACTCGCTATGGGACACTTTTGGCGACATCCTCGAAGGAGACAGAAGTGACGAGTCCCTCTCTGTCATGGCCAAAAAGTTATGTCGCAATACTTCCTCAGTGCTCCGAGAGGACCACAAGGACCCCAAGGAGTGGTTCAACGAGTTCTCTGGTCATAATATGCGATGGGAATGCATCGGGATCCTCTTTGCATACTGGAGTTCTGGGCTACTGAGCTTACCGCGAGAGACTTTTAAAGGTAGCTGCAAAGCGTTGAATGATATGGACCGAAGGTCTGCCCTCGAATTTTACAAGGAATTGGTCGCTGATTGCGCCAATCTTTGCTGGAACGCGGGTAGTGGAAACACGTTGCTCTGCTTTCTGTTATTCAAGAGGAGCCTGCTGCAATCCAATATTGGCGGCGATGGTGGTAAGTAAATCATGCGTCTCTCAGATGAAACGATAAAGGCAGGATACTAACGCAGTCGACCCAGACATTCGTCACTTTAGACTACATGGAGATCTCGTCGCATTGACAACATACCTGGGTCTCCATACCTCGAGCGCGGCGTTTGGCGACCGCTCAGTTTCTGTACAAATCAGGAGGCGGCTGTTCGCGGGCGTGTTCAACATTGACAAACTCATTGCCATTTTCACCGGCCGCCCGCCTCTTCTTAGCAGGCGCTTCATCTCTGTCTCAGAGCCGCTCGACATTTCCGACGAGGAGCTTCTGCAAGTACCACCCCGCCAAGGCGCGCCATACGCCGGGATTGACAGAGCAGGGTGGAGTTTGGGAAACAAGATCCTCCATGTCTCGCCGCTCCGTGCGCGGTTGATGATGGCCTACACCCGCGACTCGATTCTGGAGATTGCACTTCGGAACACGCTCATGGCCTGCGAAGCCCCGCTTCTGGAGCTCAAACAGCAAGCCAACAGAATGTACGACGGGTTTCCTTCCTCTCTCAAGTACGCTGCGGACGACTTGCTAAACCCGGCGCTGGACCATGTGCAAGTCTACACGCGGTTGCACATCACGCTGGAGCACCTACACAATGTCTTCTTCGTCGAGCGCCTGCTATCCAAGATGCAAGAAGGCGTTACTGCGGAGCTCGTTCGGATCAGCCTCGAAATCATTGAGTTGTCGCTGATCCCGTTTACGAACCGACAGCTGACGACGGGCGTCATGTGTGATATTGACTGGCTGCTCATGGCGTACGGGGCGCCGGCTGGTGGCGTCTTGTGCATGGAGCTGCTTCGACCGGCGGCGGCATCGTCCGGGGCATCTGGTGTCAAGAAGTCGACCATGATTCAGTCGCTGAGTATGCTTGTGGGTTGTCTCAACGCCGTGCCGCCAGATGCGCCGAACTACGGCGTCAGCGCAACGCTCAAGAAGATTATAGAGCAAGTATTGGACCGCGTGCTGGACCCGCCAGCAGAGACGACGGGCCAAGAGTTTTCTGTAGAGGGTTGGGAGACCGACTTCTTAGTTGATGCTGCTGATCTGTTCAATTCGGATCTTTTGGATACATTTGACTGGTTTCGGCCATAAAGCCCAGATAAATTCGAATCAGATACATCAGGGCAGTGCCAGTGCCCGACACGTTCACCGCTGTATATGAGTGGGTATGTAATATAGGGCAACCTTTGCAATGTAATAAATATCCCTATGAATAGCCAGTCAATCTCCGTATCCCTAAAATTGGCATTGAAGACGGTGGTAACTAATGAAGATACATCAGCGCGGGCTGCTCAGCCAAGATGTTGCCCCACCTCAACCTCGACCACTTCGTTACGGAAGGATGCAACATGCTCAAACCTCATCTAGACATCGTTCTCCAACGTCTTCACATTTTCCCCAGAGTCTCGTTTTAAACTACGTATACAGAGAGCCGGGCACCAGCATGGTCAATAACGTCGACAAAAGCTTGCTAGATCGCCTACAGGCACTGCGGGGTGGCCCGGCCGGGAGTCCAGCAGCGCAAGCACCTCAGTGAGTCCTGGCGTCAGCTGGGCACAGTCCTGCTAAGAGCAACTTCAACTGATCGCCGCGCCCAGAGAAATTAAAATCGATGTTATTGAGAGGGCAAAAACACCATCCAAAGAGGATGCCCTGACCGCGAGGCTCAGATCTCTGCGCGAAGGTTCAGCGACGCCAGAGCCGGAGGGGCTACGAGCATCTCCAAAGCCTGCCGCCCAGCGAGCGTTTGCGCCGTCGGAAAAGAAGGACTCTGTAGCCCCGGGTGCATCTCAAGAGGCGGAAAGCTACAAAGACAACTTCGAGGACGTCTTTGAAACCGACGATGACACCTTGCAGGAGCTCTTGGCAGACGTCACGCCCGACGAGGAGCTTGCCGCCGCCGGCGCGCATGAACCAAGCGACGAGCAGGTTAGGGCGCTACTTGAGAAACTCGCCGACGGCATCCCCAAAGATGTGGAGGCGCAGACGCGACGCCGAAGCAGCAGCGACAGTGAGCTGGATTCCGACGACTCGGACGGCGAGGCCATGAAACGCAAGGTCAAGGACACCATAGAGAGATATCAGGATGAAGCAGCGGCGGAAGCGCCGCGCCAAGGGAAAGAGGAGGACGAGGAGGACGAGGAGGATTTCCAAGACCCGCACGATGAAGCGACACACGACGCCGAGGCGGCCGACCTCGGGCTGCCCTCTGTCCCCTCGGACCTTCAGCATCTCTCGCCACAGACCGGCGACAGGCGGCGCGACAAGCCTGACCTAGACGACATCACCGCACGCCTAGCAGCGCTGCGCGCCCCGAGCCACAACACGGACGGCGGCGGCGATGACGAGGGCTCGCTCAGCTTGCCGTCGGTCCCGACGTCGCGCCCGTCCGCCAAACCCGTGGCCCGGCTGCAGTCGCGGACCACGTACACCGACGACGACGTGCACAGCTGGTGCACCGTCTGCCTGGACGACGCCACGTTGCGGTGCCTGGACTGCGACGACGACGCCTACTGCGCGCGGTGCTGGCGCGAGATGCACCTCGGCCCGGCCGCGGCGTTTGACGACCGCAGCCATCGCGCCGTGCAGTTTACAAAGGACAAGAAGAAAAAGGAGGCGCCGCGAAAGGTTGCCCTTGGGGCGTAGCATGTATAAAAAGTGCATAACATTAAACTGGGCAGTGACATAGACTCGAGTCCCGTGTACGAATACCCTTAGCAATATACTCATTCGTTTATCATTATCATGGCTAGCAGCATCTATCCAGGACTTCCTGGGCGTTACTGGAACTTTAAAGTACCTTTCAAAATCCACTGCAATTTTATTAGCCAAACACGTTGTTTCACACTTTGCAGTACCTGCGCTGCCGAGGCTTACAATCTGGCCGTTCCCGACTTCAATCGCCACCTTGTCCACCTCGACCTTGTCGGGCATGACTACACGCGTGCCGTCGTCGCGCTCCTCCCACCAGACCTCCGTGCCGGCCATGGTCTTGGCCTTTGTGCCAGCCAGCCAGGGGCTCTGGGTGACGAGATGGGCATCGACGAAGCGGGCGAGGTTGGCGTCGGCGCGGTGCTTGCCGTCGACGCCCTCGTACGCCTCGGTGCCGAGCTCGCCCATTTGGCGCTCATCCTCCCAGGGCTTGCGCGGCAGGGCCTCGACGACGGAGTTGAGGGGTGCGAGGATGGTGGTGCCGCCGCCGCCGCCGCTGCTACCCAGGCGCGCCGCGGCGGCCTCGTTTTGCCGCGCAAACGAGGCAAAGGTGGACAGGGCGCGGTTGGAGCCGAGCGTGTCGCTGAGGCGCACGGCGAGCTGCACCGGGTGGTCGGTTGTGCCGGGCATGGTGGCGAGGTGCTTCTGCTGGCGGTGTCGTTGGGGAGTGGTGACGTCGTCGCTGGATCGCAGGGCGGCGGCGACGGTGGGCAGCAGGAGGAGACAGCCGGACAGCGCAAGGACGGAGCAGCGCATCACACGTCTTTTTTTTTTCTTCACCGAGATGACTCACGAAAAAAAGGGGAGAATAAGGATGAGCCGAGGGGAAGGAAATCGGGCGTAGGGTTTTGAGAAATGTGAAATTTAGTGCAGTCTATGATGGCTAATCTCAGAGAGACAGGTTCTGGTGTTGTGCAAAAGCAAACGACGTCACAGACGAATGGGGAATGGGCCGCCGGGACTTTCCCGCGTGAGCACCGCTGGGGGCCAGTTGGCCGGTTATCTGCCCTGGCTTATAGTAGAAGCTGCGGCTGCGGCGGCCAAGCCACCAGGCTTCGGTCGGTCGGCGGTGTTGGACAGTATTTGACAAAAAGAAAAAGTCTGCGACTGTCAGCAATAAAACCTCGCGGATATCTGGTGCATCAAGAAAGCAAAATTGCCATGGTGACGACTCTCAAGTCCAGAGCACAACGACGGTCGGCTTTGTTGCGTGCGAGCCAGGTTCGGTGTTTTGGTAAGAAGCCGAACCACATGCACCACCACAACGGAAAGAGAGCAGCCTCGAGTACGGAAACCTGGAGTCGCATCAGGGCGATGTGCGTATATATGATCAAGGGACCCTACGGAAATTGGAACAACAATGCCGTCCGGGGACTAAACTCCAGGCTCTTCTTGTCGGCAACATCAGTCGCAAATCGGCATCTCCAATATTCCTTGTAGCTACTACCCCAAGCCAAGGGCCGGCTTTCACGTGAAAGCGGCGCTCGCCAATCACGCTTCAGGTATTTGTTGGAAATCCTGGAGCGTGTCATCTGACGGACTACTAAGGTACCCAGTGCTTGCTAGTTAGAAGATGCCCTCCACGGTTTTCTTCCCGACAACGGAGTGGCAAAACAACCAGGTAGGCTAATACAATTGTTTTTGTATCGTTCTTTTCGACAAATTACCGGCCATGTATTTGAGATTTACTTGTTATTTTATCAAAGCTGCCTTCGTAGGTTCTTCTTGTCCCCCGCTTGCCCCAGTGGCGGGAGTGTGGGGAATCTGAAATGGCGCTGTCTCCGTGGGGCAGGAGTTGGAGGCATTCACATGTGAACTGCGGCTGTCACCCGACTTTTTCTTGCGTGTTTGGGGTAGTGCGGTTAGTGCATGCAGGAGAGACTCTGGCATGTGGGAATGACAAGGCTTTGATGTGTTCAATGAAATCATGTTGTCCAGTCTGGGAGATGTTGATTGTAATTCTTTCGTTCGCATTTACGGGGTAGCGTATTCGTAGAGCACGATGCAGTGGAAGCTGCCTACTACCTACTAATAGTTAGCGGAGGCGAAACGGAAAGGCCGAGGCTCCGGTGTCGCCCATTGTGCCCACATATGACAAGTTGGGAATCAGTTTCCCATGGATGGCCGTTCACGAGCTTCCAAATCATCTTGATATGCTTCTCTCGGCAAGGCTTCCTGGATCGGCCCGTTGTCTTGCCCAAGTCCCCTTACCCCCAGACCGGTGTCGAATGAGAGGGCGAGGTGTTGCGGCTTGTAACTACACCAGCCGGCGCCGAACGGCGTGGAATTGGTGAGACGGATTCGGCGGGTTAAGCTGAGAGTGGCGTGCTGGCCATGGGCAAGGTCCGAAGCTGCGCTGGAATTCACGGTCCATGGGTGGTGCTTGGGCCTGTTGGAACGGGCGAGGCTAGGGAATGTAAGCGGTCGGGGGCATGTGGGTGCTAGTTACGGGAGGGAGCAGTTGTGCCGGGTCAAGGCAGGGCAGTGGAGGAGAATGGTAGATGAAGTTGGTGGTTTGAGTGCTGATTGTGACGATGATGATTATGTATCCGCCATGGATAATCGTGTCTTGTTGACCTGCCGTTTGTCGCCTTTTTGACATTGTTACTGGACGCTATGTACCTAAACGCTGAAGGTGGCGGCTGGTGGCAATTCCAGCTGGCAACACGATGGTGGAGCTGGCAGTTGGCAAGCAAACGCTGAGGCTGCTACAGATTACAAATTACTGCTTCTGCTCATGGCAACTGGCGGCGTGTGGCACTGGATTCGTTGGCAGATTTTATTGATTTTATTACCAGGCTCTGGGGCTCTGGGGGAAGAAAACGGAGAGAACAACCGCCCCCTCCACCATTGCAAAGTCCCCAGTCAAATGCGTCAAATGCTCTCTCTTCCTCCCCCAAAAGTTGACCTCGGCTGTCCCATCGTCCTCGGCGTGCTGGCTCCACCATTCCACCCCATGGCCTCATAAACTCCGAAGTCCGGAAGCCATTTTAACCTTTGTTCTTCTCCTCATTCTTCCATCCTCTCACCATCCCCTTTTCTTTCCTCAACCCTCTCCAACCTCCATCTGTGTGCGCAGGCCTCGTCTATTCCCTGCCTCTTCTCCCTCGCGCTTCTCTCATCTCATTCCCTCTTGACCACATCACATTCTCACACACAGCACAATGGCTCCCAGAGTAATTGTCGTCGGTGGCGGTCGTAAGTAGCTCTATTACCCCGGGTCGCCGATCCACGCGCATCTTTCCGCATTTTGCGCGCATTTGGCCCTTGCGGCTTTCCTGCCTGCGCGCGGCTTGCGAAAATTCCACGCGCATCGCATTGCTGACTCTCATCTCCAGTGTCCGGCCTGAGCGCTGCTCACACCATCTACCTGGCCGGTGGCAACATCGTTGTCCTCGACAAGCAGGGTAAGTAAATTTGCACATCTGGTCCCTTGGTACCGTCTTCCATGGCGCTGACCGCTCTCAATCACAGGCTTCTTCGGTGGCAACTCGACCAAGGCCACCTCTGGCATCAACGGTGCCCTGACCCGCACCCAGGTTGACCACGGCGTTGCCGACAGCGTCAAGCAGTTCTACGACGATACCCTCAAGTCGGCCCGTGACAAGGCCCGCCCTGATCTTATCAAGGTCCTCACCTACAAGTCCGCTGCTGCCGTTGAGTGGCTCCAGGATGTCTTCAACCTCGATCTGACCCTCGTCTCTCGTCTCGGGTAAGTCTATCTCGACAGCCGCCACTTTCGCCTGATCCCGCGTCTCATAACGGTAACTTGCTGACTCCAATCTCTTGCGCAGTGGTCACTCCCAGCCCCGAACCCACCGTGGCCACGATGCCAAGTTCCCCGGTATGGCCATTACCTACGCCCTGATGCAGCGCCTTGAGGAGCTTTCCGAGACGGAGCCCCACCGCGTCCAGATCATTAAGAAGGCTCGCGTCACCGGCCTCAACAAGGAAGGCAACAATATCCTCGGTGTCAACTACGAGTTCGATGGCCAAACCCAGACTCTTGAGGGTCCCGTCGTCCTCGCCACCGGTGGTTACGCCGCCGACTTCGGCGAGGGCTCTCTGCTCAAGAAGCACCGCCCCGATACCTACGGCCTCGCCACTACCAACGGTACCCACGCCACCGGTGACGGTCAGAAGATGGTCATGGACATCGGCGGCAACGGCATTGACATGGACAAGGTCCAGGTTCACCCTACTGGCCTCGTCGACCCCAAGGACCCCGGTTCCAAGTGGAAGTTCCTGGCTGCCGAGGCTCTCCGTGGTGAGGGTGGTCTCCTTCTCAACGGCGATGGCGACCGCTTCTGCGACGAGCTCGGCCACCGTGACTACGTCTCTGGTATGATGTGGAAGGAGAAGGACAAGGGCAAGTTCCCCGTCCGCCTCATCCTCAACTCCAAGGCCTCCACCGTCCTTGACTTCCACACCCGCCACTACTCTGGCCGTGGTCTCATGAAGAAGATGTCTGGCGAGGAGCTTGCCAAGGAGATTGGCTGCACTCCCGACCATCTCCAGAACACGTTCAAGACCTACAATGCTATTGCTGATGGCAAGCAGAAGGACCCTTGGGGCAAGAAGTTCTTCCACAACGGGCCCCTCGACATCAACGACACCTTCCACGTCGCTGTCATGGAGCCTGTTCTCCACTTCACCATGGGTGGTATTGAGATCAACGACAAGGCTCAGGTCCTCAACCAGGAGAAGAAGCCCTTTGACGGCCTCTTCGCCTGCGGTGAGCTGGCTGGTGGTGTCCACGGTGCTAACCGTCTCGGTGGTTCTTCTCTCCTCGGCTGTGTCGTCTACGGCCGTGTTGCTGGCGACACTGCTAGCAACTACCTCTTTCAGAAGGCCCTCAGCGGTGCCGGCTCTGGTGCGGCCCGTCTTGGCCAGATCTCTCTGCACCTCGATCCCTCTGCTCCTGGCAGACTGACCGTGGAGTGGGCCAATGGTGGTGCTGCCGCCGCCCCTACTCAGATCGCTGATGCGCCTGCCGCAGCCGCTGCTCCCGCCTCTTCCGCTGGTGCCGCCCCCGCCGCTGGCACCAAGGCCGAGGCCAAGCCCTTTTCCATTCCCGAGCAGGAGTACAGCATGGAGGAGGTTGCCAAGCACAACACCAAGGAAGACCTCTGGGTCGTCGTCAAGGGTGTCGTCATGGACCTCTCCAACTGGCTCGACGACCACCCGGGCGGTCCCCAGGCTATTATGAACTTCATGGGCCGTGACGCCACCGAGGAGTTTGAGATGCTGCACGACGACGAGGTCATCCCCAAGTACGCTCCCAACCAGGTCATTGGCCGCGTCAAGGGCCAGGAGCCCTCCCTCGAGTTGTAAAGTGGCTATTTCATAACCCCCCAACACACTAAAAAAAAGACGACTTGAAAACGGTCGTACAGTATTATTTCACGGTTTGATGGGACATAGATTTTGACACGGATTAAAAGGATTCCCCCAACATGTATCAGCCCAGAGGGAGGTGACCTGAGGGGCAATTTGGCGCTTGGGATTTTTTTTTGAGTATTCACCTTTTTGTCATGTTTGCGTATTTGGATTATTCCCTATGTATTCTCGACACGTTGTACAGATAGCAATGCATGCATATGAATCAATTTCCTCGACCGACGATGCTTTGTGAACTCCATGGTGATTGACCAACAGAAGTAAGGGATCCTGTGTCGATAGATTTTGTGTTGGAGTCAGTGTGGCTTGAGCATATGTATATGTACTAATACTTGATAACCCCAGAGAATCTATCCACCTTCCCGCCCGTCATCACAACCTCATCCGGCGTGATCACGCAACGAGCTCCTCTGATGGCCGAGGACACATGCCCTCCCTATCCTCACCTCACCACTCGGGAAACAGAGGCTTCATGTCCACTTCATTTCGCGTCGCATATTTCAGCATTTTCTCTCGAATAGCAACCTAAGAATCCTTCGCTTTTTCTAGCTCACACCGTTGCACTTCTGCTGCGTATCATCCAGAGAGTTAAAACTCGGCTCCGATCGCAAACTCCGGCGAGCGAGGCCTGGGGATTCGGCCGCCGCAGTTGCAGAATAGACTTTATACCTTGGAAATGCAATAAAATATACCAACAAGCAATTTATAAGGCGTCGCATATTTTTCTTACCTGGAATTATACTTCTGGGGTGGTGTAGCGAAGAGTCATCGTCGCGGCTTACACCAATGAGGGCGACGGAGCGACAATAGACATCGATTAGCTTTTTCAAGCAGCCAGCCTGGATTTCATTTTGAATAGCAGAAGCTTCAAAAATGGGGGGATTCAACGAAAGCACTCTTGCAACCAAGTGTTGGCAGCACATTGGAGGTTGAATTTTTTTCAGGTCATCACCGAATCCGGTGCGCATAGTTAGCTCAGCCCATAGAGGAATTATGTGAGACCTTGCCACCAACCAACACAGTCGAACCAGGAAATTACCTTTGCGGGCTCCGCCAGCGCCTCAAAAAGCCGCTTTAGCGGCGTTCAGAGGATCGGCACATGGCCGAGCACAAACACTCTGTGGCGTCAGACACTCCCAAGGTGGCTTTCCATATTGGCAGATCTCTGGGGCAGGTAGGTTGGCAAGAGAGGCTCGTGCGATTTGCTCCCAGTCACAGCGACTGTATAGCGGTCAAACTTCTCATGGGCGATGCCAAGTGTATTTATGTGCATTGTACTATGCCGTGGTACAAGGGTGGCCGGCATAGTGAGACGGGAAGACGCATGGTTCGAAGCAGTAATTATCAAGAACGGACAGGTTGGCGCGGGTGGGTTGTTGGCAGAGAAAACAAGAAAATCAGGTGGCTACCTAGCAATCAAGGACTGCGGTTAAGGCTGCAGCAGGTGACGCCGACGATGCGTAAGGCCAAGAGCTTTCCGTCCCTGTGCAAGCAGCTGTATCGTACCGAATGAGTTTCAACAAACTATCGATACTATCTATCTCTGGATGGTAGAGGCGGGCGGATGATACGACTAAAAATGATATAGCAGTTGTAAGAAGCAAACAGGAAGTTGCTAAAGTTAGTTAGATGAACGAACGAGGGGAGAGGGTTGTTGTGCGGAGGCGGGCAAGTGGGGCAGTCCGCGGCCGCTACCACGTAGCTAATAATGGCAACTACCAGCGGTGAGTGGGCAGGGGAACGATTAGTGTGAGTACTAGACATGAGGGAGGTGCATGGGGGCTGGGAATATTGCGTCGCAGGTTTTTTTTTTTGGCCCAGTTCTTTATCCTAGTCCAGCCGGCAAAGTGCTTGATGCCACCTGGAAGACTGCAATGTAAGTCCGGGGAAGCGGGGATAGTGCCTCTACATTCCTTGTGAGCCACCAGTGCCCAACCAGGCAAGGCGCGGCGAGGCCACGGAGGGTGGGGCGCAGACACAGGTAGTGCGCTGCAGTTGCTGCTGGAAGAGGTCAAGTCCGCTGTTTGACGCTGGCACTTGCTGCCTGCCCCAGCTGGTTTTTGTATCCGCTACTTGGCCAAGGCCCCGCCCAGAAAGTGGCTGCTGCGCTTCTCAACCAATCATTTCGTCGGTTGCTGCAGACGGCCCAATCAAGTTCTGTCCGTGCTGGTGATCCTAGCCCCGTTCCGCCACTTCTTTGTAGTCTCTACTTGTCGAGGAACTTGCATCTTGGCCTGCATGCTCACACCACCAGCCTGCCCACCTGCTAGGCCTGACTGACTCTTACCAAGACGAGTGTCAGCCATCCCCTGTGGGTGCCCTGTCATCCCCCTTCCAGGCGTCGCCAAACTCCCCAGGGACGACCTCACAGGGCCCTAAAAGCCCCCCAACCAGCCCACTCAACGTCCAACTACGCCTATTGTGCTTGTACCTAAATGGTCAAGTCGTGCGCTCGCCTCGCCGCCCACTTCCTCTGGTACTTCTGTCTCATCCTCTCTCTCCCTCTCACCATCTTCACTCCACATTAACTTACCATCCTTACTCAACACTGGAATCTTACCTCTCCTTCCCTCGCCCGCCCTTCCTCTGCTCGAATCATTCGCCCTCCCGCCGACTTCTTCTGCCGCATTGTCGCCTATTCCGAGTAATCTTGCCAATCTGCCCATTTCTATCATTTTGTTATAGTCAAGTCGCTACCAGCTCGCGACTCCCACCCGCTGAAGAAATCGCCCCATCTCGACGATCAACCGTTGACACCAACCCGCCCCGTCACCAATCGTCCAACGACGCCCTAAGACTTTTGCTTTGACGACGGCCACCTTTGGCAATACCTCCTCCGCCTCCCGGATCAGGCGCGAACGATCGCCGCCAACAGCACCGTGGATTGATTCATCGTAGACGCCATGGCGATTGCCATGCGCTGGCATAAGCCCGACAATGTCGCTGGCTCGTCAGCCCCGGCCATCATGGTTGGCCTCTTTGTCGCTTCTGGTGGGCTTTTGTTTGGCTACGATACTGGGTAAGCCTTGAGAACCCTTTCTTTCTGCAACCCGGACCCTCTCGACATGGCCACGTCCCACGGACAACGCCAGATGCAGCGTTACCTACCCGCATGCCGACTGCCGTTGTCAGGCAAGATAAGCCTTGATATACCTGCAAACATTTTATCAAGAGTACATATCCATTATTGCTCTATTCCAGCCTCGTCAACGCACCGTCACAATGCTCTAGCGTCGAAAACTGACTCTTGCTTTACAGTGCAATAAATGGCATACTCGCCATGGACGAGTTCAAAAAACAATTCGCTACAAATTGCAGCGACGCTGGCACCAACACGAATCTTTGTCCAAAAGACTCTTCGATAATTGTAGCCATTCTGAGCGCTGGAACTGCTCTCGGGGCCCTCATGGCCGCTCCATTGGGCGACTTCCTGGGACGTCGCAAGTCTCTCCTTCTAGGCGTCGCACTCTTCTGCGTTGGTGCCATCTGCCAAGTCTGCGCTGAGTCAATTCCTCTCCTTCTTTTTGGCCGGCAAGTTTTCACGTCTCTTTATATATCTTGCCCAATGCTAATGCCCTGCCAGGTTTCTTGCCGGTGTTGGCGTAGGTGCCGTCTCAGTTCTTGTCCCCATGTACCAATCCGAGATGGCCCCAAAATGGATTCGTGGTACGCTCGTCTGCGCTTATCAGCTTTCCATCACAATCGGTTTATTATCAGCTTCAATCGTCAACATCATTACCTCACGGATACCAAATTCCTCATCATATCGCATCCCTCTCGGGCTACAGCTTGTCCCCGCCCTCATCATCACTGTTGGTCTCTTCGTTCTCCCCGAGACCCCGCGATTCCTAGTAAAAAAGGGCCGAAATGAGGAAGCTGGTATTTCGCTAAGCCGACTGCGTCGACTCGACATCACCCACCCTGCTCTCATCGAAGAATTGCACGAAATTATTGCCAACCATCAATACGAATTGACACTGGGCAACGACTCTTGGAAGGAGATCTTTGTCGGCACGCCGCATCTGGCCCGCCGCACCTTCACTGGTTGTGGTTTACAAATGCTTCAGCAACTTACTGGTATCAACTTTATCATGTACTATAGTACAACATTTTTTGGTGGCGCGGGAATCGACAGCCCCTACACCAAATCCCTCATCATCCAAATCATCAACGTCGTCTCCACCTTCCCCGGCCTCCTTGTCATCGAATCGTGGGGCCGGCGAAGGCTTCTGATGGCTGGTGCTATTGGTATGGCCGTCTGCCAGTTGACTATTGCATCATTTACCACGGCAGCCGGTCAGGACCTGAAAACTGCCCAGCAAACTATCCTCATGGTGTTTTGCTCCCTCAATATCTTCTTCTTTGCTTCCTCGTGGGGACCCGTAGTCTGGGTCGTCACCTCCGAAATCTACCCCCTCAAGGTTCGAGCGAAGGCCATGTCCATTTCTACGGCCTCGAATTGGCTTCTTAATTTTGGCATTGGCTACAGCACGCCATTCATGGTGGACGGTGGTCCCGGGAATGCAGGTTTCGGTCTCAAAATCTTCTTCATTTGGGGTTCATTTTGTGTATTCGCCGTCTTTTTCGTTTGGTTCATGGTGTACGAGACGAGTAAGATCAGTCTCGAGCAGATTGATGAAATGTACGAGCGAGTCAACCATGCCTGGAACAGCCCAAGCTTTGAGCCGAGCTGGAGCTTTCAGCAGATGGTGGACGAAGGCTGGTCCCCCAGTGCCATTCCTCCTGCCGGGCACGAGCTTCATGCGACTACGTCGCAAATGAGCGCCGAGACCACACTCAACGACACAAGTTCAACAAACACAACCCGCGATACTGGCCACACGTCTTCAGAAGAAGACAAGGCCGTGGTGCCAAACATGGCCAATGTCGATTTCACCTATTAAACTCTTATACCCCTTCCAATCGGCGCTCTTGACTCGGTTTATATCAGCTCCTTTTCTCTTTCTTGTCTGGTTTATTACTACAGCGTGGAGTTTATGATGCTTTGGCGTTCGATGGGATTCGTTTCAATGTCTTCGCGCGCTCTCACAGGGGAAAATTATCACCCTTTTTATTAGGAAGGCCAAGTCCCTGGATCATCAACTCTGGCACAGGTCCGGCTGCAAGCGGCGATTGCCTAATCTTTTGATTATATTTTTATATTGGCTACAATCATCTACCGGTAGTAACTTGTCTCGTCTTATTAGGAATAAAATTTTGATTTCCTTGTTCTACTTCCAACTTCAAATTTTGTTATCCTTGGCGGATGCATGCCACGTTGTGAAGTGTGGCTCAGAGCCGTCTCGTGGCCAATGAAAATGTCGACTTAGCAGCGTGCATCAGCCGGTGTGAGCCAGAGCAAATAGAAGAGTACAAAACTAGACAGGAAGAGCAAGGTAAGATGAGAAAAAAAGACGATGCAAGGTGGAGATAAAAGTGACGTGCGTTGTGGTGGTCTTACGAGTTGCAAAACAAAAAAAGTAAATCTCCGAGGACGGAATCGAACCGCCGACTTTTCGATGACAATTTATCAATTACAGTCGAACGCCATGAACCAACTAGACCACTCAGAGTTGCAAGACAGCCGTTTATTTTGCTCTATAAGCCTAAAGCATTGGCATTCTCCACTTTAGTGTTTGTCAGTGCCTACCTCCCTACCTACCCTAGTATAATACGAACGAGCAGTTTCCTCGAGTAGTGAATTTCCTAGGGTAGGGAATCAGTGGGTGTTATTTGCCGCAGTTTCATGCTCATTTATATACATAACTATAAGCCACCTGAAGGTAATGTAGCTGTGCTCTCGGTCGTGATAACATCTCCTCCTTCCCAGACGCGAAGTTTTACCTTGTTCTGGCACAACATCACGCATATTACCTTTCTTTCTTACGTGTCTGCTGTGCCGCATGGCTAGACTCGTTTTAAAACCATAGGCAACGAAAAAACAAGAAAACCCCTCGTCGCGGTAGCGGAGGGCCTTTGGTATATCTGTATAGGTGTCCTCCGCGGATCTCGTCTTGGATGGCCGGCTCTGCATGACCTGCCGTAGGGGCTACGTTACAGGGAATTTAGGCACTGAACGAGGGGAATCTTATTACCTCCTAAAAACTCGCATATGAAATACATGTATTCCAAATACATCATATCAGTATTGCCAGGCTGGCGTCCTCGTCAGCGTACAGTGTGCGCCAGTACCGAGTCGCACTCACACAGTATAGCCAGAGGCGTCGCCAAATCAGGGGTCTCCCAATTGCAAGCCAACGATCAAGCACCCCCCACTGCATGAGACCACGTCCCATCAACCGTTGTTCTTTTTCAGCGCTGGGGTTCCTAACCTCTCTGCCTTTACCAGGATGCGATAGCGGACGATTCTTTTACCAACGAGTCCGTACGACTCACCCCCCGCGCCCACAATGGGGGTCTTTTCCTTTCTCAAACAGGTCTACCACCTCGACACCCTCGACACGCGCTTCACCTCGTCCTCGTCGGTGCCGTACAAGAGCGTCATTGAGGCACGCGGTGACCCGGCCGCGCAGCGCGCCGACGCAGCGGCCAAGGCGCAGAGCCGCACCCAGCTCTCCAAGTGGAACACGCCCGAGTTTTACCTCTACTATGTCGTGATTATCCTGGCGGTCCCATACATGTTCTGGATCGCCTACAATGTCTCAAGGCGTATGTTCGGGAACGGCGAGTTGGAGTGCAATTTTGGGTGCCACAGCTAACGATTGCTTCGTTACAGCGTCCGATCCCCGATATCACAAGTTTGAAAAGTTTCTATCTGATGGTTGGATCCCCGGCCGAAAGATTGACGTGTCCGATTCGCAATACTCCATGTTCCGCGAAACGCTGCCGTACATGGCCGCGCTGCTGACCCTTCACCCGCTCCTGCGGCGGGTCTGGAACGCTGTCTGGCCCGTCAACGCCAAGAAGCCCCTCGTTTCGGCGCACATGGAACAGCGCTTGTCCTTTGATTACGCCTTTGCCTTTGTGTTTCTGCTTGCACTGCACGGCGTGTCGGCGCTCAAGGTCTTTGGCATCCTGTACGCCAACTACCAGGTGGCGACCAAGCTCCCCAGGCGGTACGTGCCCGCCGCGACGTGGATCTTCAATATCGGCACGCTCTTTGCCAACGAAATTTTCAACGGCTACCCGCTGCGCAAAGCCGCGGGCCTGCTCTCGCCGCCGGTGCTAGCGGGCGTCGGCCTCAACGCGGTGGACTCGCCGCTGATGGAATGGGGGACATGGCTGGACAGCTTCGGGGGCGTCGTCGCACGATGGGAGATTCTCTTCAACATTACCGTGCTGCGACTGATTAGCTTCAACTTGGACTACTACTGGAGCCGTGATAAGAACCAAGCTGGTATATTCGAGGTATGTTGTCCGATCCCCCCCCGTATGAATTTCTGAGACGGCTTCTAAGACGCCCAAGAAGAAGCAGCTCGACCCCGCAAACTTGTCTGAAAAGGACAGAATATCGATTCCTGCTGATGTGAACGACTACTCGTTCCGAAATTACGTGGCTTATGCCATCTATGCGCCGCTGTACCTGACCGGCCCGATCATGACGTTCAACGATTACATTTCACAGGCCAAGTACCGGCCCTCCAGCATTGAGAAGCCGCGGACAATCCGCTACGGTGTGCGCTTCCTGCTGGTTCTCCTGGCCATGGAAGTAATACTGCACTACGACTACGTGGGAGCTATTAGCAAGGCCAGCCCTGTCTGGAGCGATTACACCGCCGCACAGCTTAGTCTGCTGTCGTTCTTCAACCTCCATCTAATATGGCTCAAGCTTCTGCTCCCGTGGCGGCTCGCGCGCCTGTGGGCGCTGGTTGACGGCATCGACCCCCCGGAGAACATGACGCGCTGCGTCAGCAACAACTACAGCACGCAGCAGTTTTGGCGCGCCTGGCACCGCTCGTACAGCCGGTGGCTCGTTCGCTACCTCTTTGTGCCCCTTGGTGGCTCGTCCTTCCGCAATTGGCGAGCCATTGCGCGGTCGATCATCACGTATATCTGCGTCTTCACCTTTGTCGCGCTGTGGCACGACATTCAGCTGCGGCTGCTGATCTGGGGTTGGCTCATTGTGCTATTCATGCTGCCAGAATTTGCAGCGGCGGCGCTATTTCCTAAGAGGAAGTGGGAGAGCCGCCCGACAGAGTACCGCATGCTCTGCTGTTTCGGCGCCGTCTTTAATGTGCTGATGATGATTACGGCAAATGTGGTTGGCTTTGCTGTAGGACTGGACGGCCTGGAAAGCATCATCAGGAGCATCTTGCATGACTGGTCTGGTAAGTTGTATGTCATCTCCTCTAATCAAATTGTATCTGACATGGACAGGCTTCCTTTTCTTGGTGACGGCATGCTCTGCCCTCTTCGTTGGCATACAAGTAATGTTTGAGATTCGTGAAACTGAGAAGCGCCAGGGTATAACACTGAGATGTTGAGGTTGCAGACAAAAGCTGGCAGCAAAAATTGTATACTGAGACTAGCATGACATGGGGCTAGTATTATGAAATTGCAGTGTATATTAATACATGGAAATATGAGTACACGCCGCTGGAACGATAAATCGGAGCCAACATGGCAGCAGATCCTTTCTAAACGAAAGACTGCGCAGTCTGCTCTTTTGACCTCTGCTCGGAGTTATGGTCTACACCCTGGTTCCTGCCGCGCACAAACTTACCCTCCATGCCGAGCTTCTTCTCTGTGACCCAGACACGGAGGTGAATCAGGCCCCATACCACGGCAAAGATGACGAGGATGCCGACGGCAATGCCAAGGACATAGGCGGCGACGTAGCCTCGGCCGCCGACGCTGTCGTGGTCGAGGAAACTGTAGGTGTACCAGCCCTGGTCGGCGAGCGTCACAAAGGCGACGGCGAGGTAGCCCAGCAGGATGACGATGAGCCAGAGGGCGTGTACCCAGGGCGGCGGGGCGGTTCGGGCGAGGACCAGCTCAAAGAGGGCAAATGCGCTGTTGAGGGCGTGCTCGCTGGCGTTGCTCCAAGCGTCGTAGGTGGAGGGGAAACCGCGGCCGGCGTAGAGGATGCTCCAGTAGACAATGGTGACGAGAAAGGGCAGCGTCACGACCGAGGTGTAGAAGAGGGCGTGCAGGGCCTGAAGCGGGCGCGGGAGGCGCGCGAGCAGGGAGTCGCGGCCGCTTCTCAGCATGTAGCTCAGCGTGTGCGCGGCGGCGACGGCCAGGTAAAAGGCCAGACCCCAGTAGGTGAGCACGGTGAAGTAGGAAAAGGACCGGCGGGCGGTCTGGCAGCCGCCGACGGCATCGTGGGTGCAGGCCCAGGCGAGGGTGAAGAAGAGGTCGGTAAAGGCGTACAGAGACTGTAAGCGAGGGGGTGTCGGGTTAGCATCAAGGGAAACCACGCGAGGGATGGGGGATAACTATGATAAGTCAAGGAAGAACGGGATGCGTCATGCAACGTGCCACGAGTTCTTGTTTGTGGGCTAAAAGGGTAAAAGGGAAGGGGGAGGGGGGGGGGGGTTCAGTTGGGGGATTGTGTTGGTTGGTTTCCACGTACAAAGAGAGCACGACAGGCAAAGAACAGCCACGGGGGCAGCAGCCAGGACGTCTCGTACCTCCGGGACGGATCCCAGAGGTCATTGCCAAACTTGAATGCGTCGAGGAACGCCATGGTGCCCGCTCTGACGAAATGCTAGTAATTAAAATCCTTGTTTTCTGTGTAGAGTGCTGTGTGCCGCGGGTGTTGCTGTGGTGGTAGTAAAAGATGGGAGGAAAAAACAATAGACTCCCTCCTGCTTGGGGCTTTATAATCTGGCCAAATTTTCTCCTTTGCCGTTGGTTTGCCTGTTGCCTTTTTTTTTTTTGCCTTTTCTTTTCTTGCCTTTTCTTGCCTGTTGCTTTTTTTCTTTTTTGGTTTGCTAATATGGCTTGATGGTGCTTGCGCCTATCGCGCGAGATGCTTGCCGATAGACCGAGACTAGAGCCCGCCACCTAGTAAACTATCCTTATTACAGAAACTCAGATTGGACACGGCGGAGGGGGAGGGGCAGAAAGAAAAAGGAAGAGGGAAGAAAAAAACAGCCGGCGCAGATTAAGCTTTCGGCCTCGTGTGGGGGCCGTGCCTTGCATGTATGCAGTCCGTGCGACTGAATTGTCAGGGCTTTTTTTCTTCGCTTTTTCTTCCTCAATAACAGAGCAGATATACATGTCAGAATCGAGCGTATTCGCGAAACTCAGCTGCCACTCGCCAAACGATCTTAAAAAAAAAAAAAAAAAACTCTTCCTTAGTACCTAGATCAAGTCGCTGGAACAAGGGCCCTGCGTCATCACAATGACCCTGTTACCAGACAGACCTGCGTCCGCACTCGCCGACATCTTTTCCTGGGCCCCAAATATTGTGCAAAATAATAAAATAATAGAGGTCGGCGATGACGGACATCATGTCAAGTTGCCTGCATCTTGTCATCTAGCATGAGGCGGCAGCTACACCTGCAAAGGCTACATGCATAATGTAGTGGCGTCGCCATCTGTAACTACTAACATACCTCCTACCTAGGCACCTAAGTAACAAGCGGCCGCGAACCAGACAAGGACCGGCTCGCTGATTACCCGTCATCATCTTTTGTGAGACGAGAAAAAGTGTGTTTGGTGTGGGCTTGCATTGCTGACGCGTTTTAATTCGTAAACTGTGACAACTGGAACGAACCGAGGCTCGGTTGTGCACGTCGTTTCAGAAATGGCTTCTACTCGCGGGGATACCCGTGTGAGGCTTCTTGGCTTGAAAAGACGCACGTTTCCGGGTTTACTGCAAATTAAGGAATCACTCAAAGCAAGACGTAAAAGAGAGACATCGCGCAGTGGATAAACCGACTTGGCAAGGCGTGGTTGCAAGGTTCTAGGCGCTTCCAGGGTGCAATAGCACAGCGATCACCATCTTAGTGCCCGAACGATATGCCGAAACCGTTATTCGAGGTGATCGGGGCTGCGTGGTGTAATGGAATACACGCTGTCTATCATATCATGGGGGACGGTCGATAGCCGTCGGGGTATGGTAGCCGAGACGGATTGCCAGATGCAGACATTGTGACATAATGCTCGTGTGCACAGTCAGCTTGTGAATGCCTTGCCTTTTCTTTTTCTCCTTTACTTTTTTTTTCTTTTGGTATTGGCTTTGATAGAGTACATCGCATCTGTAACCGGCTTCTGCCGGCTGACATGGTGTTGACCGAGTTTCATATGGCGATGCGGGACGAGATTACACCGACGGCAGGGACGCCGAGAGGCTCAGGGTGGTATACATTGACGAAAAAGAAAGGAAAAAAGAAGAAAGTGCAGCGATGCAATATAAAAAGTGGCCAAGGCGTCGATAAATGATGCCACAGTACTGTATCTACGGATACGTAAACCAGATAGAGAAGCTTGCCCCTGAAAGGATCTGGTATCATGTTTCGAGGGGCTGTCTACCTCCCATGGCGGGAATGCATATCTGTGCCATGTTATGAAGCCATGCCATGATACATGCATATTTCTAGTAGGTATGTAGTTACTGAGTAGGTAGTAAGTAATTTGTAGGAAGTGCTCAGTAACTACTCCGTACGCCACCATGTGGTGCATCGGGCCGTATGCATGTGCGTACCTAGGCACTGATGGCAAGGTGACACTGGCACTCGAGCAGACTGCCGGGTTGAATGCATGAACTAGTTAGGACAGGGGCGTGATGGCCAGGGGCAACGGGAATTACGAGGGTTACTAGTCAACTATCAAAAGTTGGAGTCTGGAGGATACCAAGAGGACACGGGTTGATGGGATACTTGACACGAGGAGCGCTATGACCAGAGGCTAAGAAACTGGAGTGGTGGCTGCTTCTGTGTGGCAGTGTGGGTGAGGCGCTCGGGAGGGCAACAAAGTTTGCAGCTTGGTTGTTTCGTTTACTTGGCTGTTCATGCGCCGATTGCGAGAGCAACAGGCAGTCGAGACTGGAGAGAGAGGAAACGTTGGTGGGTGGGTGGACCTGGAGGGGATGACAACGGCCGACTGAGGGGATTCGCATGGAGAGTGGCTGGATGGCACGGATTGGATTGGGTGGAAGCGTTGGTTTATATTAATTGAGGGGAGAAGGGAAGATCAAGTTGTCAGTGTACAAATTAGTTGGACATGTGTGTGTGTGTGTAAGAAAAAATATATAAATATAGAATGAGCGGAATTCCAGAGTAAAGGCGTTTCTCAGGGGCGCTGGCTAATGGATCTGGTGAGCTAAAGATAGAGCAAGAGTAGAATGAGGCTGTCTCAAGACTGTCGACGGCGGGAATCCTGCATTAGACCAGAGCTAGTGGTCATAGTGGCTAATAAGAGGGGAATTTTGAGAGTTGTTACTGGAGTCTCTGAAACCAGCTAACATCCTGCAGGTACCTTGGTAAGTAACTAGGCAGGCTTCGGTACCTGGCCAAGATGGCAACTGTTATGGGAGGAATGACCATGATGATATTAAAAGGCTAGGGACAACTATTGTGTTTCGTCTTTGTAACTAGGTTTCTTGCCTGATTCCAGACGAAAGAAAAAGCAAAGACGAGGAACAAGACGGCGACTATTTACTCGACCCTTGTATATTGTCCAATAGTCGGGCACTCTGTACGGAGGAACTCCGTAATAAATGATGGCAGTAGTCCACAGTTTGTTCAGTGTCCACTGTCGGCTCACCTGGCCCACAGCATCTGTTTCGCTACATGCACGCTAGAACAACGCTCAGCACCAAAATACTGTACCTCCAGCCTGTACGGAGTACCCCCAGCCAACGTCCCCGTACTGCGTACACCCTTGTTGTACAATCATCGACAGGTACAATCCACACCCCCTATGGCCTGCTGAAGATTCCAGTTATAGCCCGCGTTGCCTCCCACAGCCAAGGAATCCGCCGCCACTGAGTGCTAAAAGACTCTGTACCTACGTGGTACCGAAGTACCTTAGTAGGTGCCTCAAAGTTCTTCATTCCCGCCACCTCACCCGCCTGTCGACGCCGCCACGCACGCCTCACCCTCCAAACAAATGCAGCTGCTGCCAAAGAATATTGCCTGCAGCTTGTCTTGGTATGTAGCACTGCATTGTTGAATCCTACCTCTAATTATTAAAAGAGTACCGAGTACGAAGCAGCACATTTCTCCGTGTCCCTTGTCGCCACCATATTTTTTTTCCATTGCATGCACAATTGCTACCGCCCATCCCACGTCTCTTCCCTTCCCTCTCCCTCTCGGCCTCCCCTCGTCGGGCCACACCCACCACCCACCAACCCGCCCCGTCCAGCCCAAGTCCTGTCCAGTCCGCCAAGCCCTTTCTCGTCCCTGTCCGCATCGACCAGAGCGCTGCTAGTTAGAATTTCACCGTCTTCTCTCTTCTCAACCCTCTTATCCTCTGGACCTGCTCCCTGGCTATGAATCTAGACCTCTTCATCCCCGAATCCGACTTCCATTCACCCACCATCTCCCCCAACCAGTACCTTCGCTTTTCCTTTCCTCGCCTCGCACCAAGCCGCTCCTGCACTCTGAATCGCATCGCCCCTTCACGCACCCACAAGGGGTTCTATCGACATTCGCTCACTCACTTGCGAATTGCCATATTCGCCTCTGGCTTGTTGCCGACCAACCTACCAACCTTCGCGCCCACTACGCGCTGAGTTGTCGTCGTCCTACCCCAAAACCACTACGACGTTGTCATTGCTGCACCGCATCCAACCGCCCCCCCAAAGTTTCCAGGTTGCACATGCACCAGTCTTCAGCATAACCCAAGACCGTCCAAATCGATGCCTATACGCCTGTAACCTCGCCACAAAACACCCGCGGCACACGGCTTCGGCTCTGCTCCGGATCTCCCATTAGACGGGGCTGCTGCTCGTCTTTACATCTCCGGGCAGCACCTCGTCTGACGCCACTAGAAATGGACGCAGCTCAGCTCCCCCCTCTCCAGTTTGAGGATGGCCCTCTTCAGATCGTTCTCTTGCCCTCGCTTGATGACGGAGACGCTGGCTCCTTTGATGACCCCTTTGCCGATTATTTCAGCCGCGACCCTGACGACCACAGCAACAAAACTGAAACCGCACACCGAAACAAAAGCACACCAGAGCTGGAACCTCCACAGCCTACTCATCAACTTCTAACAGAAACTTTGCCATCGACCGCCTACCAACCAACGCCACGCATGTCTCAGCAACGACAACACCAGGACAATGCGCCGGCTCAACATGCATTTCAGCAACCGGCCTCGCAACAGCAACCACAGCATCTGCAGTACGCTGAACCACTGCTCGAACTAGACCCCATTCACCACCGACGCCAGCTCTCGCTCCCAGATTCTGAACATGACGTCGAGACGCCGCATGACTGGCAGGACTCGCCCTCGACCGCCGACGAATCTGCACCCGAACACCCCATTCCAGCATTCCAGGGTGCCTTTGCCGAATCCCTGCGAGAAGCGACAGAGGGAACAGCAGTCCAAAAACCTCGATTGCAAGAGATGGATGCCAAGTCTCGCCGTGAACGACTCCTTAGTCAAGGCAAGGATGAGGACCCCTTCGATATCAAATGGCGATACCGGCCGGGCCAGACTCAGCACGAGGTCATGAAACTGGTCGCCCAAATCTCGTTTGGTGTTTACCTCATGTTTAACGGCATGGCAAACAGCAACGCTCAAGTTATTGGCATTCTTCAAGGCCACATCGACGAGATCGACGAGTTTCTCGAAGTCGCTCTCGAAGATCTGAAACAGGCTGTAGAGGATCTAACAAAGCGAATTCAGCACCTCAAGCTTCCCATGGAAAATATCACAGTATTCGAGCAACTCCTAGAGGACCGCAAATTTCGAGCCGAGATTCTCGACGGCAACGAAAGGATAGACGGCATCCTCACTCGAACTAATGCTGCCATGCGACAGTGGGATGATGATATTGAAGCCGGCCTCCGAGGCAGTACAGTCTTTGCCAGCTGGCTCAACGACCAAGCCGGCGGTGACTGGCGCCACGAACAGCCCGATCTCGTCGATGTCTACGATGCCATGAAGGGCAATACCGAAGGATGGCAGAATGCTTTTGAAGATATGAATAATCGCGCACAGGAGATCAATAGTCTCATCATGACCCTCATGACCATTATCACCGAAATGGAGAGCAAAGCTGGCGAAGTGAGCCGAAGAACTTGGGTAAGCTGCTCCTCTCGTCTGCATTCCTCGTCACGGCCCTGCTAATTTTTTGCCTTGGCAGACTTCAGTTGCGCCTTTTTCCACACCCACGGGAACGATCCAATCGACGTCCACTCGCAACACTGTCAAGGGCGCTTCCCCGTCACCCCCGCCATCCCGCAATTCGCATGCCAAATCGTCCAACCATTCGGGCCATCAAACATATGTCCCGAACCACTTGTCGCTGACACCGAATGAGTCCAACCAGGGAGATGAAGACGACGACGACGAAGAGTTTGATGATGATACATTCTTTCCACTTCCGGGCGGTTTACCTTTGCTCCCACCAACGACGAATCGTCACCGTGAAAATAGCTCCATCTCATCAAAGCCACGCTCAGAGCCAGTCACAGACTCACCGACGATCCACCAGCAAGAGATGTCCCCGAAGCGGCTTCGCAGCAGTGCTCCTGCCGAGGATACCTCGCTGTATATTCTCCAGCCGCGGACGTATACTCCGCAACCTCCTGCTCCCGTTCCTTCGCCTATGTTGATAGCGACACCATCATCTGCAGAGCCTCCGCCGCTTCGTAAACGGCCTTCTCTCCGCAACCGTATCCTGAACCCGCCCACCTCTATCCAAATTCCACCAACTTCCACCCCCGACTCTCCGCTATATGTGCCCTCGTCGCACTTCGGCACGCCCCGGACCACTAGCTCGATGCACGATCTACGAAGTCCGGACACTGGCTACACCCGCGCGCCGCCCCGGCCCCGCATGACCTCACCCTTGGACACGCCGACGTCTGACCTGCGCACCTTTACGCCGTCACCCTTTTCCGACCACCATTCCTTCCAGCCTGTACGAGCCTCGCCGCACTCGCCCCTACAGCAGCGGCCACACACCGCCACAGGACCGCATCGGCCGGTCACCGCGCAAACAGCACACAAGCCTACACCGCTCGGCGCCATGACGAACGCGAGTAACGTGCCGGTCGCACGACCGCCGATGGACCGCGTCAACACCACGAGCGGCCTGTCGCATCACACGGAGCGGCAGCTTAAAAAGAAGAAGAGCGCCTTTGGCTGGATCAAGAAGGCCTTTACAATGGACGAAGACGAGCGCGCCGCGTTTGAGTCACGCAAGGCGGCCGGCGGCCCGCAACCACCCTATTACGATCCCAATACGCCTCGGTTCCTCGATGGCAAGAGAATACGCTAGAAGCGACCAAGTCTCTCGTGCTTATTTTGCGAAAACAGAAAGGTGTCTATTCGGCGGACATTTGTACATATTACACAATTTTTCAGATCCTGGATGCCAAAAACCCTGGCTACGACTCGCGGGCCCTTGCGCTCACCACTTTTTTCCTTGTATCAAAAAGAGACAGAGTCAAGTCGTCTCGCATTTTTGCATTGAAAGGAAAAGCGTTGCTGGAATTTTATATCACTGAAGCTTCCTTCTACGATACCTTTTTAAACTTGCTCCTGAACCAGGAATTTTCCCCCCTTTTTTTGTTATATACCAACTCATATGTCTTTTACTATTGTCCTTGTGGGAGTACACATTGCCATGGTACTTATTATATATACCTACTACGTATAAATTCAATCTCTTGCTGTGTTGGGTCTGACAAGAAACGTATAGATAACCTGTCACAATGCAATATAATATCTTGTTGGTCTTGGCTTTATGGCTGTTGTATTATTCAAGTGATGAATCTATGTAGGTATATACATGTATAAAGAATGACACGATAATCAGGGCCAGTCTTCAAGTCTCGTCTACTATTACTCGCCCAGCCCGTAACTTCGCACCCGGCTGAAGAAGAACGGCTTGTTGTTCTTGAGCAGAAACTCAGCCCAATCCTCGGTCAGCTTATTGTAGCTGTAGAAGCCGTGCAGTACGAGCTTGTTGCTGCGCGACGCCGTGGGCTTGCCGGCGCTGCGCACCTGAAGGTTCATCTTGAAGACGTACTTGGTGCCGACACCTTCCGTCTCGACGCAGAGTTCATCGTCTCCGCTAGGCGCCGCCCCTGCAGACGCGGTACCACCACGCTTCGCGCCACCGCCGCCGCCGCCGCCGGGCGGGGAGAGCCGCCAGCGGCCACGGTGGGCGAGGCGCATGACGGCGCTGGGGAGGTGGTTATGGGCGACGTCGTGATGCAGGCGCACGGCATCGCGCGTCATGTAGTGGATGACATCGGCGGGCGGGTTGGACGCGAGCAGACTGATGAGAGATCCGTCGCGGAAGAAGCGCAGGTACCGGTAGTACGTGACGATGTGGATGGGCGCGCCGCCCCATGTCAGCTGGTTGGTCGAGGCCTGCCCGGACCGCACGTAGTTGACCGTGGAGATGTAGCACCCGTCGAAGCGGATGCGCGGGCGCCGGCGGAACATGCTCTTCCATGTCGGGAAAATTGATGGTGTCATGGAGAGCGTCGCGGCCTCCTCGCGGGCCTGGCGACGCTGTGCACGCTCGCGCGGACTCAGAAGCTGGCGCGAATTCTTAGGGGAGGTGTTATCCGGGTTGAAGACGGAGGCGTCGCTGTCGTTGTCATCGGTCGCCTGCTCGTCTTCGGATTCAGATGAGAGAGGCCCCCATTCGATGGCGCGGTTCCAGCGGTAGTGCATGCCGCCGAAGCCAAACTCGGAGCCGAGACACAGTCGCCGCCAGATGCGCTGTTCGCTGGCGACGAGGTACGCCAGCCGCCGGCAAACGAGCGAGAGTCGCACGTACTCGGCCACGTCGGCCACGGCCACGTCGTGCAGGATGTGCGTAAGTAGCTCGTCAGGGAGTTTGGCGATGGGGCAGGGGAGCGCGGGCTCGCCCTCGACTTCGGGAACGGCGGGCTCTATCTGCAGGGCGGCGAAGCCTGATAATAGCTCGGAGAAGGTCTTGGCCGGTACGACGGCCTCGGGTGCGGCAGCTGGCGCGGCAGGTGCGGAGGCGGAAGCTTGGCCAGTGCTGGGTGCCGGGGCGGCCGGCTTGGCAGACGCTGCTGGGAAATGCTTTTCACGATATCTGCGCTCTACACCGTGGTCCATCTACTTTGGTTAGCATGATGTATGGTGGATGAGTGATTGAGCGGCGTAGGCTCACCTTGTAAGCTTTGCGATACAATTGCAAGCTGTCGCCCATATTGCCTCGCGATTCCTGCTCCATTGCCTCCTCAAAATGGTCCAGAGCCGATGCAAGATTCTTCCGCGAGGGGTTTGCCACAGCGTTGATGCTATCGGCGAGCGTCCGAGGCTGGGAAGAGGTTGAGAGCGGCGGGGCAGGCTCATCAAATGAAGGGCCGCCGACATAGTCGGAGCCTTCATCGAGAATGAGGGCCCGGCGGGTGGCTGTGGGGCTGGGCGGCCCGTTGATCTTCTTCAGCGGCGCGGGCCGTGTGGACGAGGAAGGAAATGACTGGTGTGAGGCATCGCGCCGTTGGCTATGGCTCTGACTCCGATGATGGCTGGTGGCAGACGATGATGGCGCTGCCGCACCGGCGGATGGACCTTGCTGGGATTGAAGATCGGAGAGCCATTTTGTTCGAAATGACTCGAGTTCAGAGTCGAGACCATCGCCAGAAGACATGATGGATGGATGATGTGGTGTTGTGTTCAGGTGAAGGTGGAAAGCGACGTAGCCGTTCAGCTTTCGCTGGCCGGGAGTTGAGTTTCAAATGTTGCTGTAGATTCACAACTGGATGTCAGCTTATAAGAAGGAATACATATTGAGACGTGACTACCATCGAAGATGTACGGTGTAAGATAAGGAATGATAACTAAGTAGTAAGACGAGCGAGATAGGTAGTTAGGTGATGGAGATACCAAAATTGGGCCAGGATCTCGGTACGTGGGTGTGAGGGTGTGAGGCGCTTGATGTTAGATGTTAGATGTAATGCGTCACCGGCGAGGACGTTGACGGGATAATTGGTGGGGAAACTGAGCACAGTGGGGTGCTGGTACCTGTTAGTAGGGGCTTCAAGGGAGAAGAGCCCTGTAATTCAGGGGCTCATGATTTTTTGGACCATTAGTACTTACCTTTGTCGAGGTCGGTACAGCACAGCTTGTTAGTGAAGCCCGCTTCCGCACACCGTCAGCCTTAACACGGATCTGCCCCCCCGGCGCTTTCGGAGCTTGTGCTGTCTTACACCAAGCTACGCCCGAGTTGGCAGTAGCACTAAGAGCAACTAAAACGTATTATTAAGTCTTTGTCGCCTCCGGCCACGGCGAGGGCGAAACCCACCAAATTTTTGGCTCGCCGCCAGCCCGTCAACGCCAATCTCTCTCTACCTACGTCTTTGACTCCGCGACTCCTTTGTCCTCTCATCTTATCAATCGCTCTCTCGCCGATTTTTTTTCCACGTCCTACCTCTTGCCTCCAGTACTTCGTCATCACCACCCTACTCTTTTAGCGATCCGACGTCTGTTTTGGCCTGCCAGAAAAGCTGTCGCAAACGCCGGCTCGCTTCGGCCGAGCTTCCCCATCCACCTTGACGGCCCGCATCACCACCGCTCACGTCACCATCATTCACGGTTGGTGCGGCCACGGGCAACGCGCATCATGAGTCGCTCTCCCTCCAGCGCGCAGCTGGCCTCGAATGACAGCACGGCCCAGAATCATGACAGGATAGAGTCAGCCCTGCCGCCTGTGCACCAGATCACACCCGCGCAAACCATGGTCTCTGCCATGACGGGCAGTCTGATCACCTCTCTGCTCGGTGCGTCGCATTTTCCATGCTCCTGTTCATCGTCAGTACATGATTTACTAACATTGTCTTTAGTCACACCACTCGATGTCGTCCGAGTCCGACTCCAGTCACAAAAACCTCCCGTCTCCGCCGTCGATTTCTCCAAGCTCGCCCTCACACCCCACAACCTTACACCGATTCAAACCGCCAACCTGGGAGTCACAGCATGCTGCCGTGAAGTCTTCTTTGCCGGAAACAACGCCGAATTTTGTTTGGCTGCGCCGCAAATTGAAGGCATCACGGCCGGCATGGCGGGCGCTCGGTCCCACGACTGTGCTGTTCAAGAAGTCGAGAAGAAGACGTACAAGTCGACCATGGACGGCCTGCGCAAGATTGCCCGTAACGAGGGCTTCACTACTCTGTGGCGCGGTCTGTCCCCGACTCTGGTTATGACGATACCCGCCAACATCATCTACTTTACTGGCTATGACTACTTGCGATTCAACCCCAGAAGCCCGCTGTCCAACCTCTCACCTGATTACGCGCCGCTCGCTGCCGGTTCCATTGCTCGCGTGATTGCTGTCGCTACAGTCAACCCGATTGAACTGTTCCGCACTCGTATCCAGGCGTCTTCAAGCTCTGCTTCAGGTCATTTCATGGAGACTCTCGGCGGCATCAAAAACATGGTTGCCACCCAAGGGTATACCTCGCTCTGGAGAGGATTCAACTTGACACTCTGGAGAGACGTACCTTTTTCCAGTCTCTACTGGTGGGGATACGAGACTCTGCGTTCCAAATTCACGGACATGCGTCAAGAGCGGAGGGGGCGGTCGCTGTCCTGCGACGACACCCTCTTGACCGCTCGACGCCGTTCGCAAAGCAACGAGAAACAGGTGGAAACAGTTCTTGACAGCTTTGCGGCCGGTGCCTTGTCCGGTGCGTTTGCCTCCATTGTCACCATGCCCTTTGATGTTGGCAAGACGAGAACGCAGATATACAATGACGGCACCGTACGAAGAACCGTCGCAGGAGCCGCCCCGGAAGAGCAACATATGATTCGACTCTTGTGGCACATCTTCAAGACTGAAGGTGCTGCCGGGCTCTGGCGCGGCTGGATTCCCCGAACCCTCAAGGTTGCCCCGGCTTGCGCCATCATGATTAGTAGCTACGAAGTCGGAAAGCGAGCTTTCCAATCCATCAACGAGCGTGCGGCGCACAAGAAACAGCAAGAGCTGGGCCGATGAGCTCGACTTACCCACATGCATTTTAAAACACGGAAAAGGAATATAGACTTTGAACCAGCGGGAGATGCCTGGTTACGGCACTCGGTTCTGGCGTTCTGGAACATTTACAGGCAGACTCTTTTCTCTTGGCTAATTGACCTGCCAGCACTGACAATTTAATACGCTACAAGTACAAGAGCAAAATAAAACGGAGCGCAGATGTACGATAGCAGCTTATAATAAAATTACAAACTACTCCTGCATCCTAGGGACAAAGCGACTGTGAAGGTTCGCGGCCGGATTGCGAGGGGCCGGCGACGGGCTCACTACCTTAGATAATGAACCCGACGGGGAGTTGGAGGCTGACGCAGCCAGAATAAACAAGTGTCATAGTGTTGAGATCTGATAATTGGGGAATGATAATGCTACATACCACCGGCGATTGCAACTGAAGATGGGAGTGGAGCTGCAGCATCGGAAGCGGACTTTATGTCGTTGGTAGCGGACGCAGTCGCATAATCGACACCCGACACAAGCAAGAAGATGCCGTTCCTGGTACGTGGGGTGTACGTACCTCTTTGAGGCTCATGTCTGTTCATCCTCGCCCATGTTTCTCCTCATCTATGTTCATTCTCCTCTATGTTTAGGAAGTTCCTCATTGCCCGGGCATCCGCGCGGCCCGGACCGCAGACGGGGACTCGGGCGCACAACACCCTTGAGCTTTGATTGCTCCAAGGCCAGCCATATTGACCGGGCGACTGCAAGCGAGTCTCACTACGAGAAACAGGTTTACCGCTAGTTGACTTGATGTGGCTTACTCTTAGTATAAGTAGCCCCCCTCCGGCTGTCCAACTTCAGGGCCAATTCTTCGCAGCCATCCATGCCATATTCTCTTATAGAAGCTTTCCTCTACCTTGTCTAGAATCTCAAGACGTTTCTTTATATTGCATGTGCTGTTGAGACCTTTCTGATTCTTCTCAAACCCACCCCCCATTTTCAACTCAGTCAACCTACAACAATGGCCGAAACCGTCGACGTCGACTACCTCATCATCGGCGCAGGCGCTATGGGCCTCGCCTTTGCCGATACCATGCTCAGCGATAGCCAAGCGACTCTGGCCATTGTCGACCGCTACCACAGTCCCGGCGGGCACTGGACTACCGCCTACCCATTTGTGCGTCTGCACCAGCCCTCAGCCTTTTACGGCGTCAACTCGATGGTGCTCGGCAGCGACGCCGTTGACCAGCACGGCACCAACAAGGGCCTCTACGAGCTCGCCACATCGCAAGAGGTCCTCGCCTACTACAGCCAGCTCATGTACCAGCGCTTCCTGCCCAGCGGTCGCGTTCGCTACTACCCCAAGTGCGAGTACACGGGCGACGGTGCGTTCCGCTCAGTCCTCACCGGCGCGACGTACCGGGCCGGCGACAAGTCCAAAATTGTCGACGCCACGTACATGAAGGTCACGGTGCCATCGATGGCGCCACCCAAGTACGAGGTGGCCGCCGGGGTAGAGTTGGTCACGCCGAACCAGCTGGCGAACCTCAAGGAAGGCCGCAGCAGCTTCACTGTCGTGGGCTCCGGCAAGACGGGCATCGACACTTGCCTGTGGCTCCTGACGAATGGCGTGCCGCAGGAAAAGATCACTTGGATCATGCCCCGCGATGCGTGGATGCGCGACCGCGAGAGCCTCCAGCCTGGCGACTTGTTCAGCGCGAGGCGTGCCGAGACCCTGAAGACGATGCAGCAGGCGGTGGTGACTTGCCAGTCAGTCGACGACTATCTGGACCAGATGGAGAAGGGAGGGGAAGCGATTCGATTGTCGAGCGATATCCGGCCCGAGATGTACCGCTGTGCCACGGTATCGAGGGTGGAGCTGGATGAGCTGCGCGCTATTCAGAACATTGTTCGCCAGGGCCGCGTCGTCTCCATCAGCCCGAACGAGGTCACGCTGCAGAAGGGCTCGTACAAGCCACTTCCCGATACACTCTATGTCGACTGCTCCACCGATGGCCTGGCGAAGCTGCCGCCCGTGCCCGTCTTCCAGGGCCGGACGCTGCGGCTCCAGCCGGTGCGGCCCTGCCAGCAAGTCTTTAGCGCCGCCTTTATCGCGCACGTCGAGGGCGCCTACCAGGATGAGGTGCTGAAGAATGAACTCTGCCGTCCGGTACCGCACCCCAACGTGCCCGCCGACTGGCTCGCCACGAGTATTTTGTACTTTCGGGCGCGGGCGCTGTGGAATGGACACCCGGAGACGAGGGCGTGGCTGGTCAAGTCACGTCTCAACTTGGAGATTCAATTCCTTCCCGCGGATAAGGCGCTGCGGGATGCGCTGCTAGCCAGCGCGGCATCTCCGGAGAAGATTGCGCAGGGGAAGCAGGTGCTGCACCGTCTGTATGGCATCCTTGATACGCTGCCGGAAGAGGAACGAGCAGCGGCAAAGGCGTTGATTGGTGATCTGTGATCTGTGATCTGCCCAGAAACGAATAGAGAATAATAGAGAATTTCTCTGCTTTTGAAACGACTGATTGATCAGGTAGACGAATTAGAAAATAAATATTGATATTCTTCGCGATATTTCCATCCTGGACCGTTGGGTGTCAGTTAGGAGCAAGCAACACAAACGGCAGAAGCAAAGTCGAGCTGAACGAAATATGAAAATACCTAGGCACGTCCATTTAGAAACATGTAGTACTTTCGAGGTGTACATGGAACGAGATAACTGGTTGGAGGCAAAAATATTGGCTGCAGCTGCGACCTGGTGTTCACTTGCAATTTGAGCTCCACTGGTTGGAAATCTTGATGGAGGCGGGCGGGCCCATCCATCCATGACATCCATTAACCAGACGTTTTCGACCAGCAACTCCATCGTGTCTGCGCAGCCTTACAACCCGGCTGGGATCAAGAGTTTACCCCGCGGTAGAAGAGGAAAGCTCTCAGCCACTATCCATCTTTGGGCGTGCGTCCTAAACCGGCCAATCAGAGGTGCCCGAAAGATCGACTCTCATCTTTCATGGCATACCCAGAGTTCAAGAGACAAGAGTAGTAAAAACATCGCGCGCGAGGCATCTCTGTTCTCAGCTCATATTCGGAACCTTTTCAAAAATGTACTTGTTTCCCCCCCAAGAAAGCTGCCGCCTTGGCAGCGACAGCGGCGAGCCCGTCTACGTCACCGAGATTACGTGCACCGCTGCCGGCCTGGCCGCCATCTCGACGGACAATGCGCTCACGCTCCTCGACCCCGCGCGGCTGTCAGCCGGGCCGGTCGCGACCTGGCAGACGGCGCACGGCGCGAGCGTGACGGCGCTGCGGGTGCTGGACGGCGCGCTGGTTTGCACGGCGGGCGAGGACGGCACGGTGGCGGTGTGGGATCTCCGGATCAACGGCGCCGGGGCCAAGGTAACTCAATTCAAGGGTGTGTGTTTCCTCGTACTCGGGCTGCAATGATGCTAACTGGGATGGATGTGGTAGCGAGTGACGCGCCGATTCTGTCCATGGCGTGTAACAACTACACCAGGACGATAGCGGTGGGCACAGAGCTGAAAGATCACATGGCTTCTATACATCTCTGGTAAGCTTCCTATTTGCACTCGCCAACTCAATTCTCACTCTACTATTCAAAGACAAGACTGACATCTCCGACATGATGATAGGGACATCAACGATGGGCACACAGCCAAGGCGCACTACCAAGACGTACATAGCGACGACGTGACGGAGCTGGTATTTCACGAAACGCAGCCGGCGCTCCTACTATCGGGGTCGACCGACGGCCTCGTCAACATTTACGACACGCGCATCGCCGACGAGGACGAGGTGACGGTGCAGACGTTCAACCACGGCGCCTCGGTGCATCACGCCGCGTTCTTCGGGTCCTGGGGCGGCGAGGTGCTCGCCCTCTCGCACGACGAGCGCTTCGCCATCTACGACGCCTCCGAGGAGGTGCGCAGCGGTGACGCCACGCACAACTTTGACAACGTCCGCCAGCTGCTCGACTGCCAGTACGTGGCCAACGTGATGCCCAAGGCGGACGGTTCCGGCGCCATCCTGGGCGCGGGTTCCCCAGAGTACGTTGCTGTCCCATCCCATTGTACCATGCTTTGACATGGAGATTGTGAAACTAACTCGAGTTTTTGCTGGCTTAATAGTCGGCACCTATTTAAACTCTACTTTCTCACCGAAATCGGGGAGAAAAAATGGGCATTCGCCACTGGGAACAGCGTTGGCCTGCCGGGGGCCCACGGAGAGGAGATTGTGCGATCGTTTTGCTGCTATGATCAGGCGGAAACCGTCTTCACCGCGGGAGAGGACGGATACGTCCGAGGGTGGCGGGCCCGGCAGTGAAAACAAGAAGCGTACATGCCAGGTCTCTTGCATGGCAGACCTATGGGGGTATAATTCTAGTGATACATTGATGTTGCTCTTTTTGTTTGGAGTCCCTGTATATAATCACCCAAAATAGAGATAGCGAGAGGGATTGAACTGAGCTTCTCCTTGGCTCAGCTAAACTTGTCGTGCTTGCTCTTGACTTTGACGTCGAGCAGCGTCTCGTGATAGTCGCCTTCGCGGCGCGCCCGCTTCAGCTTCCTGACCTCGTCATCGTCGAGGCGGCGGCCGACAGCCTCCTCGAGCTCGCGCCGGCTGATCTTGGCAAGGGCCTTTTCCTCCTTGGACGCCTTGATCCGGGGCTTGAAGCGGGCCTGCATGCGGATGCGCAGGGTCGTGGCAAAGGAGATGGTGTCGGCGTCGCCGCGGACCTCGTCGCGCGTGGCAGAAGCAGCCCCCGTCGTCGACGTGACGCAGAGGAGCGTGTCGCGCAGCGTCTGCACCTGAAATGTACCCGGCGTGTCGGCGGTGGCGACGAGGGCAAACGTCTCGAGCGGCGAGACGGCTTCCGAGTGCGCGGAGAGCAGGCCAATCCTGTCGCAGGCGAGATATCTGCACAAGGACGAGATGCAAAGGTCAGCGATTTAGCTTGCAATGGACAAGTTGAGTGTGCGTGCGTGCGGGGGGGTGAGAGAGAGTGTGGGAAGTTTTTGTTACGAACCGTCCGTGGTGGCCCTTGAAGCGAAAGTGCTCCGTGCCCGCGATGCGGTTCGCGACCCAGACCTGGCGGACGTCGTGTGGTTCCGCCGTCGCCGGGTTCGCGTCGACCATGTTCTCGATGGGCAGGATGTAGACCTTGCCGGCCGCGTCGCAGGCCAGCGCCGCGGGGGGCTCGGTCGGCAGCACAAACATGACGGGGCCGGAGACGTCGGACGGCGCGTCGGCCGCGACCCAGGTGTCGTCGTCGGCAATAGGCTCGGCGGCGGCGGAGGCCGTTGTCGAGCGCAGCTGCTTGCTCGAGGAGCCGTCCTTGCTGTCGTCGTCGTCGTCGGTGGTGGCGGCGGCGGCGCGCGCGCGCTTGCGCTTCTTGGGCTTGTCGCCCTTGAAGGACAGCGGCTTGACCATGGCCAGCACAGCGGTAGGAAGGATCGGGGGCGAAGAAGTTCTTGCAAGGTTGGTGGGGGAGTGCGCTTTGTTGCGGCACGTCAATGGGTGCAAGACGATGGCGGCGTAAGACGACCTGTCAAACTGATGTGGAGGAGCAGAGCAATGAAAAAGGCTGCTTTATAATTTAGCGGGGGAAAGGGCTATGCGCTGCGCTAGAGAGGGTGCTGGAATGCCCCGTAGCCTCTTTAACGTTACTATCCAGGCACCTAGTACCTGCCTATACCTTCGACGGGTACAGTGTGGTTATAGTTGACTGGCAGCCCCTCTCCCGCCCCCAAACGCCGGGGTTTTGGTCTACTTCAGCCATGGTTTGTTCCCTTTACCAACCATACATCATTCTTCAGAACTGCTCATTCTTCGCCAAGTTTCTCATTTGGAACTGTTTTTCTTGTATATACATCCCAGCAAAGTAAGCTACTCACCATGTCCGCCCAGGCGCAGGCCGTCACAGTCTCTCTCAGAGATCTCCAGTCCGGTACGTTCGTCTGGCATGACCCGCTGTCACAATCACGATTCATTTTACCTCGAGTCTTTGTACCTGGCCTGTCATGTAGAGCTGACTCCTGAATGTCCAGGCAATGTCTCTTTTGAGACGCTGCAGCAGGCCTTTGGCCCGGACTCGCTTGGCATCCTTGTCGTCAAGGATGTGCCCGAGCAGTTCCCCAAGCTGAGACACTCAGCCCTCTCTTATGCTTCCTATCTCGGAAATCTTCCACAGTCGGAGCTTGGTATGTAGCCCAATTCACTAAACTCACATCATCTTGACGACACTTTGCAGTTGTGCTCACAGTACATTCCAGAAAAGCTCGAGAATGCCCACGCAAAGTACCTCACCGGCTGGTCTCTGGGCAAGGAAACTCTCAAAAACGGCAAGGCCGATACCTTCAAGGGATCCTACTACGCCAATTGCGCCTTCTACGTCGACGCCTCGCTCGAGTGTGCCCAGCCCACCGCCGAGTTCTCCGAGGCGACGTTTCCCGAGTATCTGTCCCCCAACCTGTGGCCCGCGCAGCATGTGCTGCCCGGCTTCAAGCCCGCCGTGACGGACCTCTGCCGCCTCATCATTGACGTGGCCGTCCTCGTCGCCCGCGCCTGCGACCGCTTCGCCGAAAAGGAGATTCAGGGCTACCCCCAGGGCTACCTCGAGCACGTCGTCAGCACCTCCAACACCACCAAGGCGCGACTTCTTCACTACTATCCCCAGGGCCAGGATCATGCCGCCGACGCCGACGAGGATGACTGGTGTGCTACTCACCTCGATCACGGCTGCCTGACGGGGCTGACGTCGGCCATGTTTATTGACGAAACGCAAACCGACACCTCGGTCCCCTCCACCACCGCCACCGACTCGTCTCTACCTACGCTGACCGAGCTGCCCGCATCGCCTGATCCCGGCGCCGGCTTGTACATCAAGTCTCGCACCGGCGAGACGTTCCAGGTCAAGATTCCCCGCGACTGCATAGCCTTCCAGACGGGTGAGGCCCTTGAGCGCATCACTGCTGGCAAGTTCAAGGCCGTGCCACACTTTGTGCGCGGCGTCAAGGCCAGTGTCAGCAATGGCCGCATTGCTCGCAACACGCTTGCCGTCTTCACGCAGCCCAACCTGGGCGAAGAGGTCGACATTGAGCAGCACCTCACATTTGGAGAATTTGCACGTGGCGTCGTCACAAAAAATACGGTATCGTAATGCCACAAAGGAAGATGAGCAAACGATTGTGACGGTGTACATTATTCACACAAGATCTTGGGAGGTATAGATAGGCATGTCAATGATGTAAACATGATTGAGTCTATGTAAAATCTAACAGTATGTAGAGCATACAAACTCATATACGTGCTGAAAGTGTATATCTGACTGAACAATTTATTTTTAGCCGAAAGTTAGCCAAAACCGATGAGAATATAAATAATTTTGTATCCGGATGTTGAATCCTCTGTACTCATGCTATTCAGAAGCAGCCCAAAGGCTTCAACGAAAGCACACTCTGTGGCGCTAGACATTGTTGGAATCGTCAAGGCGCAACTAGCAAATGGCCAAACGGCCGTCTCAGCTTCCCGCCCAGTCTAGAAATGAATCCGCGGCAACGAGAAACCCCAAAGCATTATGCCCAAGCGCCCACGAGACTCATGCCAAACGCACCCAGGAAGACCAAGAGACAGGCCCCGATACGGGACTTGCCTCGCAGGTAGCGCCAGCTCGCGTCGCTCAGGAAGTCTTCAGAGAGAAGCTCGACGAGCGATGCAAACGTGAGAAGACCAGCCGAGATGGCGTTCATGACACCCACAAGGATGAGACCGACCTCAGAGTCGGGGCTGTAGAGTGTATGCGTGGCGAGTCCAATAGCTTGACCGAGAGGCGTCCTAAAGTTGTCAAGTTAGCGCCCAGCACAGGTTCCGTCCCATCAATGGCGGTACATACGTGCAGCCATAGGCCAGCGCCATGAGCCACGGCTGAATGGTCTGTCTTTCCCATCTAACGGCTGCGATACGAGAGCCCAAAGCTAGTCCCTCAAAAGTTTCTGATGCCAAGTTAGCAACCGCCTCATGCTATGTTGTGTTGGACTTACGATGGAATGTAATTGCGATGAGCAAAACGATGAATTCGTTCCCGACAGATACACTCAGAGCCATACCAATGAAGACGCTATGGAACAGAATACCCAGTTCCAAGAGAATGCATTGAAGTCGATCCCTGCGCAGCTGTTGGTGTGCGGAAAGCGTAGGCGGGCGGAATGAGTCTTCATCAGATGACAGCACCGCCTCATTCTTATTGGCCGCGGCAGTCTTCGCCTGGTCGCGCGAGCCGTCAACGGACGTAGACAGAGACCTACTCAGCTGCGACAAGTTCTGGCCAACGCTCGACTGCCTTCCGTTGATGGGTCCCAGGTCTCGGATGGGCTGCTGCGGATGGGCGGTGCCGTCCTCGCCGCGCTCGTCGGTGACAAACGTCACGTTGGCCATGCAGCCCTGGTGGCCGCCGGCGCCTTGAAGGCTGATGTCCTCGGGGGGCACCTGGCGGGCCGGGTGAAAGATCATCTCGACGACGGTGACGAGGAAGACGGCGGAGAGGGCAATGGCGCCGGGCATGGCCTGGTAGTCCTTGGTCCAGAAGCTGGACAGGCACGGGTTGTTGAGCGAGACAAAGGCGGTGGGCAGCAGGTGGACGAACGCGGTGGCGATGAGCACGCCGGTGCCGAAGTGGCGGACGACGAAGAAGAAGCGCGCCGGGATGCGCAGGCGCGGAAACTTGGCGGCGAGCAGCGGGAACGCGCAGCCGGTAAAGGAGACGAAGAGGATGACAAAGAGCGCGCCGACATGCAGCGGCAGATTGTATTCATCACCGCCGACGCCGCCGCTCGCGCAGGTTGAGCGCTTGCGGAGCGGCGCGGTGGGCGAAGCGGCAGTGGTGGTGTCGTTGAAGAGGAGCAGAGTGGGCTCGCCGAGGGAGATGGGAGACGAGGCCGGGACCGCGGTCCGGGCGGCAGAATTTTCCCGAAAAGAGGAGAGTACAGAGGAAGCAACAACAACGGATACGATCCAGGTCACCCATCCCCAAGCGTTTTTACGCTGAGAATAAGATGCTGGAGCAGCACGCGGGCCGTGGCCATGACCACCAGGGGCCGACGCGTGAGAAGACAGGGATGGCCCTAGGATGAACGAGTTAGCGGGAGATACTTGGCTTTGACATCTCTTTCAGGCTTGAGGCTATTCGGAGCATCACCATACCGTTTAGCCACCGTCCTGCTTCGGCCACCTTGGACACCGGCTCGGGCGACCGCGAAGCGTGCTGAAGTCGTTCGTCCTGCGCGTCGGCGCCCAAGAGACCAGAATTGGCGCCGCCGCCGTCGTCCTGGTCGGCCGCGACGTGCTCGCGCAGATTGGCCATGCCGTTGAGGTCCTCGCAGGTGGTCTGACTGTGTGAGAGAGCGGGCGGGCTCTGGTTAAAAGATAGGTGACGCAGCGTGTGCTCGTCGGCTTTGGAGAGGCAAATCATGTTGACGTGTTGTCTGTTGTCAGTCCGGGGCTGTGGGTGTTTAGGCTCAGTTGTGAAAGCTGCAGGAGGGCTGCCGAGGGAAACACACAGTTTGGAGGACGTGTTCCAGGAAGAAGAGGGAAGCAGAAAAGGTCGAAAAGAGCAGATCTGCGAATGGAATGGCAACCTGTATGGCTGCCAAGGCTGCGCCACTGTGGAGAGATTTGGTTCAGCGCCGTCATGTCCCGACACTAGTGGTACAAACGCCAGGGTATTTTTGTCGAGCTGAAAAAGATACTGCGTGGTTCCAGGGTTGTAGACTTGGGATGGATGGACGAAACAGCTTGAAAAGGACGACAGCCGAGCGTCGGGCGTCGGGCGTCGGGCGCGATTGGTAGGTGTGTTTGTGTAGGTATGTACTAATGTATTGGCCGTGGATTGTGATGGGTGTTGGTGGCGTTGCAGCTTTAGGTAGGAAGGTACCTAGATATTACTTAGTAAGTAAGGATCGTAATAAGGATTAGTTAAGCTTAACCCGTAGCTTGATTGAGTAGGCGCTGGTCACGCAGGCACGCGACACCCGCTGACCTGAGGAAATGCAGCGTGCATTTCTTCGTCTTCGCCAGGGTGATTTTCTAGAAACCAAATTTTGTATTTTGTCTCGGGCAGAGGTTCCATGCCAGGAAAACTATTGCCAATATTTGCCAAGTGATGACTGCGTTTGCCTCGTCATCCAAGCCGAGGGCTGATGCATCCAACGACAGTATTCGGAGAGTATGCCGTTGGAAAAAAAAAATGCAAGCTAGGGGACAAGCTGAGAACCATCTGAAACTGAAAAAATTGCTACGGCAGATTCGGGAATAGTTGTGGAATATTCTTTCAAGATGCGCATCTGCCTGCATGTTCCAACTTCAATGCGGGACCCGGCCGGCAACTATCCGTACGCGGCTCAGCTTCCGAAAACCCCGCTGAAGGCGCGCCACTTGCCTGTCAGTGGTTGGTTGGCTGGTGGCAGTCTGCAGTCTGCAGCAAACGCAGCATCATGACGCCATCCTCCATCTACATCTCGCACCGCTTCCCCTCTCTTCCATCTATTCACCTCATCCAACCTTTCATCGTACACAACACCATCACGCACCAAATACCACAAGATGGCTCTCCCTCCCAAGTTCGCCGCCCACAAGCTACTCTTCGCCCCGCCCCCGGCCGCCCCCTCATCCGTCCCCCACGCCACGCACACGCTCGAGCTGTACCTCGATTACTGCTGCCCCTACTCGGCCAAGCTCTTTCGCGCGCTGCAGGCCATTGTCACGCCGCTCGTCCACGCCGACCCTGCGTGGGCGCGCGGCCTCGCCGTCGTCTTCCGCCAGCAGGTCCAGCCCTGGCACCCGTCGTCGACGCTGCTGCACGAGAGCGCCCTCGCCGTGCTGCGGCTTGCCCCCGACAAGTTTTGGGAATTTAGCGCCGCCTTGTTCGACGCGCAAAAGTCCTTTTTTGATATCAACGTCGTCAATGAGACGCGAAATGACACTTATCGCCGCCTGGCCAAGATAGCGGGCGGCGTCGGCGTCGACGAGGACAGAGTGTATGAGCTGCTGGCCATTCCGGAAACGGCCGAGAGTGACGGCGCGCTGAATGTCGGTAACGGTGTTACGAATGACCTCAAGTTGGTTATCAAAATGAATAGGCTTATCGGCGTGCACGTTTCGCCCACTGGCGTCTTTGACGGTGTCGTCCAGGATATTGGCTCCGCATGGGGCGAGAAGGAGTGGAAGGAGTGGCTTACCAAGAATGTGGTTTAATCATCAAATCAGTGTTTTATGAATTATACGAGGCTCGAATGAAGTACAAACGAATTACATAATGTATCGTCGTTGTCATATTAATCGCGGCTGATCTGGGCACTAGCCGCGCCAGCTTCAAATTGACTCCACCAAAATTCAACGAGACTTGAACCCTCCACAAACATGTCCCATCACAGCCATGCGAATACCATGTCCATGATCATGTCCATGATGCGCCAATTCACAACAGCTCACCCCCGGCTGCTCGCCCGCATCTCCTTCCGTCATACGGGCTGCGTCCGCCCGTCCCCAACGCCACGCGCCCAACTGTTCTTCCACCCCAGGGGCGGCACCACCACCATGCCGCTCGTCCGTCTGTACGCCCACAAGGCGCCACAGCCGCCCTCCAAGATGGCCGAGGCCGTCTCCAAGCGGCAAGCCGGCGCGGCTGCGAAACCCAAAGAAAGCCCTGGTATGCACATACGCACAATCCCAGTCCCGGCTCCAGCCACCGCGCCGTTGCGCTAAACAGACAACGGTTAGAAATCCCGGAGCGCCTGCTCATCTACCACGCCGGCACGGGACGGACCACCTTTCTCGCCATGCTCAAGGTGACGACGCTCTTTATCGGCGTCTTCTTCTGTTGCGTCGCCGTTCCCAGCTACGTCCAAGCCGACAAGCCCATCGAGGAGACCGCCAAAAGTAAGCCCCCCCCCCTCCTCCGTCTCTCGTCCCAAACCAGCCTGCCTCGTCATCGACCATCTCACTCACATCTGTCCCAGTTGCGCTGTGCGGCATCGCGCCTATCCTCTTCATCACCTACACCACCGCACCCTTTGTCACGCACCTGCACATTCACCTGCCCGCCGCCGCCCGCACTTCGCGGGCCGCCCTCGAGCGCTTCGTCCGCACCAGCCTGCCGCCCACCACGCCCCTCACCGCCACCACCATGAGCGTCATCGGAAAGCCGCGGTACAGCAAGCTGCGCGCCGGCGACTTGGTCCCGGCTGCCTCGCGTCGCCGCTTTGGCCTCGGCAACTACACCCGCGACGCGGCTGCCGAAAACGCCACCCGGAAATGGTACGAGCTGCGTGCCGTCCGCCAGTTCCACATTCCGGACGGGGCGAAAACGTCGGGGAAGAGCAAGGGCGGCAGGAATCTGGTCGAACCGTGGATATGGGATGCCATCAAAGAGAGGATTGCGAATCGTCATGGGATGCCGCCGCCGCGGCCTCCAGGCTCGACGGCCACGGTGATTTAACCAACTCACTTACACAGACCAGCTCAAGACATAATTGTGCTTGCTTTGAGTACTAAGAAACAAATTCCGTATTTGGAAACTGGGCCCTGGTTGCATCGAGCACAGTTGCCGCCTCAATTACCTCTCCCCGGCGTAGCTTGTCGCTCGCAGATCGACCAAGTTGTGCTACAACCCCACGATTTCTGAAACTGAAACAACAGAATAGCAAATCATGATTCATATCATAAAATGACAAAGAACAAGCCACACGTTATTCTAAATGAAGGAAAGCCCTTCTGGCGCGCGCGCTCCATTAATCCAGTGCTGATGGCGGCGTTTCTGATCTGTTCCAACAAGCCACAGACCCCCAAACCCCGCAAAGAAACAAATTAAAAGGCGCAAGGGGGTGAATAGAGTAACAAAAACGCCCAAAAAACCACGGCAAGATTCCATCTACCGCCTTTCCTGGTACTCACCCCATCTGTCTGTCTTTCTTTCCCCACGCCGAAACCCATGCCTGATGGGAACAACCAGTTGCCCGCTGACGGGATGTACCGGCGCGAGAGCCAAACCTCATATGGATATTATAGCCCCTTCCGGGTGGAGAAGCGTAATATATTATCCCTTTTCGACTCCGTATCTCTTGTTTTGTCCTGTTTCGAGGGCCTAGACTATGAACTAATAAACAAAGTCACCCCAATATCGCACAGACGTGTCTTGGCAGCAGCCTTGGGAAAAAACAGGAAGAGGGAAAATAAAGGAAGGAAATGACGGGTTAGTAGAAAAGCTTGTTGCTATGCTATAATCGGCTTAATAGCCCGTCCGGAATCGACGCCGTCGCATCTGCCTATTGGCCTGGACTGGGCAGGGATACTCAGGACGAACTCACATGAACGGTGAGAACCGCGCGCCGCATCTCGCCTTAACGTTAGACGAACAATGTCCACCCACAAGGGACGTGGGTCGGCGGGCTTGCGGTGATGATGCGAATATGCGGCGCCATATATAGGCCGGGCTCGTTACTCCCTGCGGCCTATTGTGCGGCAGTCACTTCATCGCACTTGAGCAAATCATTGTGTGCATCCAAGAAAATCGCTTCTTTTATATTACACAAAATCCTACATGATTCTCCACAACGCCTTGGATATTTTCCCCATCATTTAAACCATCGTGATTCATCATCATCTTTGGTAACGCAGCCCCTGTGACGGCATCCCACATGCCTTTCTGTGCTCCACCAACCAGCCACGTATGCTAGCTATATCTATCCATGTATATAAAAAAGAAAATGGAAGATGGAATACGACGCTATTCCAAGGAAGCCTCGCATCTCGCTCGTATCTGACCAAAATCGTCAAAGAAGAAACGTGGCAGCAAATATAGCTAACAAAAGGATGAGAAACAAATAATAGATAATTATACAAGGAGCATCCATTTAAGGAAAACTCTGTGTAACTGAGAGAAAAAGAAATCGTCACGGTCATGGTCATTATTTCGACTCGAAAGCACCGCCCGAATCGCGAGGCTGTTGAGTTTCGTTGTGTTGTTATTGGTGGTCCCAGGCACGCTTGAGGCCACCCTCGTACACGCTAGCAACAGACTCCTGCCACATGGCAGGAGTGATGAAGTTGGTCATATTTGGCACAAAAGGTGGAGGTGAGGTATTTTGGGTGCTTGCAGCAATGCCCGACGTGGCCGTGTGCGTCTCAGACATGCCAGTGGTGACGTCTGAGCCGCCAGGTGACAGGCCAACCGTCGTATTGTTGTTGGGTTGAGGTGGCTCTACCGCAAATGTATTATTCCATTGCCTGCATATTGTTAGCATGATTCGGACTGATACATATTGTATCATACATACTCAAAGATACGCGACGGGTTCCACGCCACATGTTCAACAAGTCCCATGTTAGGCGGCATGGTAGGCACCGAGGTCCCCGCCTGCGGGATTAGCTCGAGGGCTTGGATAGTGGGCGATTCGTTCTTGCTACCCATATAATCGCTTGAAATTGGCGGTGTAATAGGGTTGTTGACGTAGCGAAGGCTGCTGTGTGCATCGAGGTGTTGATCCAAGGAGCCACTGCGCCCAGAATTGCCTAAGTAGGCACCGCTGGGCATATGTGGGGGGCTTGATTTGTTGGATGGGTGTGGGCTTCCATAAGGGAAGGAAGGTTTTAGAACAAACGCCCTGCGAGTATCTGCGGAAAAGGCCTCACGGACAGTGTCGATTTGGGTCTGCAGCTCGGGCATCGGCCACACCTCCATCACTTGTTCCATGATGCGCATATGCCTGGTGAAGAATTCCCTAGCATTCGAGTTGAGTTCTGGGTCAGGGGAAACAATGGCGACCTGCGATAAGTTAGTAGAGGGTTTAATACATCCTGGTGCGCTTATACCTACAAGGTGAATGACTATGCATGACAAACCAGCATAGACGGTAAAGGAGAAACCACGCTGCATGCACTGGAGGCCAGAGAGGCCAAAGTTGCTGATGATGGCTTCTTGTAATCTACAAATAGCCTTGGCAGCGTTGTAGCTCTGTAGCATATGCTGCTTCCACGCAACATGGTTGATATTGGGGTCAAGAAACGAGAGTTGGGGTCGATTGTAAAGTATGATGACAAGGTAGTGGTAGCTGTGCAGGTTGCCGATAAAGCTGTTGGGCAGCCAGGGGGGCGAGTTGTCTGATGGGAAGGAGATGGCCAGATCGGCGGGAAGATCGCTAACATATGAGGTAATGGTCTTGTTGAGTTCTTGAAATTCGGGGTCGATTCCCCAATCTTTGCGCTTCCGTAGTCTGGCGTATGTGCTGCTCATCGTCCGGATATTGCGAACGATGCGGACAAAGTAGACGAAGTTTCTCGAGACTTGATACTCTGTTTCATCGACACCAGGCATGCGTTTTGGAATGGTGAAATCCACAGAGTCCATATTGACAGAAAGGTCGTGACGACCTTGAGGCGTTCCAACCATGACCTCACAAGCAAAAACTGTTAACCAAATGCGGGTGCGCAAATGGCAGTCGGTAGGGTTATGCTCGCAATCGATACCGTCTTCGTGATCGTCGAAATGCTCATCAAGACCAAGATCTTTGGCCATCTGAACGCATTGCACGACCGTCATCCAAGATCGGAAAAAGTAGCCGCGTTTGGGGGCGCCCTCTCGGGCTTTGAGTATCATGAGGAGAGCCTGAAGCGTGCTCAGGCGTGGCGTGTCCATAAATGCGTCGGCGTGACGAGAGGCGAGGCCGAGCCACTGTTGGCCCATGGCGGGTTCTTCGGCGAGTCGGCCACCAATAGCAAATATGGCTTCAAGGATGAGGGGCGAAATGGTATCGCGAGCATGCCGCCATTGATGATAGATGTGCGGCTTGTGTAGTACTGGGACGTAAGGATGCACGTGCGTAAAGTAGAGTTCAAAATAGTGCAGGGCAGTTTCCTCATCAGGCATGAGCTCCGGGGGTATGCGGATTTTGGAGCCTGAGCCAGAGAGAATCGGCGGAAGCCCGCCGTAGTCATCATCGTCCTCGACGGCAGGTTCCTCGCCGCGTCGAAAAGAGGCTTTGTTTCGTAGATATGGGGCTATGATCTAGGTCAGTCGACAGAAGATGGGTAGGCGAAGAAAGAATAAAGCGCTTGAACATACCAGTACCGAGCTCATCTAACTTGAGAGTTCCGAGAAGATCGGCCAGATCTTGCTGCTGGTAAGAATCAGTGGTATAGGACTCCGGGGAGGCTCCGGGTTGGCCAGGCTGGTTGATGGCATGGGCTTGGAAGGTGTTTTGCTGTGCGTATGAAATCGGGTCAAGCATCGCGGGAGGTGGGACAGTTGTATAGTTTATGTCATGCTGAGCTTGCGAAGGGTCGTACGGAATGGTGTAGAAGCCAGTAGAGTTCTCGGCATAGCTAGACATTTGAGGATACATTTCCAGGGGTTTCTGATGATGCTGGGGGGGCATTTGTATGGTCATCTGGTGAAACTGGTCTGGGGTGACGAAAGCCTCGTAGGTGGTTGGGTCGCCGGCGCTGTCGAAGCCGTTTGGTCGGACACAGTGAAGTTTCAGGCGGATACATGCGGAGCAGGGCCACGAGTTTGTGGTGGCGGCGTCGCATTTGATCTTTCGCCGTCGGCATCCTTCGCAGGCGCGCATCACTATTGACAGGTTAGTGGAGGCGAGGTGGCGGCGGCAAGCAGGTTGGATCTGGGCACATGCCTTTGAGGCGCTTGTGGCGGTTATGCTCGTCAACGAAGACATAGTCTGGTAGGGCCTTTGTTAGTAATATGCGACAAGAAGAGAGCATGTTGCGCAGAGTCAAGGCGTACTTTTTTGCATCTCGCGTTGCTGTTGATGCTGCTGGGGGTATTGGTTCGGGGCGAATGTGAAGGAGGACATTGTGGCGAGCTGGAAGCAGCCTTCAGTGTTAGGGACGATTGAAAAGGAACCGCCGGGTCAATCGACAAGCAGCGTCAGCAGCATTCGAGAAGTGGACGAATCGAAGAGGCGAGGAAATGGCAACGGCCATATATCAAGCCGGTGGGGGTGCAAGCCTGTCAGGCGAGGGCGGGCTGTCGATGTGGCGCAGGTACGTCAACGGAGCAAGCACGAGACAGACGGCTCAGGACCGGTCGCGAGCGGCGGGGTGGTAGGGCGGTCGAGGAGCGGTGACGAAGAGAAAAGGAAGCAGGGCGCAGCAAGTGAAGCGAGATACGGGTAGGAAATGTGACAAGAGATGACACTGGCAACAACAGTTGGTTGTAGGAGGGAGTTGGAGCTGAGTCGCGCGAGTCGGCGAAACGCAAAAGTACCAAGCAGTGGGTAATAAGTGTGCATGCGGCCTTCCTGGGGTACCCGGTTATAGGTATCGGTTCATGTGGCTCGTGTGGCTCGTGTGGCGGCAGCGGCGAACGCAGAAAAAAAAAATAAGAAAAAGAAGCGCAGAAGAAAATAAGAAGAAAGGGAACAAGTCGTTAGACGAATAGAAAGGTGCGACAGGCGGCAGCCGTTCAGTGTCGGGGTGTGAGGGCTGGAGGGGTTGGAAGGAGGGTTGGCGGAGAGGGCGAGAGGGTGAGAGGAGCGGAAAAAGAAGCACCTGCCAACTATGTAGGTAGGTACATACTTACCCAAGTACAGAGGTGTAGTAAAATAAGGACGCTACCGGGCACCAAAAGATGGATAAAACGGGCGGAATGTCAGTGGCGTGGATGGCGTGGACGGCGTGGTTGGATGAATGACGAAGGATGTGGGATGAGATGGGGATGGGGATGGGATGGGATGGACGGGCATGCAGCCTGCGGCGTTCGGGTGGTGGGACATCCAAACAGCCAAACAAGTCAACGAAGAGAGTTAGTTACCAGTACAAGTCAGACCGAGGATGATATTATAACATAATTTGTACCAATTCCAGTGATAATACTGGTACCTAGTACAAAAGGTTGACCAACTTTGCCGGCAGCAGGCGGAGAGGAAATGGAGAAAATCCATTCTTGGTGTAGTCAATGGAGGGGTAACTGGAAGGGGTGTCTCTAGGTAGGCGAAGAGACCGACGCTGCCGAGTCCTCATTCAACTTGATCAGGTGAGCGCGTCTGTGGTCTGTGAAGTCTGTTGCTGATCAGCCAGTACCGTACGAGATGACACAGCAGGCCCCTGCCCGCTGTCCCCTGCCTGCTGTCGCTATCGAGTTTCGAGGCTTATTACTGGTACAGGCTGGGCAACTTCAAGCAAGCAGGCTGGCGGGTTTGAGGGGAATGACAGGGGCCATGGCCCATCCCATGCACCTACTCCTTGCTAATAATGCGGGCTACAGATTATCTATTCGAATTATTACAGACATTCTACGGGCCAGGTTAACTAGACGATTCCTGCGAGATGATGATGACAGAGAGCCCATGTTTCGATGATAATAACTAACAATAGCGAGTCGGGATAAGTAATGGAACTACGGATACTGGGAAATGGATTAGAAGTACCTAGGTACCTGGGTGCTCTTTACTTAATTTAGTTCACAGGCTCTATTGTCGGTGATTTTCATCACCATTTTATTTCACGTCTATCTCCAGACCGGAACTCTCCGTCTTGTGGCACATCCCGACATCATCGAAATTGCTTTCGATGACCCCAAACGCAAATCCCTCTCCGCACGAGTTTCCGCCTGTGTCCACAGGCTAAGATGGAAACCATAAAGTAATACTGCAAGAGCAGGTTGGCCTGAGCCGCTTCCTACTGCGGCAACTCGGGGCGTCAGCCGGAGGTTAGCCAACTGCTTCTGTATTATTAGTAGCCATTACTAGAACGGGGCAAGCAAGGCCACCGCCTGTTTCAAAATGCAATACTTGCTATGGCTAATAATAATACTTGAACTGGTAAAAAAGGTCCGTACTAGGTACACTAGATGCCCCGCCAGTGTTCATCTGCGGGCTTCGGCTTTTTATGTGGCTTTTTGGGAAGGCGAATACGGATTGGTGGACGACTGTACTAATGTATATGTATCCGTATAGGCCCCTACGGCGAATTCGCGACTTCGCGATAATTACTGACCTAGGCAGCAACCACATAGGGGGCTGTGTCACCATAATTCCTTGAACTCTATTCACCTTGGCAAACAGCTCTTGGCCAGACACCACTGAAGCGCGCTGTATTCAAACGAGCGACGGTGGATTCGGTCGCCACTTTGGGTCTGGTTGAACTGGTACACTGTTGACTGGTAGCAACTGGGTTGGTCTGGACGGACGAGCCAGGTGAGATGAATGGATCAATGATCAGGGGCCCAGTCAGACAAGTGGAGGCAAAGCTACCGAAAATTCTGTACAGGCATTATTAGTTAGTATTATGTATGTATGTACCAATATTCGCCTCGTGCTACAGAATGTTTTTGCTTCAGCCTGGCCTGGCTCTATTGGATAATTGGATAGCGCTCAGCTTGTCATTGTCAGCCCTGCCTGCTAATTCGTACCTACACTGCAGTCAGTGGTCCTCACGTCCGCAGCCAAACTTGTACACAAACGAGGCGGCACCTGGCAGTGAGTGCAACTTGCTCTACTCTATATTATCGGCCTGCTTCAGGGGACTCGGTCGGCGCTCCTGGCCCCCCTGGTCAGGGCTGTCTTCTTTTCTCCTCTCCCCACGAGTCCCCTCGACGAATCCTGGTCGCACATGCTACACCCACATGCTACATCGACGACTCGCTGCAAGCCGCAGACGGCCGCCGTAGTTGTGGCGTCTGTTCATGCCCACGCGGCGGGGCTACCACGACCTGGCACCTGGATACATGCGGGGAAGCCATCAAGTTCTAGTTATCCTAACAACCTAGCAAACTAACAACCTAACAACCTAAAAAACGTTAGAGAGAGCCACTGTCTTATTACCGCCATTCAACTGCCTGGCATATGGGATAAATTGAGTATAATAATGGGCACCTCACTCGCACCTAATCAAGGCCTATCAGTATCGCCGATCGATTTACAAGTACCAATGCCGGCGCAAACGCTCGCACTGCATCGCATGCAAACAAAGCCTCTGCCAGCTGCCAGTTGCCAGTTGCCCATGTTACACCGCACTTGATTGAGCATCATCACGCAAACAAAATCCTGGGCCTCTCCCATTCCTATTCCTATTACTTGTACTCTACTTCCATGTAACCTTTCCTCTATCCCGTTTTAATTACCTTTCTTTCTTTCCCTGCGCGCCGTTCTTCGTCGAAAATCCGCTCGCCATTCATGGTATGTGTCTCGCCACAAGCTCTTGCTTCTCCACTACAGCCTTCGCCTGCTTGGCAACTTCGTGAGCCTACAGATGTCTGCTCTGGAACAATGGCACTTGGCAGGGCCGCCTCATGACGCATGCATAACACCAAGGAGAGGGCCTGCCACAACCGCGCCATTGGAACTTTGTCTCGCCTGCGCGCGCACTACGGACGGGCAATCAGCATTGTGCGACCGAGTTGCGTCCACCAAACTCCTCCATCCACAATTCTCTCCGGATACCCCATTTGTTCCTGCAATCTGGCCGCAGACCTCACTTCTCGAAGCATGATTGATGGTCGGATCTCAAACACACAACCCTGCCCAACCGGCCGAAGCCACCATCCAACCTGTCCAGGTGCTCACACACTGAAATAAGGTGGCGCATGCGCCAATGCTTGCCACCGCCCCTTTTAACCCGGCATTTTTACTAAATGCATTACGGATAGACAAGCAACAGAGGGGCGAGCCCTACGTCGATCCATTTCTATGTGATCGGGATAATAGCACTCATCAATGAAAATACCGGTATTAGTGCCGTTTCAGCCCCCCCGCCAAATTGAATAACTAGGGATATTGGTGACGAGCTAGCCTCGAGCCGTCTCCATGGCTTTCACCCAACCTTAACCCGTTGTCACAGGAGGTTGTCATCTGCAGCCACCTCGTACCTTACAGTAACAGTGTATTGCTAGTTACTGGGATGCAGGACCATTGCGCCACATCAAACCCAACACCACAGACGAAATCGCCCTTCAAGACTTACCATTGCGTCGAGGTGTACCAACGCTGGTGGAACCTTTACAACAACCACGGCTACAGTTCGTCCACTGATCAGCTACAACGTCACCTTCACCTGTGGCAGGTGAGACCTGCATATTTGCGATTTGTGGCTGGGTGCCTCGGGCGAAGTAGTCGAGGGGACAATGTGACCCCGCCACTCTCTACCGATAAGCAATTGGCATTCGTAGGGACGTGATCCAAAGGTCCCTGCGAGACATTTACGTCAAGAAACAGACTTCTCGCTTCAAGGCACACCCGACATGGCAAAGAACATTGTAGCCTTTCTACGAGCCACTAGATATATGGTAGCCAACCTCAGGCATTACAAGTCGTCAAAACACATGATAGGGACGACACACAGACAGGCGTGCACATCGATCGGCCTTACGAATACACCTCTGGGCCCGCAACGCGGATGCAACGGCTCATTTGCGTAACCAAATAGCGAATGCAATAATAGGTAATCATGACAGACAGACAGGCACCGGCCCGGATCGATAATGGCCCATGTTGAGAAATTGTGGTGCTGGTTGCATCTTCAGGGATGGATGGGATGGCCCATGCGCCACTAATAATAAGTTCTGCGAGGTGGAAAGATGGAAAGATCCCTTCAGCCCGGTGGAGCTGCAAGGCTCGACTTCGGCCTTTTTATTGTCGCCTTTCAGAGTCTTCACCGTACCCATTCATGTCCAGTTTTTTCCTCGACAAAATTCCAAGTCTGGACCCTGAGGCGCCTGGCTTGACCAAGTGAGCCGAGGCAGAAGTCGAGTGAAAGAATGTCACTTAGCTCCGATGCCCGAGATGCGACGGCTTGTAGTTGCATTAATCGGATCGAACAGGGTTCTCCGGTTGTGTGGTCGTATTGGTACTCACCCATTGAACGCCCGCAGTCTAGGTACGGACTCATAACTAGGTGATTGTAAGCCACGCCCCTCCGGATTTTCTAAATTGGGTGACAGATGGATTGTGGCGCACGAGATGGTACCAACAAGCTCCATCCCATCACATGTCATACCGCGCTCAAGTCCAGCGCGTTACCTGAGCTAGACCTGCACTCATATCCAGGCTACCGAGGCTTGCGCTGTATTGATGTGATGCCACAGGTTTGCATGCTGCGCAGCAGCGTGGCGGATCCCCCTTTCATCTTCTGGAAGAAGAAAAAAACTCTAGCAAGACATAGTGCAGCCAGCCAGAGAGAGCCACATGCAACTTACAAGTAGAACTCAAGGCCTCGCCGCCCGCCTTGCCAAAAAGGGAAGCTGGTGAAGAAGTTGTGTCACGCTCGACGCATTTCATGACGATCATGTTGCACTCTGCAGGTTCCTGGCGGGTAATGGCTGTCCAAATGCCTGCTGGACAGCTTGAGACAACCCTGCCAGAAACCTACTGCAACCGGTTTCTTCGCAGGGTCCAATGAGCGTCCCAGCAGGGGTGCGAAGCTGTTTGTCTCGAGAAATATATCGGCAAAAGGAAGATCAATGTGGCTTTTCAGCCGACTAAAAGGGCCGTACAACGTACAGGACAGAACCACTTTCACAGGGCGTAGCAAGGATGTCGCGCTCGTAGATAGTATAACTACAGCGCTGTCTCGGGAACCAGAAAAAATCTAATTCCAGAGCGCATGTCTTATATTTTACCCACCAGTCACGCGCCAGACTATGTTGCCGCGCGGGACAGACAAGGTCTCGCCCTGGCCGGTATCCGATCTGACTTTTTCGTCTCTTATTGCACATGTCATTTCTGCATCATATATGGTCTGTACACCCATACCTTATCGGCCATGCCGTGTCGGTAATCTGGCTGCCTTGCGGGAGGCGCGGATGCCCGCCCTGGTGTTTACAGGTGGGCATGCACCGTCCCATGATCCATCTCAGCAACGCCCGCTTAATGTGTTGGCGGAACCGAGGTTGCCGTAGACGGCCGAATCAATATTACAGCACGGGCGGACAAAAATAGGAGTCAACGAATGCACAGGCCTCACGGGCTGTATTGACCGCCGGGCGAACGACAGGCCGGCACAGTCATGTCCCTGCCAATTCGAAGCCAGTATTGTGTATCCATACTGTGGGTATACAAGGTAATTACAAGCCGGGGGAGACTGGGGGTCTCCCACCGTAAGCGAACCGCCAGGGCTTTGCGAAAGAGACTGGATGAATACGGTTGCGATGACGCCAGCTTACCTACAGTTTGGCTCCAGCTCGACTGCTCGGCTGGCGCGTGATATTGGGGCACAGAGTTTGTCAACGACAAGCCGATAGTATCTCGTCGTCGGTCATCAAGTCTACCGCGATACTGGATAATTGGTGCAAGGTCAGATGACCATTGCTTCAATGTAAAAAATATAAAAAATATAACTGCTCTGAAGAGCATTACCTATCATGGCGCTGTCACTGGCTACAGCGGATAATAGCGGGGCATTTTGGGTCAACACACGACATCACCAGGTTTTGCTCGACGCCTTTGAGGCGACACCTTCACCAATCGTATTTAGACGACGCAGAGAAGCACCGAAATATCATCACTCGCAAAGACGATAAAAACTCCCGAGTCGCTTGTACCGACGACTCAACCCCGCATCTATCCAAAAAGAACACAGAGGGGGCTCCTTGCTACCCCTCCCTCGCACACAGACATGTCCCCCGCCGCCCTCGACAATGCCAACCCGACCGTCCTCAACGCCTCGGAGCTACCCACGCGCAAGCGCAAGATCGTTCCCCGGCGAGGGCCCGACTCCAAGTATACCGAAGTCATATTTGCGCGACCCTCGTACCTCTCGAGCCCGTTTTGCAGCGACGACTACGGCGCCGCCATTGCGTGGCCCCGCGGCGGCCACGCCGGCGCCGATGACGGCCTCTTTAATGATGCTACGTCTGAGCCAATCGACGAGCAAGAAATCTACGGTACG